TCGATATTCACCCAGAATGATGACCACAATACCTCCTAAGCCACCTACATCCTCTTGCCGCCATGGATCCGCAGCAGCCGAATCAACCTCATCAACTCCTTACCGACCATAATCCGCCCCTCTCCTCCGTTCCTTCTAGGACTGCGAATAGTACCCCGACTTCTTCCCCGGGCCTGTTCAGCCCTACGAACCCTCGTCCCAATGCCTTCTTCACCCATTCCGCCTCCGAGGTTTCTACGCCGATGGCCACCACGGCTAGCCCCTATCTGCACCCTCTGCAGAATCATAGAGTCCGAGAGTAAGTCTAGCATGACCGACATATAGAACATCATGTATTGGTATTATTACCTAGAATCGGATCGTGAGCGTTGAAGCCGAAGAGAGGCTAAGCTCGGTCTCCGATTGGGATCTCTGTTTGGGCGTTTCGTCTGATTCGCGGTTGGCTAACTAATATTGGCAAATATAGGACACACAAAGCCCTCGTTGACTTGAACTTAATGACAGGACGAAAGATCATCAATCAATACGAAGTGATAGAAGAACTTGGTCGGGGCGTACACGGCAAAGTGAAACTAGCACGAAACCTGGAGACTGGCGAGAATGTTGCGATCAAGATCATCCCCAGGTTCTCTAAGAAGCGCCGCCTGGGAAAAGTGACTGCGTCTCCCCAGGACAAGACAAAACGAGAGATTGCTATACTAAAAAAGATCCGCCATCCTAATGTCGTCGCCCTGCTCGAAATCATCGACGATCCGGAGTTGAAGAAGATCTACATGGTTCTGGAACACGTCGAATTAGGAGAAGTTGTCTGGCGGAAGAAGGGATTGCCGTACATTTGTAGCATCGAGAGACGAAGGATTGAGAAGGAAGTCCGAGGGGAACTGAGTACCGAAGAAGAAGAACACTATATTCAGCTTCTCGAAAGACGACAGGCTCTCAATGATTGGAAAAGGGCAAAGATGGTGCAGACTCAAAGGGGCCCGGTCGACTTTTGGAGTATCGAGTACGGTGCCGCAAACGATGACGACTCCGAGGGCCAACCACGTTCATTAGGTAGAGCAGGAAGCGAGCTTATCCGTTCAAACAGAATAGCTTCGTCTAGGACTGGATCACGAGCCACCTCTCCGACTCGTTCGCACGCCCAATCTGCACCTTCAGGTTCTCCCGCGGGCACACCATTACCCTCGGAATACGATGCCTCTTCGGTCGGTGTAGAAGGCGAAAGCGACATCGAGACTCCTGGGCCCTTGCGTTCCCATCCCGGATCTTCGGCCGCACTAGATAGGACCCTCGCTTCGGCGTTCCCCGACGATGTTATGTTTCGTGGTCGATCTCCGAGTATGGCCGACTCTATCATTTCCCATATGTCATCGGTTGATTGTAATCAGCAACCTCATGATCCCTTCGCCGATGACTATTCCTATGTTCCTTGTTTCACAATTGATAGCGCCCGTGCTACTTTCAGGGACACCGTACTGGGATTAGAGTATTTGCACTACGAAGGAGTAGTCCATCGTGATATCAAGCCGGCCAATCTCTTATGGACTCGAGACCATAGGGTAAAAATTTCCGACTTCGGTGTTTCCTATTTTGGCCGACCGATTCGTGAGGGCGAACCCGATGAGCTCGTATCGGAATCCGAGGCTCGCGACTTCGATGACGATCTTGAGTTAGCCAAGACCGTTGGCACGCCCGCCTTCTTTGCACCGGAGCTATGTTATACGGACATAAGCGAAGAACAGCCGAAAATCTCGGAACAAATTGACGTATGGTCTCTAGGAGTGACGCTCTACTGCCTAATCTACGCCCGCATCCCATTCATGGCCGAGGATGAATTCCAGATGTTCCACAAGATTGCTAAGGAGGAAGTGTATATCCCACGTCGCCGACTCAAGCCGGTCGATCCGCAAACTTCCCCATCGTCTGTGTCCTTATACAAACGCGTTAACAGCGAGCCATACCGCGACGATAGTGTCCTTGCGTACGAAGAGATTGACGACCTGCTATACGACCTCTTAAATCGGATGCTGACTAAGAATCCGGAGAAACGGATACGGTTAAGGGAGGTGAAGCGTCATCCTTGGGTTGTGCAAGGTATTCCTAACCTCATTGCGTGGATTGACGAGACAGACCCTTCGCGCCGTACTTCTGGTCGAAAAATAGAGGTCGACGAACGAGAAATCACTCGTGCTGTCGTCCCTCTTACGTTTCTGGAAAGGGCTCGCTCGGTTGTGAAGAAAACCATCGGCAAGGTTATGCACCCGCGTGCTGAGAGAACGGAAGGCCACTCGAGGAGAAGGGCAGCTAGCAGTGCTGCTAGTTCTGCAGGAGATGTACCTTCGACTGTAGGCTCGACTATAGGATCGACATCACACATTCGAGACGCTCGCCGAAAGAGTTTACGCCCCGATGATTATTTTGCTACGGTTCGAGAAAGTGATCACCCCTTATCGCAAAGTGTTAGTGCAACTCCTCAGGAGTCTCCTGTCCATGATGGACCGGATTCTACCCGACGTGGGTCGGTTTTGGTAGGCGGAGATTTTAGACGCAATCTGAGCGGCTCTGTAAGCGATTTTAACGCGCAACCAGATCTGGCAGGACCGCCGTCGACATCGCCTTCCTTCTCGTCAATCAAGGGCCATTTAAGTCACGGCCACCGCCACGGTCGGACAAGATCAATAACCAATGCAATCCTTGCTCTCGCACCTGGAAGAGACCCGCATACCACGCCGAATTCTCCTGCACTTGAAACTTGCATTAGAGATGATCCAATTACTGCCTTGAGGAAGACCCGAGATGTCGATTCGACGGATGAATCGTCCCGATCACGATCGGTAGATCGTGGATTGTTTGGTTGTGCCGATAAACGCGCTGAAGCCAAGGTTGCTTTAAGCACAGCTGTAGCTCCCGGCAATATGGAACTTCCTAGACGTCCTCTTTCGGTCCACCCACCGGAAATCAAATCATACACTTTTCATCGGGGAACTGCCTTGGCTTCTCCTATGTTCTTTTCTTCTAGAGCTGTCGGTACTTATCAGCATGGTCAGCCAAACTCAGACCCCAATATGCATGAAAACCACATGGGCACTGCTGAGCTAGATAAACGGCCCGTGACTGCTCATCGAGCCGCACTGGTGGAAGGCCACACCGCTCCGGCCAAGGTATACGACCCGTCTACTCCAGATGCTCTTGCCCGAATTCATGAGCACGTAATGCGCCGCCGACAAGAAGACGAAGAACAATCGAAACGCGAAGAGCTCGAACTCCATGGGGACGATACTACGCCCATTTCTTATCCTTTTTCGCCAGATGACGAGCTAGGCCTAGAACATACCCAACCACCATCTAGGGAAGATCCTGGAACCGCTGGGACATCAGCTTCAGCCTCCACTGGAACGCTGATGACACCTTTGACCAGCCCGAGCGAGTCGACAAGTCCGGTTGGCCTCGGAAGTATACCAAGCCAGAATGAAGACTCGCCCGTCTTCCGCTCAGACCCATCGCTACCGGCGCTGCTCAGCGGTGCCAGCTCGATATCCGCCGATGCCGAAGGGGAATTCCTTTTAAGGCCAGGCTCTGTTGACCGTCCTTCTCTTATCGATACTACCGACTCCTTAACCCCACCCGCTCTTACAAAGGAGCCGATCTCCGGATTTCCTCTAGAAGATGTGCAACAATTCCAAACGCTATTACTCCCTCAACCCCAACGTTCTTTCGCCACATCGTCCCTTCTAACTACAAGAGCAGTCGATGATGACGACGGTAGCGATAGCGATGAAGGTCTTGTGATGAAGCCTAAGAAGCGGAATCCTATCAAAGACCACACCAGCTCACCTCTAGGAAGAACGTTATCAAGCGCAAAGAGACGTGATACCCAAACGAGTATCGGTAGCACAGAAACAGCCAAGAAGATATACATGCAAAATTAATGAAGGTTTAGTGTTGTTGCTGGTGTCGACGCCCCTGCATACTACTACCCCTCGTGTATGAGATACATGAACATGTATCAAGCCGATCCGTTCATATATCGGATACGGAATATACCGCATCCACTAAGAAACAATTAATTCTAGGGCACGGACCACGGAGATCAGCTATACGATATTTGGAAATGATTTGAGCACATCTTGCTGTGGGGTGCTTTAGCGAAACCCGGATATGGTTCAGATTATTGCAAATATAGTGTAGTTGATGCCCGTGGTCCGTGCCCTAGAATTAATTGTTTCTTAGAGAATGCGGTAGCTTTCATTGAGAGCGATATGGTCAGAATGCTAAGCATTTTGCTACGAACGCAACAAAGGTGGGACGCATAATGAATATTCGCACGGAATCTAGTTCAATCTAGTAAACACTCTTAACGACCACGAGTAAAGCCTCAAATTAGCCGCGTCGAGGCTATTGGGATCGAGGCGAGTCGATTTATTTTTAATTTGGAAGGATCAATCACCTCTCTTTTTCAGGAGAAAATGTATAACATACAAATTTTATTGCTTTGGGATGGTGTCTGGGTGAGACGTTGATGGGACTGAGCACGACGAGATGATGGGACGAGACATGAGCATGCTCGGCGATATCAGGTATGCTTGGCTTTTCGGCCAATGCATCAACTACTTTTTACTTCGCGGGATGTGGACATGCCCTGACGGACGAAATTGTAAAGATGAATCACATAATCACGATGTTTGATGCGTGTTCGGGCCCCTGCTTCAACCCTTGTTTATCAATTATTCGGATGAGCCACTGTGCTTTCTTTTCCCCGGTTAGAGATGAACACCATGAGACGGCTTGGCAGCGACCAAATGAACATCAAAAAAGGCATCGGACAGAAAGGAGTGGGGTGATATTCCAGGGCGGCGGTAATCTGTTTTGAGCGTGCTGATAGACCATAATTTGATATGCATCCTAGCGGAGTTTTCATGGGCATTTTCTATCATTTATACCATCATCTTCAGGTACCGTGTATACAGATGTTATGGTGATTTAAAATTGTTAATGTAGCATTGATATACACTATTTACATTTGGGAGGACAGCATCGTGTTTTTCTTATACATCTGCTTTTGCCCTGTATCATCTGGATTAGATCAGAAGTGATATTGTATGTTTTCTTCCCCCTATCTTCTTCTAGCTATCTACACCCCAAAGGGATAAGTTTCTCCCTTTGAGAGAGCCTCTTTCGGCTGTGCTGTTTCGAATGCGTGAACGGCACTCGTCCTGTCAAACCAAACAAATGTGTCGTATTGTTCGTTGAGAGTGGTCTTAATATAGTGACTCCATCTCTCTGTATCGGGCCTATATATCACGCCGATGAATCGCTGTAACATAGGCTCGGTCTTCAAGCCGCGCAAATCAACCATGAAAGAGGGTATTCCAGTATCATGCATCGCCCTTTCATAACTATCCTGGCGCGAAGGCATTACCTCCATGATCTTCATAGGCTCATTCCACTCGTCTGCAGCAGCGACGGTCCCTATGTGCGTTCCACATCCTATCACAGAGACCTCGCCCGGGTAGTTCTCGCGGCATAGCTGTCCTAGGTTAATCTCGCCGCGCTTAGTCCCCATGCTCGATGCTCTGGCGTCTCCCAGATGTGAGTTATGTGCCCATACTACGGCCTTGGAGCCGGGCTTGAGCTTGAGGAGGCGCGCTAGAGTGTTGAACATATGGGTGTCGCGAATATTCCACGACGTCCTATCACCGTGGAACATAGCCCGATAGTACTTCTCGGAGTCACGGACCACGCGAGCATTCATCTCGGCGTCTATAAAGGATTCTCCGTTCTCTGGGTGTGAGGCTAGCTCAATGCGTTTCGCGAGGAGTTCCTGCAACATCTTGACCACACCAGCCTCGCATTTAGCAGAGCCCTCATAGAATGACTTGCGCCCGTATTCGTGCGGGTCATCAAGCCATGGCTCTAGACAGTGGTATCGCTTCCGAGCTGCTTGAGCGAGGGCTGGGTCGACCTATTTACGATATTAGTGCACGATAAAATAGCATGATCAAGAGTAATAAACATGACAGCCTACCCTATCGAGATACTCGGTCACGGCCCGAAGCGAGGCCCCCATACTATAAAGATCAAGCCCGTTAAATGATGTCCTCTGGTTCATGGGCAATTGAGCGTTGTGCTCTCGGAGCCAATCGACAAACTCCTGTACTTCGGTATTCCGCCACATCTAGTACAACATAGGATGTTAGAGGATCTTAGGAATTATACTAGGATGTATAGCAATGATATTGCTTGGAATTACTCATACCCAACGCGGGAAATGGTCGAAGACACGAATAGGCACCTCCTGAGACCGGCGAGGATGTTGCCGTACGTAGTGATCGATAGAGCGCGCGTCCGGCCAGTCACTCTCGATAGCCACGTGAGTGAAGCCATGCTCTTCTATCAAGCGTTTCGTAATAGCAGCACGCGCTCGATAGAATTCGGACGTCCCGTGACTATTGAAGTTGGTTAACGAGCTGTATTATGCTAACCCCCAGAGCCGGATTAAGAGTACTAACCTCCCGTCGCCGATGAGAACCAAGCGGGAATGGCCAAACATGTCGAATTTGGCGCCGAATTCATTGCTCTCTATCGGCGGTAGCTTCTGCGCTGCGCCTTTTAGGAGTTCTGGTAGGGCGTCTGTCATTTTCTTGCCGAGTCTGAATACCATGTATTTGCAAAATAGGAGGTGATTTCTTTTCCGGGGGTCGCTCCTTGGTAGTGATTGAGTAAGAGAGGACCACGAGTATTAAATGCGCTCAAGATTGATATCGGCATCGTTGTCGCCACCCAAAAGTGGGCAAGGCTCAATATATCATATTTCGTCATAGCGACATAACATAACGGCTAGGTCCAGTCCCCATACCCCCAACCTACCTACTATTCGTATATTCGTCAAGATGAGGACAGAACGACTCCGTATGATGGACATCTTGGCTATCACGAGTTCTGTTCACATTACTCGTCGTTCGAGAAAAGGGGGAGGTCTTGTGAGGCAAAAGTAATAAAAACAAGAAATAAAAATTGACCCTCTCTAAATGGAAAGCTTTAGTTTAATTTCGAACTTTTATTAAAAAGAAATATTAGTTATTATTTTGGTCAGGCCACTTCAAATATGGAGAATAAATGTAAATACCTAGGACAATCTCGCGAAAGCTGATATATCATGTAGAAGCAGCGTTATTTGTGTAGAGCTTCGCATGGAAATTTCTAGTTTAATACTACCTCAGGTATATTTCATTGGAAACTCGTTATCAAGTTAAGACCAGCGAATAACTGATCTGGAGATAGTAGATATAAATTTTGGAAGCGCCATGAGTGCCATCAGGTCATTTGAAAACTGAGAAGTAGAAGTCAAATTAACTTGCTTTCGTTAGGTGGTTGAGATAGAAACTTGTACTGGCACAACATCCTATTTCGTCTCTCGTTATCTGTTAGGACCAGGACAACTTAATTAAGTACGTCTTGTAAATCCTAGCTCTTTAAAAGTAGGAATTTTGGCGTAGGGAATGGTATGGTTGGGAAATAGGTGATTTGCCATGCCGCCTACTTCCTATTCTCAGCATCTATCAAGTTGCAGTATTTGGCGGTAACTTAATCCTATAGCACCTCACTAGAAGTACAACTGTGAAGCTCACTTGGCATCTATCGAGCTTTGCATGCTGTCTAGGCGTACTCTAAACAAGTTTCGCACCTGAATTTCGGTAGGTATTGCTTTAGCAAACACGACTTATGTGATGCCACGGTAACGCATCGCGATAAATTTCACTACTCTTTAGGATAAGTCAACCTTAGGTACTTTTTACGATTTCAGGCACCCGTGAACAATATTTTCGGTTGATGTACAACTTATGCACCTCTATCTACACACTTCTGATACCTTTGCGCTTTCTAACCCAAATCTCCAGACCAAGGTGTCCCAGATGTGTCCATTAACTCTCTTAGTCGACTAAACACACCTCCCATACAATGGCCGCGCCAGGCAACCCGACAGAGGAGTGGTACGCCGCTGACGATGAGACTTTAAATCTCATTATCCAACTTCAGCAGGAAGACTTACGAGAACTTCTCGCACCTGCTAATGGCGAGCACACAGAAGGAGAGCTTATAGATGCAGAATTAGCAATTCGGCTTTACGATATTGAGCTGAACAATGCTGCCACCATCGCCTCGGATAGGCAGTTAGTTCGGCAAATACGGGAGGGAAACCATGTCGATAATAACATCGCGCACGAACCCGCACCTGAGGAACCCACGCCTGAGGCGCCTGTACCTGATGAGCCTGAACTTGGTGAACCCGCACCCGATGAATCTACACCTGATGAACCTACGCCTGATGAACCTATACCCGATGAACCTACACCCGAGGAGCGTATCGATCAGGATGACCATGTCGTGGCTACTTTATCCCTTCAGGAGCCCCCGGTAGTCTCTGATTCGGCTTCTAACAGTGGTTCTCCAGAAGGGGCTACCCCTCAGGACACTACGGCCGAGATCGTCGAAATGCGTGCGTGTCTTGCTTGCCAGGAGATGACCGAAGTTACCAGGCTAACAGAAGTACCTTGCTCGCACGAGTACTGCCCTAACTGTCTAGCAACCCTGTTCCGGAATGCCATGACCGATGAATCTCTCTTCCCTCCACGCTGCTGTCGTCGAACGGTCCCTCTCGATCCTAACGAGCATGTGCTTGGGGAGGATTTAGTTAGGGATTTCCAAGACAAAGTCGTCGAGTATTCAACACCGGATAGATTGTACTGTCACCAGACAACCTGCTCTGCATTCATACGACCTGATATGTATGTTGAAAACATTGCAACATGTGATAAGTGCCAGTCTATTACATGCGTTACCTGCAAGGGACCTTCTCACGATGGTGACTGTCCCCACGACGAAGAACTCCGGGGTCTCATGCAACTAGCCCAAGAAGAAGGATGGCAACAATGTTACAACTGCAAGTCGATGGTTGAACTAAACATTGGTTGTCACCATATTACGTGAGTATAACCGAATCTAGAGCAAAGGTTTTAAGATAAATATGCTAATTAATTATGTCTTAGTTGCCGCTGTGGCGCGCAGTTCTGCTACGTCTGTGGCCTGCGCTGGAAAACATGTGCCTGCGCCCAGTGGGACGAGAATCGGCTATTCGACCGAGCGGAAGCGATTTACAACCGTGGCCGCAACGCTCGCCAAGGTCCGAATGCCCAGAGGCGAGTGGCTATTCGAAATATTGCAGAGGGTCTGAGGGTGAACCATGGATGCGACCTCCATGTCTGGACCAGGAGACTGGGGCCTTACGTATGTGATCTGTGTAATATCCGACTAAGTGAATTCATTTTCGAATGCGACACCTGTCATATGATGGTCTGCCGACGCTGTCGAGATAATCGACCGTAATAGGAAAGGTGATGCTGCTGAAGAATCCGATTGGAAATGAACCATTGAGGTATTGACAGGTTTCACCCGTACAATTTGCATGTCCTACTTGGACACACTTACGTTCAAGTCAAGTTGATATGATTTCAAAGGGCGTGCTTCGATTAGATCGTCTGACTACTGTACTTACCTTGGCTCCTTTTAAGTGATATCACTTGTACTAAGAAATACCACGAATTAAAATGCAGATATCGTAACGCCTCGATTCCAAGCGTTGCCGTAGCTCGATTCAAGTTTCTAACATGCTCTATAAATATCAAAGCGAGACCAAAACTATCTCGAGCCTCCCAAGCGGATATACTTATCGACCCAAGATTCCTTCGGCGGCTTCTTTTGCGACCAACCCCACGTCCTCCACGTACTCTCGGTAGTAGCCGTGACGTCGGTTTCCCCTGAGACAGAGGGGGCTGGCGGAGGGGGCATTCTCGCGTTAGCTGGGGTCGTAAGTCCATCTGCTCTCGAACCCTTGTAGAACCCGGACATGAGTTGGTTGACGTAAAGGGAGTTCGACCCCCTATCGGGATTTTCCGCGGCTTGGGGCGGATTCGACTGTCGCTGGTTCGGGGCGTGCATAGAGGTGTAAGTTTGCCGCTTTTCATCCGTATATGCCCCGTACTGCGACACATTGCCGTCTTCGGCGGCATACGCAGCCGCCATGAGATCATCCATGATCTTTGATTGCGTCTTCCCCCCTGATTCGCGGTTCGTCGTGTATATCTCCCGCGGCTCTTCTATTTTCTTGAACCCGGAGAAGGGCCAGAATCTGGATGCTCCGCCCCCGTCGTTTGCGCGGGCTTGGCGCCGTCGGCATTTCCAGAGGAGGAATATTATGGCTGCGATTATTATCGTTGCTCCTATTGCTTTCGTTAGTTTTTTAGGGTTGCTAAAAGAGCTTTACTACGTTATAGCCTTACCAATTGTGCCGAGTGCTATGGCGCCGTCCTTACTCATTATAGATTTGGAATTCTCGGATTGAACTGCTTGAGCTTGTGAGGATTCGTTGCTTTGTGGTAGTGCGCTTGCTGGAAGATCTGTGCTGGTTGAAGTTGAAGAAGATTGAGTTGCTGATGTGCTGATGCTCGTGGATGTTGTCGGCTGAGGAGCCTCTATTGATGAAGACTTTGGGGTGGCATGAGCTCCAACCTGTTGTGTAGGTGTCTGTGTAGGTGCCTCAGTCCTGGCGGGGGGTGACGGAAACACATGTTTTGTCGGCGATGGTGTATCTGGTTCATCTTCAGATTCGGAATCGGGCTCGACATGATCAACGGTATGTGGGACATCGTCGCGAATAAACACCCTTAAGTTATTTGCGCGAGCGCTTCTCCGATAGCTTGAGCTCCTTCGTCATGATTAGAGCTGGAACACTTATAACGCAACTTATCGACTACTTACCTCATTGTGAATACGCGACACTAATAGAATCTCGACAACCTAGAATTGAAATAAATGAACAAAGGGGAAAGACGAAAAGTCAACCTCGATGAAAGTAATTGGTTATTCAATTAGGTCCAGCCGTAGATAGTAATTATCAGTGAGGGCGCAGCCCGATATCTCGAAGTGAAGTGAGAAAGAAAGTGACCTGGGGAAACACAACGTGCTCAGTTGCCAAATCCAGCGCAAGTGAGGATTTTGAAAGCCATTCTGCAGACCACATCGTTTTAATACATCTCAACTTAGTCGTCGAGTTCATTTCCCCATCCGCAGTTACGACTGCCCAGACTTTTTGAAACCCTCATTGACGAAGCACTGCCATTGAGATGTTTCAAACCTCAACCGCCGACGATGATCGCCTTGGCGCCAAGGGTACTAATGCCGATTTCTAATTCGCCAGAACCATGGAAGAAACTGTTTCGTCAGCTCAAATTAGCTGCCGTTGAGGCTTAAGAAGTTTAGCGACGTGCTCGGACGGATAGTTATTTTTGAAATCTGTAGCTATTTTTGGTTTATAGCATGTCTCGTCGTAGATTGGATGTGTGGGGGAGCAAGGGGATAAATAAATCGTGGACCGAATTTGATTATCTACATCAACCGTCCCTACCTAGATACCTTAACAATCTTAATATATACAGCTTGTAAGGAAAACATATAAACGTCGTAAATGTCGTTAATATCGTGGACATATAGCTCCGTGATCACATAAAATCCCTGAGACCGTCTGTCCCGTCCAGGGCTTCTCAAAGTTCGAGATGCAGGTTGAGAGGCCGTCTCTGCTTCGTCTTCGGAGCCGAGTAGACGTTATGGTCACCCCCTCCTCCTTGCCGCCTCCCTACGAATTGTGTAAGTGACCCTGACGCCACTAACACTCTTTGATTTCGTTGTTTTAGTTACCACCACCTTGGAAGAACTTCTCGTACGCTCCGTACTTCTGTCTTGACTTGAGGGTGTCAACACATACCGTTATTCGGCAACGATAGTGAAATCAACTTACGTGCTTTCCGCGGCTCACCATGCGATTTCATACCGTCACGCCAAATTCGTAAGGTCCAACTAGCTACCATGGCATCCATCATCCTCCGCGTGATAGGGGTCGTAACTATCAGTCTATGCTGATTCCCCATCTCGTCTTCTACCGCGATACGACTCCCGTCAATAGGGTGCATCCACTCGTAATGGTCGCGTTTCTTGAGTATCTCGAATATCACTTCGTCCCCCTTCAACGACTCCTTTCTAGCTCGATATCCTTTAGGGAACCCGCTCTCCTTCTCGGGTATGATCTTTACTACCTTATATCCCGATCGGGGGAAGGATGCGGGTTTAAGCGCGAGGTTCCCGATAGCATGTCGCGATATGGCATCCAAGACATATGGAAATCCGGTAGATATCACGGGAGGCAGATGCTTGAGCTCGAATATGCGACGGCTGCGGTGTATAACCCGAGGCGTACCGTTTGCGCTTATCCTTACGTTGCGAATCAGACGTTCGAGCGTTACTTGGGCAAGGCGGGCCTCACTTGTTGGAGATCTCCTAACATCACGAGAGAGTTCATATAATGGAGCACCGTCGGCCGTTTGGGCACGGATGTAATGGCCGTCAAGTACGAAGATGGCAGGCTGAAGTACGTCGTCTCCGTCATTCCGATTCTCTGGGATGTAAGGCGGGGGATCTTCTTCTTCTAGTGAGAGAGTTGTCATCGTGTAGGCAGCTTGGTTCCTGGCTAGCGTTAGGTTATATTGCACTAAACTACCAACGCTGTTATGGGTGCGGGCGCCTCTTGCGTCACAAGAGATTCTATTGAACGTTTGGAGGCAAAGAAATCATGCAGCTCGATGTCGGCTTCAGCGGAGTTTAGGCGTGGGGTATTATAAGCACTGCCCTGATGTTGAGTGGCTTATGCAGTAAGATAATATGAAATATGACATCATGAAGACTCAAGTTATGAGGTAGATATCCGCAGCAGAGAAGGATGGGACAATAAACAACTTATCAATTTGATCAAGTCAAAATTGGAACTTATAAGCTACGAGAATTCATATATCATATTTATTATAGTGTATCTGGCATTATAAACGGCATCAAAGTGTGTAATATTTATTTTGTGGCTCACGAAATCCAACTATTGATGCATCTCAATGGTAGCTTTTCATTACACAACCCTTTGAGAAAAGAACTAACTAATATAAACAACAAAGAACGTTGAGTTTACTTGAAATGAATTAAACAAGGTACCCCTCATAAAGTCATCTTCTCATTTAAAAAGCAAGTATTTAAGTTTCTGATCGATAATTTAGTAAATAAAACCGAGTCAAGAGATGAAAATTCTCTAAAGTCTCTCTAGTTAATGGCTAAAAAGACGTGGGGTTGCGGAGGCTCGGACGGTCTCGGACGGTCGGATATGTCGGATCAAATAACTTGACTGACTCTTGTTGGTTGGTTCGAAGAGTCGGTAGACCGTCTCATTCTCAATTATCACCGTCTAGAGAAATTCTTCTTCGTATGAGGAAGCTAAACGTTGCATCAACTCCGAGCCAGAACGGCAGTATATCCGATAATGTGCGAAAAGAATGTCGGCAACTCCTCCGACAAGACATCGCCCCTTGCCTCCACCAAATCGAAGACGGGATAAACCCCAGGTGGGTATTAATTATGAGAAAGCGAGTAGTGGTAGTAGTAATATGGATAACTAATAATTGCGTTCAGCTCTCATGTAATTCGTGTCGTCGGCGGAAGTATGTTTCCATTCTAATATCAGCACCAAATAAGTTGCTCTGCTCACATCAGCGTCTAGGGTTAAATGTGATCGACAACAGCCCTGCAAAACATGTTCCCTCCGGGGACTTGCCGCTTCCTGCAGTTATCCCCCGGACGCCACATCACGCCCTTCGGATCGTGATACCTATTCTACAGTGCAGAACCGAATCCGTGAGCTAGAGGGCCTTGTTCATACCCTTATGCAACGGGCAGCACCCAAGAACTCATCCAACGTCCAAGCACCCCCCGAGGTCACCGAAGGATCCCCCGACTCCGAGGCGGGTGCATCAGGAGAACCGTCTAATGGTGGTACACTAACGGACAGCCCCGCCGGCGTTAGCTACGTCGATGGTGCACATTGGACTGCTCTGTTAGACAGCATCTCCGAACTAAAGGATTACTTTCAAGATGGTACGGAATCAGGACCGCACTACCAAACTCCCTTGCAACGTATTCCTGACTTTGGGCCTTGCCCGCTGTTGCTATACGGCCGTTTTGCCCAGGCCAGCAAGGGAGAGATCTTAAGCATACTACCACCGCGAAGTGTGGCCGATTCATTGGTTTCGAAGTTCTTTACATCTATCGATTTAACACCAGGTAATATTCATACGCTTATTTTAGATAAGTAACGTCTTGGAGCTAATTATTCTATCTAGCATTATTACACAGCGGCCAGTTTATTCGACAGGTAACTACCATGTTTCGTATATTCGATGGTTTCTGATTGCTAACGGATGCTGCTTTAAGTACAACCAGTTCTGGGAAGACCCCTACGCAGCCCCGATTATGTGGATAGGGCTCTTGTTCGCTATCATGTGTTTTTCGTCTATGCTTTTACAACGCTACGGTGATCACGATCCAGGCGCTCTACCCCCTACTGCAGAGAATACGGTCCTTGTACGATCGTATCGAGAGAAGGTTGTCCAGTGCCTGACACTGGGAAAGTACACCAGGGGCGGTGAGAATGTCTTACAGACTCTAATTCTCTATATTGCTATAGAACATTTCCTCCAAGAGGATTCGGATTTTGGTACTCATCTTTTACTAAGCATGATAATAAGCATTGCTATGAGGATGGGATATCATAGAGATCCTAAAAACTTTCCAGTCATATCACCCTTCGATGGTGAGATGAGAAGACGAACATGGGCGGCGCTATACCAGGCGAATCTTATTTTTTCCTCCCAAATGGGCCTTCCGAGTATACTGAAAGACAACCAGATAGATACGGAAGAACCACACAATCTTGCGGACTCTGATTTCGATGAGGGAACAACTGAACTTCCTCCATCTCGACCCGAGACAGAAGTGACGCCAGGTTAGTAGCTTTGCTTCCTATAACAAGTATAAGGCCCAAGGCAATTCTAGAAATTTAACCAAGTTGGCAGTTTTATATATAATTACTAGGAGCCGCGTCTCGCGTCTCTGGGAAAAGGTTCGCGACTTAGCGACTGATACAAGGCCTCATAAATACGAAGAGACCCTTGCAATGGACCAAAGGGTACAAGCTGATCAGCTGCGCATTCCACCACCCTTAATGATGCAGCCTATACATCTGTCCATCGCAGACCCTCCAAACCTGGTAATGCAGAGAATTTGGTTGGACATCTGCTTCCTCCGGCTGAGAATCGTGCTACACAAGAAGTACTTTATGGTACCCATACAAAATGAACGTTACAATCACTCGCGAGAAGTCTGCATGAAAGCGGCCATGAAGATTCTTGAATATCAACATACGATTTATGAACTGGTCAAGCCAGGTAGCTTATTATACGAGACTCGCTGGAAACTTTCATCTGTGATGAATAACGAGTTTCTCCTAGCAACTAGTATTATATGTGCTTATATTAAACAGATTACCGATAGTCCTAAAAGAGCAGTAGAGGGAATAAGCACAGAAGAGGTTCACAAACTCCTCGTAACATCTGCGGAATGCTGGAAGAGGTACAACGACGTATCCAGAAATGCTCGGAGGGCTACCAAAGCGATCAATCTGGTCCTCGAAATCGCGGGTACTCCTACGGAGAGCCCGGCTAGCGCAGAGGACGAACTAAGTCCTATGTTCGCTTTGCAAGGTACGTTACTTCCTCGAGGGGCACTATTTCAATATGCTTCCATTTTCATATATCTAGTGACGACGAAGATGCTAACTCGGTAAAGACCCTCTACTTCTAGATTTTAGTTTCCCTTACACGTTGGACAATTTTTACGGGGGAGACGACTCGAAATTTGGGAACGACCCTTCGCTAGAAGCGATTTCGTCCGCAGAGCAGCATCTTACAGATGATGAATGGATTCACCTGTTCCAACGGGTATCTACCCGCCCAGCAAATTAATTCGACATATTGTAGGATATGATTGTACGTTCACGGGTTGTTTGAGCGGCAAGACAGAGGACAGATAGATATGACGTGAGAATGTGGTGCTCTCCCCTATAGACGCTCATTTTGATGTCGGCCTACGAAATCATTGTATACTACGACTACCCCCTTTGATGGGGCGAACAATCTCATTGTACACTACTATCTCACTAAGGCATTGTTTAGATTCCGTCTCGGTTCAGCAAGAACCAAATCCCGGTAACCATTTGAGAACAGCAAACAAACAACTTGGGAAAAAACTAGTGCTTTGTGCATAAGGTATTGTAGCAATGATCAAGTATTGCTTTGAAATAGGCACACGCCCGTGGGATATAAATACAAGCCTGATGCATAGTAGTAGCCCGATCTAAACCAAACCAGACACCCTAATAATTCATACCTTAACCAAGTTTAGACCTTAATCAACACCTTAAGACATTACCTAATACAAGATGTTCGCCAGACATCCGGAGACAGTCAAATCTCTTCAAATCTCCCTGAGGTTGAAGACCCAGCGTGATGCAGAGGCGTTGCTTGAGGTCGATGAAGTTAAGGAGGCGTTCCGGCTTTACATGAATAGGTGTCTTTCGGCGGCCTCCATGACGAGGGAACTGCCCGACTGGAAGCACGTCGACGACTACTTGCAAAACCTGCGCACGTCGTCCGTAGTCCGAAGCAAGGCGAAGACGTTGAGGGAAGCAGTAGAAGACGAGTGCAAGTCGGCGCCGTACGAGCTCCTACCGCACGTGTCGATGTTTGCCCTGCGGATCATGAGTTTCCTGGTAACCGCGCGGGGAGAGGCGTTCGACGTCAACTTAGACGCCGAGATAGCAAAGAGCCCCGAGGACATCCAGTTTGACCGCTGCATTAGGATCATGCACTTGTTGGGCTTCCTCGTCACCCGGGACCGAGAGGCGAGGAGAGCTAGAGAGGCTGAGAAAACCCGGCAAGCGATTGGACATAACTGGATATGAAGCCGTTCCGCGTGACGATGTGATGCCATGAGACTCGTTCGCTGGCTTCGAACGTGTTAAAATGTGTTTAACGCTTAGCTTTTTTGACTGTTTGATGTAGGTTTCCCGTCCAATAGTTAATTAATAAATAAATCGACTATTACCACCCCTTTGTCCTCTTGCTTTCATTTAGAGTTCAATGTCTTTCGTCTGTGTTCGCTGTATCCTTATATGTTACGTATCTCTCGTTGCCGATTCATCCGTCTACTCCATGTATTCTATTTCTCTGGTTTCCCCTTTATATGTATCTGTAGCGTTCCTCCTACTTTCTCCACCTCCTTAGTAGGTAAGTAGTAGACGGTTTCTTCAGAGCGGTGTTCACGCACATACGAGGAAGATGGGAGTTTAATTCCGGTACCCCTGTTGCCCTTTGTTTGCGGGTTGTCGGTCACAGTGGTGTGGGTATAAGGTATCATAGCCTGGATATCCATTCGATCATGTTCACGTTAGAAAACTAGATAAAATGCAATAAGGAAAAGAAGAGAGGGGTTATCCTCCTTTGGTCTCGGGTAGTCTCCTCCTCCTACATTCATTTCAAATTTTTCCTCTTGACAGGGCCCGTAACAATGCTCATACTCAATTACTACAGTGTTAAGTCCTCCTCGACCTCCCAGTGTATGCCTCATCAATCACGTTAATCCATGACCGCGTAAGACGCCTGGGGCGATATACCATGACCTTGGGAAAGTCATCCCCCATTTGGCCAGTAGAGAAGACAGCTCGTCTTTCTTCCCCGGCACGACGTTGACGAATATCCGATCTCCTCTACTCATGCAGGGCTCCGAGTGCACAGCACCGCGTTCCTGGCCGATGCGGAATATGCTGCACTCGCCCGGCTCCGCTTGAACCGAGCCTAAGGGAGCAAACTCGGTCGTGAGCTTATCCCGGACAGCTTCGGCCGTCGCCCCACACCCAACACAACGGACTGAAGTGCAGGTGTGATCTGTAGCTAGAGCACGCTTCGTCGAGCGCGACGTCGCGCGAGCTGCTGCCTGGTGCTCGGCGGGAATGAACATAGTTGCGGGACCGAGCAGCGTAGCGCATAACTTCCAGTCCGTCTGCAGGTCCAACTCTGCCTTTTCCCTACCCATTACTAGCGATCTTCTCCGGGCCCAAATACCGTCACCGTCGCCACTACTCCTATTAAAGAACATGTCGTCCGTGTGCCATCTCGGCTTGTTGTATTCCGTGGTCGCTTTCGTCGCGCGGATGGTGAGCCAGTAGTGATCAAGGCCATTTGTTCGGACGAACTCGTTGACGAAGGTTAAGAAGGGGAGTAGGAGTGGAAGTAAGGAGCCAGATAGAGCAGCGTGGGCCCAGTCGTGAAAGCTAGATGGGATATCATCTAGTGTGGAGAGCAAGGGGCCGCAGTAGCTCCAGAAAGCATCTCTCTCTACGGACAGGTTCTGGTCCGGCTGGTCAGGAGGCTCTTCGAGACCAAACTTTATGAACTCGAAGCTTGTCGATGATTGGAGCCTGTCCTTCATGGTTGGAGGAGCATATGGTTCAGAGTTCACTTTTTGGGGGGGCCTTTTGGGTTTACTCAAAATATCTAAGCCGGTAGTTTAGCACGGCCGGTAGTCTTAATTGAGAATAGCTAACCCCCTTTCAAGATATAGCCCTAAGACATAAAGAATCGTATGCATAATGTATACATGAATTGTATATATGTAGGGTACCTATGTAAGTGTACCTATGTAGGGCTAAGGTAACCAGAGAAACAGCAGCAGCAAAAGCTAGCGTTGCGTTACTCCGCGTCGGAGACACATGACTATCTATCTATATACCATGTCAGTTAGTTATACCATGTAAGTGCCTAGCTTCGCTGCCTGCTTGGGCGATGCAGATTTCCAAAAATAAAATAAATGGGAAAGGGACTCGAGCCCGATTCGTTCGGCGCCAGATACAGCGGGCCTATTCCGCGAACTCGCTCTGTCAGCCATTTTCCGAATAAGGAAAACAAGCTAGCTAAACCGGGCACGGGTACGCCTTAAGATCAAGAAGTCATTTTATATAGTATGTAGAGTTATTTTTTTTTAGTTGGAACTTGGGTTTAGAGGTCTTGTGGTTGGTATTGTCGTAAGATATGGAACGATTTTACGTAAATATTTTATATAATTACATAGTAGCTGGAGTGAATATCAGTTTCCAATGTTAAATGAGAGCGGCAGGATCATCGCTTCAGTGCGTAACCCCCTGCAGTTTTATACAACTAGTCGCGGTTCTAAGTCCCAAGTCCTACACAGAAGCATGTAAAGAACAAAAAGCCTACCCTATCGTAACAAGCTATGTAAGCGTATGGAACGAAAAGAAAATGAAAAAGACCCAAATACCCAACCCTTTTCTGGGTCGTAGCACGTGTCCTGCAGGCACAAAGCGGCCCGACTTAGATGAAGTGGCCGATTTAGCGAGCGTCGAAGATCGTGGACCGCATCTATTGGAAAAGCACGGGGAAATATGTTCTCTCTCGTGTTCCTTAGGCTTTAAGGCCTCGCAGATTCGGAGATTTGACAACGCAGGGCTGCAGTGCGCTAATATTATATAAGGTAATCTTTATATTAATTAACTATTATAAAACCCTTCGAGTTCAGCTCATACATAGTCGCAAAAGGTCTTATTCATTAACCATGAAAGCTGGAGACTGATGACTGGCCATAAAGAAACAAGAACCCAGTACAGTCATTTATGTTAGCATGCCAGGCTTCGGGGCTCGTTCGGCTTTAAGGTCTTGGATCATTCAAATTGATGGTCGCCTCGTCGGCATCAATGGGTTTACGGGCTGACGGGGTGGATGATGATGATAACGTTTACGTCTATTGGTCTGCTATATACTACTATGTAGGTACAGCGGCGCATCTCTGGCGCTTTAGACGTCTAGAGTACTCCCCGGGGGGAACAGAGCTAGAGTATCGCCTGACATAAAGCTGACGGGGTGGAGTTGGGTAACCTTTACCTTCTCTTATTGATTTCCAAGTGGAGCGGCCCTTTTACTGACGACTCGTACGATATCAAAGATTTCATATTCGATTATCGAACTATCGTAGATAAGTTACCAGCACCAGCACCAGCACACTGCTCATTAGGCGACGGCAGGCTATTAGCCAAGCTTGTCAGCTGTTCGCTCCGATCAGAATATTCGACGCTGCAAGGAGTAAAGTCCGTCATGGGTGAGGAATGATGGTAATTTTGATGGGGATGAGTATGAGTGAATTCTGCCACACCAGAATGCGAAAAATCGAATGGCAATGGAGACTGGAAGTTACTAGGCGTGTTGCCTTGAAGGCTGCCAGATGGGTCCTGTCCAGAAGGCGAATCGATTGTGTCGGGTGAGCCATCTTCAGTGTCTTCGTCGTCGGAGTCGTCTTCAACCTCGATATAAGGTATATTTTCATGAAAGACTTCGTCGCCGAGTAGTGCGGTTATAACGTGAGGAATATTGTGCGGCTCTTCTGTATTCTACCTTCGGAGGTAATTGTGTTTCTATGTTGAACATTAGTGCGGTGCTACGATGCCGGAGTCGAGACATCATCGGCAAAGCGTACATGTCTATCCTTTCATGTTACTGAGTTTCTTGCTTCGTTCTTTTGTCGGTTTCTTGAAGCCGTCGAACATGGCAACGCAGACCAGGCTTGGCGGATTCGGGCGATTAATCGGCCCAGCAGAGAAGCTTTCTTATTGTTCTCTTCACCTTCCTCCTCCTCGTCGAATTCCCAACCGCCCTCGTTTATCCGCTGAGCCCTTCGAATAGTTCTTTCTCTGTACAATTCGAAGGAATCTCGATGGAAGAGAGTGCCAGCACATTGAGAACGAGCCGCGAATCTCGAATAAGGTTGGCAGCGGTCGAATGAATGGTCAAGAGAACCAGTCGAGTAAGAACCCGGTGTCGACATCGTTTCGCGGTAGTTATGTATAGTAAAGTAACTGACTACTACCAGGTAACTATTCTGGAGTTGAGAAGAGTTCTGTGTGCTCTGTTACTGGGGGAGCCACCTATTTATGATACACACCGTCCTGGTTCTTGACGATGGTGGTTGCAATTATTCAAATAAAGGAGTCCGAGGGGTAGAAGTTGACTTCAACTCCTTGAACTTAAATCTATATAGTCCGAGCCCATCGTGGTTACTACTAAAGAATTGCATCGCATATTTTATCTTTGAGCACGGTCGTGATTAACTCCTGCGTATACTTTGTGACGTATGCTATTAGGAGACTTCGAGGATAGCCTCGTCGTTGCATATGATCCTCTCCCCATATCTGCGGCTCTTTCCTAAACGGGGGCATAATAAAGTTCAAGTTCTTAGATCTCCACCACTCGAACCCGGACCTACTTAGAAGTTAGTACCTATAAGACTTAGACTAGCGACTACCCAGACCGCGGCTGATGCTATGATACGGCCGGTAATCGATATATCACTACGGAAGTCCCCATCAAAAGTTTTGTCCATAGGCCAGCCCCTGTCAGCTATGACCAGCTTTAACAGGGCTTGGCAACAGCTACAGGCCACATACCGAATGTATTATTCAAGCTACGCTCTTTTTACTTACATAGAACAGCACGAACTTTCAGTTTTAAACAATGAAGTTTATATAGAAGTGTAAAAGAGCCTTTATCCTTGATATATTTATTTTCAATATCTTTCTTTAGTAAATCAGGGGTAAAATATCTTATAAAAGGTACATATGTATACATTTAAAATCTTGGCTGCCGCATGGTGCCAGGCTTTAAACAGCTGTTCCAAAAGCTGTCAGGTGGCATCTATGGACAAAACTTTTGATGGGGACTTCCGTAGACCTTAAGGAGTTGTGATAGACACGTACGGCATGGCATGCTAAGCTGTTGGTTGATCACAAGGAAATATCCTATGAATTCTAGACCGCAACGCTCATCATCAACAAGCGGGGTAGAGAGCAATCGATCGATATTATGTTCTTCACATGCTTGCGGTCCGGTTTAGAGGAGACGGACCGTGTTTCGTCTCCTTCGCCGTCGCTGGCGGGGTTAACTTACCTCGCCCAGGCCTTCTAATTTCACATCTCATTATATTATTTCTCAACGGTTTTGGGATTGAAACGCCCATATTAATCGACGTCGAACGACGCACGTACTAATTCAAGACCATAATACGTTAAGAATTAGCCGCGGTACTCGTCCGTTATGTATATTGTATATATTATATATCGGTATTTTATACCCTAACTTGCGTTCGATCGGCATTAGACCTCTATGGCAAGGCGTTAACGGCGTTCCAGTAGGAGATAAGGTTGGTAGTTATAACAGGTGTGGTTTCAAGGGGCCTGGAGGGTGGAAAAAGGCAGAACCTACTACGATTTGATACCGACCTTAACCCGGCGTAATTCAGTCAAGCCAGTCAAGCTAGTCACGAGGAAGGAAGCTTAAAGGAACTCCTCGAGGTCGTTTATTGGCCACCTCAGGGGTAAAATGTCGATGCTACGATAAACACTGCTTACTGTACGAACCATCACCGAGGCTCTGAAAACGCTACTACTATGTAATCTAACAAGCCTATTGCAATCATTTAAATACGTAGGTAACTCGTAGGTAGACTTTGGAAGTCCTCTGAATACTTCCTGTCGCGTTTACTGAGGCTGTGAGGTCATACTAAACCCAAACAAGAGCACTAGATTAGGTGAATTACCGCCCTGTTGGCCATCTATTATAACACTCAATTCAGCGCGGCTACGGACCCAACGAGGTGCGATGTCTGTGTTGCGGGGAGCATGCAGTGATCTTTGACAGAGCGAGGTGGGTAAAGAACTGGATGCGCCCCCCTTACATTACAGGGAACCCCTGTCGAATTCAGGAACGGGAACGGGCGCAGGCGATGCCGTCCATACCCATACCACGTTCAGCTAGATTGGGCGAAGGAATGGTCGAAGAAAGAGTGCAGAAAACTAGAGGCCAATAGTCGATTCGGCTTCTATTCATCGCCCCCAAGGGATTCTAGGAATGCTCTCCGCTGACGAAAGAGGAATCATGGCATCCAATGAGGTTGAACGAAGTCTTGATTCGATCTTACAATACTAAAAAGGACTAAAAAGGCGAGACTGCGCTGAGTTTTGGTAAAAACCTCAGTGCAATCTTACTTATTATACCGCCTGCTACAAATGGGTTTCCCGTACGTTGTGTCGATCGCACCAAAGGGAGGAGATTTGACCTTTTGTGGTCTAGGTACCGTATATAAAAGAGCCAAGCTTTTTAGGCTACAAATCTATGGTAACTAGCGGCACAGTCTGATAGGGCTGTTGAAGCTCTGACCTTGTTAGTCTAGAGATTAGCTGAAGATATCTGGTCAAGTAATTATTAATTATAACTAGCCAGACCGTTCGAAAGCAGAGCGGCTACAGTAGAGAATAGCAGCATTGGAAATTAGCACGAGAACTACCATAAAAGACCTCTATTTTGTGGAATACCTACCTACCTATGTATGAATACGCCTTATTTAGAAAGTACATAGGTCGATTTATCCACGGAGTCCGAGTCTGCTGGTGCTTGGGGCCCCCAGACCCGTAGCTTTCTTAGAGACGGGATTGGATAGGATAAGCGGAAATGTAGACCCAGAAGGATTTCATATCCCCTGCATATGGTCGCATTGAGAAGCAGGCGTGCAACTACACGAACCCATAACGAGCTAGCCCAGAAAATGAGACGAGGCAGGTCAGGTTGGATTGCTGTAATATAATACGAAGTATGTATAGGAGGATTCATAAAACAGTTTGAATAACTCCCCGGGGCCACATACACTATGAGCGAGAGCTGAAGAAAGTCCCCAGCCCATTCTCGCCACAGCGTCAGCTGTGTCGTGACAACCTAATTTCGAGTGCTTCTTGACCAAAGGAAGACCATGCTCTCTCACAGACTATCACGGATCCAAATTCTCTCGAGCTGAGCAATTCTTGTCAATCTAGCGGTATTGGTTCTTTGAGACGACGCCATGTCTCAGCCACCGGAAGACACGCCTTACAGCACGCTTGAGGTCTCTCCGCGGGACCCAGAGACCTTCCAGAAGGAGGTGATACAATATCCAGACCACAGCTATCCGCAAGCTGTTCCTGTCGAACACGCAGCCGTGGGGGATACACAATCGTATTATGGTCCCGAGTCCGCAAAAGAAGTCGTAAATTCATCACATCTATATCCTGGTGTCGTTCCAGGCCCGTATAAGGACCCGAACTACGCTGCAGGTTCAGCGTACCATCAAACCGCCGCGGCATATCCCAATGGCGCAGGCTATCCCGCAAGCACGATTTATTCTGACGGATCAGCATATCCAAACAGCGCATATCCTACGACCGTGGGTAGCCCGATAAACTCTTCTGCTTACGGACCCGGGCCAATAGACGCGGCCGGACTCGGCGGAGAATCTCCTCCTACAGAGAAGGCAACTCCAACAAAGACGATATGTGGCCTCCCAAGGAAAACATTTTTTATAATTCTAGGAGTAGTGATCGTCGTGGTTATTGCGCTAGCAGTAGGAATACCGGCCGGCTTGGCGAGTAAAAAACATACGTCAGAGTCAACAGATTCAGCGGTGTCGTCAGGGTCGAACAATGGCAGTCCAACAGATCTGCCGTCGAATTCAACAGACGAAAAGCTCATACTCGACAATTCGAAAATAACCGCATCTAACTGGACAGATCCGGATGGGGTCATTCACAGGACTATCTTTTTCCAGGATGCGTATAATTCTCTTATCGCTCGGCGTTGGGACTCTACGAATAAGTCGTGGAAGACGAATAACCTAACCGAGTTGATGGCTGCGACAACGAAGCCGCTCAACCCACAACCAGGAACACCATTAGCGAGCGCGTCTATGGATTATAAGCAAACATTCGAAACACATGTATGGTTCACGGACCCGGATAACATTATAAGATCTATGGCTTCTGTCGACGCGCTTAATAGACCCGACAGTTGGGATAACGATACGCTCGACAATGCTAGACTAGAAACTTGGCCTGGGGGTCAGTTAGCGGCGATGTGGCAACGCTGTTGGGGTGCCGATTGTGATGGTACTTGGGTTGTCGCCTACCAACGACCAGAAGGAGCAATAAAAACGGCCAATTCAAGTACTTGGGCTACCGCAACCGTAGCGGTCGAATCTCAAGATGTCGCCGCCAACTCCAGCCTGGCCATCCTCCCTAAGTTGCGTGGGCCATGGCTCGACCGCCTGGAGCTCGTCTCCGAACAAGTGACATCAGGCAAGACGGGAAGTATGATGATGACGCCGTACGATGACACGTGGAATGGCGCTGATCAAAAAGGTAAGCATACTGATGAATATTTATGATATTTTATATTATTTCAAGACCCCCCGAATAGGCCTGTAAGCTGACATATATCCAGTGACCGTACTTCAAGACGGCATACCACTTCCCGCTCCATCCCAACAGTTCGCTGCTACTAGATGGGATAGCTGGAACCAAGCCTTATATCTCGGACTCCTTCAAGGAGGCAAGATCGAGGGCAGCCATTGGGACGGTAAACAAATGAACCCTATTTCAAGCTTCCAGTTCAAATCCGGCCCGGAGACCAACTTCACGGCCATCGCAATGTCGCCGGATGCTATGTTTTACGGCATCTCTAACAATGAGATCTTAGAATACTCGCTAGACACGTCAGATCCGTCAAACTTCAACTACGTAGGAAGAGCATATCCATGATACCTATGCGACGATTTATACTTTCTTATTTATCGAAACCGTAAAAGGATACCTAGGTTTAGGAGGTCAGGGATTTGATGGGTCACAAGGGAGTTGGGAGGAAATATCTGTCTGCATACTAATGAGTTACAGAGTATCTACCATTTTATTCTTATATCACATGGCCACGTACTATTTTAAAACGGAGCGGCCTTTTTAAAAGCGAATATTAAGAGCGGAGGTTGTCGTTGCTCACTCCGTGCGGCTCTACAACTCCGCAATACGATTTACTTGTATGTAAACGACTAAGATACCTTGGCAATAGAGAAACAGTGAACAAATCATCAACCTTAATCCATCGTCTTTGTTCATCTCATATTGAGTGTTTAACCCTAACAAGAGAAGCGAGAGCCTATGTGTATATGGGTCGGAATAGTAATCAGACCTACTGGTATCATATAAGAAGGTACCGAATCTAGATTCATTGACGTTGAAATCAACTTTAGCATAAAGTAAGGGACACACATATGATTAACCAATCGATCTATCTGCGGAGCTTCATGCTTTTTAGAAGGGCCAGTCTAAATCTAGCCTCGGTTCGTAATCGTGACGCGCTCTAACCATCGACGACGTCATAGTATTGAACAGCCGTCACGTAGACCAACAACCTCTCCTAAATCAGTTCTATGATGATGTTTGTGAAACAAACCTACCCAGACTAAGTTAATAATTCCAAGTGGCGGGCCAATAAGTAGTAGACATGATGAAGCAACTTTGCCGCACGTAGCGATTGGTCTGGTCAATATAAAGACGAGGAGAGCTATGCTTAAAAGTGGCGTTGTTTCTCACCGGACTACACTCAGACCCATCAGTAGAAGAAGTCATCTCGGAAAACCAACAGATCGACCATATTTCAATAACATATACTCAACCCTCACAGCAAAGTGTTAGATATATTACTTTCAACCACCAACTCCCACGCAATATGTCGTCGTTCTCAAATACGGACACCGGCAACAAGCCGTCTGGGCCATACTATGAGAAGAACATTGACAAAGATGTATCCCTAAAAGAGAAGGTTGAGATACTCATTAAATTCGTGTCGTCGTGCAAGTTCGGCATGATGACGACGCGAGACCCCTCGAGCGGGAAGCTGGTCTCTCGATGCATGGCCGTCGCAGGCAAGGTAAGCAACGAGTCCCCGCAGATAGTATCTTAGGTACCTAGGACGTTCAAGTCTCCTATTACTTGCTCGTCTAAGTCAGAATGAAACAGTGCCCAGATAACTAACCGTAATATCCAAACCACCAGGAAGGCGGTGATATCGACCTAACCTTCACGACAAACACAGAATCGCACAAGACGGACGAGTTGAACGCGGACAGGCATACCAATATCTCATTCTACGACCACTCGGGCCAGTGGGCCTCAATCGCGGGCGAGGCGACCATCGAGACGGACCGGGAGGTCGTGAAGAAGTACTACAACCCGATGCTCAAGGCTTGGCTGGGAGACCTTGGTGACGGCATTCACGACGGAAGCGAGAACGATCCGCGCATTGCTGTGCTCAAAGTGAAGACCAGTTCCATCACATATGCTATCACAGATAAGTCGGTAATGGGCAGGGTTGCCGAGGTTGCCAAGGGCACCGTCACGGGCGAACCGGCGGGTGTTAATAAGTTGAGAGAGATTAGTGAGAGTGAGGTCCAGCAGTGGAGGGCCACTGCGTCGAAATAGGCTCGGGGTCGAGGTCGGGGATGAGAGGTGTTCGCAATCTACTATAGCCTCACTATAGTCAAACCTTATGAAGTTAAAATCTAATGAGATGTTTTTTTTATGTCAATGTCGATCAGATTCTATGGTCTTTCGATGACGCAGTAGTAAGCAAACTGGCGGTCTGCTTGACTTTATAATACGCCTTTATAACAATAATAAGAGTTGACGTTGTTAATGACCACGATAGTGATAATAGGGAAGATAGGTAAAAAACACTACCATCAACCGGGATCACCCATACAATTGATCTTCCATTCTGCCGGACGAGGTTCTTAAAGTAGTAAGTATATTCGGGGCCGACGGCGTTTCGGAGGTGAGAAAATTAATTTGGAGATTTGGAAGAATTAAGTCAGCCATAGCTAGCGGCCAGTCAGCGCTGGAGCCATGCCCTGTTAAGGACAAGTGCAGGCCCGAAACGCGGGAGTGGACGCTGATGTAACGGGTTGGTAAGGCTTGGTGGCGGGGATGCTACCCATTGCTACGTACCTACCGTCGGGAATTTTCACTTTTTGTAAGGCAATTGCTGACCAACTACCAAAACTTTACCCAGAAACTAGCTCGTACAGGGACTACCTACAAGGACTACAGGGTAATTGCCCCGCTTCCCTCCCCGTGATGTTTTTCTTCCTTCCCACCCCCTCTGCTCCTCTGCCCCTATCACAAAAAACCAACGTCAACCAAACAAGATCGGGCGAATCTTCGTGATATTTCTAGCTAGCCTAGGTACATAATGCATCCACCCTCGTCCCTGATTCGCGACCTACCTGATTCAGTCTTACTGTTCGATCCCGTATAAGACATAAGACACCCTCTAAGGCTCTAACATCTCTGCCCCTCATGAGGACTGTCGCCTTTTCCTTTCTTATAGCTATACTGTCTATAGTTGTCTTTAGAGAACGATTTATCGACCTGACCACAACGACTTTCAACTCCGTGCTAGAGACTTTTAAGGCCTACAACAGCAACAGCAGAAGTAGTAGCAATAGCGCCGTGACTAACAGCGATACGGTAACCAAATCGACCACCACCGAATCCGAATCTGAATCCGAAGCCCCTTTTTATAACCCGTCCGAGAAACTCGTTGTAACTGAGATGTCTGTCCCGCGCGCAATTCGCAAGGTCTTCCTAGCGGTCGAACAGGCCGAAGGAGCTGGAGCTAGGGTTAGGTCAGTTAGACCCGAAAACGGCTATGCACTGAATACGTGATCCGGACGGCAAGTTAACTATTGGTAGGAGAAGCGTAGGAACGCCGCAATTACGGAACTTCTCGCCCTTCCTAATGCTAGACCACTTCAGCATCAAACCCGGCGCAGGCTTCCCAGACCACCCACATCGCGGCCAGGAAACCATTACGTATCTGCTAACGGGGGGTGTCGACCACGAGGATTTCGCCGGTCACGCTGGTACCATCGAGGCCGGTGACCTGCAGTTCATGACAGCCGGCCGGGGCATTATGCACGCCGAGATGCCGCGCCAAAACCCGGACGGCAGCGCGAACGTCGGTTTACAATTATGGGTTGATCTACCCGCCCACCTTAAAGCTTGCGAACCCCGATACCGCGATCTAAAGAAGGACGAAATTCCGAGCGCCGAATTGGACGGCGGCAAGGTTCGCATCAAAGTTATATCGGGACAAGCCGGTGGCGTTGAAAGCCTGAAGGAACTGGCTTATACCCCGGTTTGGTTGCTCGACGTGGAAATGCAGCCGGGTAGCAAGTTGGCTCAACCTCTCCCGAAGGGCTGGAATGCCTTCTCGTACCAGCTAGAGGGATCCGCCGTGTTTGGCTCCGGCGACAAGAAGCAGACGGTCGCGCAGTATCACAACTGCGTATTCGAGCCGGACGGCGACGTGGTGAATGTCGAGGTACCCGAGAGCGCAAAGGAAAACGCGCGCTTCGTCATAGTTGCCGGCCAGATCCTGAATCAGAAGGTTGTCCAGTACGGCCCGTTCGTGGCGAACTCCCCCGAAGATGTGCGACAGGCGTTGATAGATTACCAATTCCATATGAACGGGTTCGAGAGGGCCAAAGACTGGCAGAGCGAGATCGGAAAGACAATGGTTGGCTGAGCGGCCAGTCGCCTACGGTTGTTGCGCGCCTTGACATCATCGTATCTCCCCTTCGGTCCTTATATTCGCGCCTGGCCTTACGAAATTCCTGTATATAGTATATTCTTCTTCCTGCGCTTATTCTCTTCTTTTAGATACCTCAAAGCACAACCTCGGCGTATACGGGTGAATGTAGAATGGCATTCAGCAAAAATAAATATTGAGTAGTGATTAGCTTGGGTGTCTCTTCTTCGTTTGCGACTCGCGATATTAGAAATTCCCTTTCGGCCGTTTGACGGGATAGGCGTCTGGCAGGTTCATAACCCATTGGAGACGCGCTAGCTCGTCTCTTGGGGGTTGAACGCCTTTCCACCAAGATACCTTCCGCGGGTGTAAGCCTGTCACCTGCTGTAGTCGCGGATGGCTGAGGATGGATGCGGCCTCAAGCGATTGGCCATGGTACGGCTGTCCAGTGGGTAGACCGGTTCTACCGGTTGGATTCTTCGGTTTTGTCGGCGCGGTCTCGCTAACACTATTACCCCTCGGGGAGCTTGGAGGAGGGGAGAACATAGGAACTCGGCCCCTCGAAGCTAGCACCGCCCTATGCTTTTCCTGTTCAGTCGGCATACTCGAGATTGCGTACGGATAATCAGTATATCGTAACTTAAGCTAGAGGTTCCGCCTAGTTAAAGCATATGTTGGGAGAGTAGGTAAGTAAATAAAAAGCAGAACACAACACAAGTTAGACCTCTTTCACGGACGTAGCCTCAAGTTTTATGTCATCCTCAGAAGTTCCAAGAGCTGAACACATGCCGTCATAGCCAATCACTCGCCGTCTTACTCGCATGTAACACCTACCAAAAAGGATAGGAACAGCATATTAGTCTACGAGGTGCAAGCCTACCTAGGTAAGGTACCTAGGTATGCAGCCTCATCCATGCGTGATCACTCATAGGCGTTGTAACTGGCGTCTCTGCCTGCCTAGAATTTCCGGTATGGCCTGTCCTCCGGATGCGGGACGCGAGCAGGCTGCCATGGGGTAGGTAAGCAAGCTTTCGGTCTCACATCAGTCGTGTGTGCTAGGTAGGTATGCACCGTGAAGAGGTGAGATCGGGGCGATTGGGGAAAGATTTCCTGAGTCATACCTATGTATTCACCGGGTATGTAGCTATGTATGTGTGTGCCCCCTGTCGGCTCTTTATTTGGTAAATGGCCCCATCCCGGACCATTCCGCCCACCGAAAAAAAAAAGTCTCGGCGTGTTACAAGGCCGTCATCGTAGCATATGCGGCGTACAAACCTAGTCCGCTTGTGTATATATGGTTGAAATAATTGGAAAACGTGAGGGTTTTTTCTACTGGTTGTGGAGGACGTGGAGCGGGCCGATCTTGTCAGCTACGGAGATATACGGTAGATAGGCGAGAGCCTTATTTCATGAGGTTGTCCGTCTGCTTGCGTAGGTTCATGTAAATACTTTCTTTAACCTCACAGCCTTGTTTTTTTTTGTTTTTTTTTTTTTTTGTTTTTTTATCAGACAGTAAGATGGCGTTAGTTTTCTTGCTGGGCCCGGTGCTGTATTACTGGCATTTTGCTTTCCAATAGCTGCCGTTTGATGTTGTGTATCCATACCTAGTTGTTCTTCCCCACCTAACTTAGGGGGGATGGGGAAGAGAACACACGAAAGGAGAGACTACTTATTGGTAACTATTAGTGTTCCTCACCTTATAAGTGGTACTGGGCTAGTTTATATCGTATCATTCCAACGTATACCGTTTTTACTCTAAATTATAGCCCTAGTCTTTCTACACTTAGGGGCTAGATCCACATACCGATACCATGGCTAAAGTAAAAGCTCAGTGTGTGAATGATCAGTACGAATTATTAAAGACCTGCATTCCTAGTCAAATGAGAGTTTGAAGGGAATGTATATCAAGTTGACATGATATATCGTACAGTGACATCCAGCTTCGAGGTGACAGTATCATAAGGGAGCGCTTTATAAATACATGTAATCCAGAAGACGTTTTTAGCTACGTACTGCACAAGTTTATACACGTGTACCGGGCGTACTAGTGTTACAGTATACGTAAAGTATACACAGAATTAGCACGGGGGAAGGAAACCAGTTTGCTCACACCAAGAGGGACCGCAGAACAGCTGGATCGTATGTTATGTCTAAAAATAAATAGTTCCATTAAGTACCTAGGTAGTATTTGTGATGTGGCTGTAAACCGATCAGTCTATTATTTACGCAAAAACTACATAGATTAGTGACAGTCACCAAGCAAAGGAGTTGCTGTCGAACACCAGGAGCTAGTTGGACGAGCGTCAGGTATGGCGGCGGGGTTACCCTCAGAGCCATACGTTAGGTGATAACGGCCACTCAGGCCTTAGGATACAGTAGTTGGGGATATAAGGTTCCGGTGTGACGATACTACCTGACCTATGGGGAACCAAGTCCAGGATGGCACATCCCGTATCGCCTAGGGGGGATAGGGGCGAGGGGAGACTTCCTACAAACTAGGTAACTAACCTTGGCCTAAAGATTTCCTTTTGGGATGGCTTTAATGTATCATGTCGTAGACATGTCCATATTAATGTACCTCACGATCATGCGGTATCCGGACGAACGGACAACTTCTTACCCCTTACGATGCTGGGAACGACGATCTCCTTCGAGTATGCCTACATATGAAGTGTCCATTAGTATCTAAGGCCCAGTGTTTTGATTACCTCGGAAGAAATACCCGCTGGAATGTTAATATAGTGCGTCTAGACCTTATTGTCATCGGAAAGGTCTTAGTAGGCAGCTCTTTATGGCCAGCGATATATATTCGATATATATTAAAGATAATTTATATAGGTAGTTTTCTAATTTGCAAAAGTACCAATACATCCCGAGTATATCCAGGCCGGATTAGGAGTGCTTCCTTTTCGCCTTATCGGGGGTCTTTCTGTGTTAGTTAAGAGGCGTTAGCATATCGAACAGAAAATCCTAGTAGGAATAGATCTATCTACTCAAGCCTACCCGGTTGTATATTCGATGAGGCCATGATACTACAATGGTAGGTATAATAAGATGCCTACGACAGAAGTAGCTTAACCAAGGTACTATGATATAGCCCTATTTTAAGTGTAATATACCGGGGTAGTATATTCAATATCGATATCCCTTCGTAACTAGTAGTGATCTACTCGAGGAGGTACCTCTTACGCTATTCCTCCTCGTTGATAGTAACTCTGGCTTCTTACCCTATTGGCTAAAGCATGCCTATAATTTGGGTATTTGTATGCTACAAGGCCTTGTGATTCTAGACATTTATCTTCAGAGGTTTCTGTTGTAGTCAAGGAAGGCTGGTGTACTTAACACTAGCTTTTCCACGAATAATAATCATTTCTTTTCGCCGGCATCTATACATTAGGTACCCAGTGAGGCAGTTGTTATATATGGCCCTTATAAATAGGAGATATCGAGGAATAGAACTTCCCTAGCCGACAATCTAGCTTGCATATCATCCTTTACTACCTTCTTAAACGACTTGGTTAGACCCCCTATTTAGTACCATAGCTACCGCTAGATGTACATAAAGTTGTAGCCATTATCAGAGTAAGGAACCTTGACATGACGTGATGACAAGCGAGTTACCCGCGGAGGTTACAAGTTACTAGGTCAAAACCCGCAGCATGAACCTCCACGTGGACATCAAGGATCAAGGCATACTTGATATGTAGCTGCATAATTTATATTATCGTGATACTCAACAGACATATCCAGCAATTTGGAGTGTTCTGTCGATCAGCTCTCGGTGGTGGATAGACCACGCCGGTTGAATCGGATTATACTAAGTATGCATAGAATCAGACATCATTAACTTAGCTTTCGTGATAGGTAATATTGGAAATGTGACAGCATGCAGGATATATGGCATACAATCATCTGTTCTATCCGGTTACTCTTGCGGTTACTCTTGAGCTGATAGAGGAGACGTGGGTTGGTTGCAGCCGAGATAGTTACTACATAGTCTAGCTTCAGAAAGTATGATACCTCGCTTGTATAGGACAACAATATTTCTATAAGCCAACGTATATAATGAAGTGATTTGATTATTCGAGCACTGTAGGTAATATCAACGAGTATAGCGTATATATTATCTGCGAAGATATCTTTTATCCCGGCACTCTTAACTCGTTTAGGAATTGTGCCAGAACATTCTAAGTGCATGTGTAGTATTCAGCGAACTCATAATCCTTGACTTTCATATAGTGATGTAGGTATTTCTAAGCATATACGTCGGAACCAGCCTATCTACGCAAAAGTTCCGCTCATAGTACCTGCAACAGTATAATGTAACGAGGTTTCAGAAGGATCATAGTTGGAGAAGCCACGTGGGATACTAAATTTGGTGCGATTTAATATGGGAGTCGTGGAAGTGTGTTGGGATTAGCAAATGGGCGAGCGGGAGTTATAGTAGGGTCTCAAGCGGATAGATTGAATCAAATGAATACATCATCAACCCCGTCTCCGGACGTCAACCCGATCTTCGGATCGATGAGATTAGCGTAACATCCTCACTTGAAAGGGCTGTAGATGACTATATTCCACGTGGACGCCATGTGGTCGAGGACCCGGCTGAAAGGAATCTTTCCACACGATCCTCTGGGGTTCGGAATTAATCATTCCGCTAGAGTCCTAATCGGCGTGCCCGCGGCGGGATGCTATATGAGTGCCTATATTGATATTTCGTACGTACGCATGCAGCCGCTTCATTTAGCCGCTCTTGGCAGGAACCCAGGGCTACCACGATGTAGAACCTCAACCTCCGTTGGTCTGCATTGCAGGATACAGCGATTAGTATAAAACCCGGGCTAAGGACGATCATCAAGTCAAAGATTTCACACCATCAATATCAACACTTCCAAGCCCTGATCTTTTCATACTAAAACCTTCACGATGCTCTGCAACAAGCTTCTCCCCCTCGCTACGCTCTTGGGCGCATCTGTCGCCCAGAACGCCACGCTCCGGTATATGCCGTTCGGTGACTCTATCACCGAGATCATCTGCTGGCGTGCAAAGCTTTGGGAGAAGCTGAAGCCTACCGAGTGGGGATCTGTGGACTGGGTTGGCTCCGGAAAAGTAGAAAACAACTGCGGAGACAGCACGTACGACCGCGACAACGAGGGCCACTCGGGTTTCTTGGCCATCGACATTGCCAACAGGCAACAACTCGTCGGGTGGCTCCAGACTAACCCGGCGGACGTTATCACGATGCATCTCGGTACCAACGACATCGTGCAGCAGAACAAGCCGGTTAACGATATCATCGCTGCCTTCACGACCCTAATCGGCGTGATGAGGAACAGTAACCCCAAGATGAAGATCGTCGTAAGTTTCCTATCAATTCTTATCTCACTACTTTCCTCAGTACTAGTAGTTGTTAATTTCGTCCAACTAGGTCGCTCAAATTATCCCCATGGGCTTTGGCAACTACAACACCCAGATTCAGAATTTGAACAAGGCCATCATCCCCTGGGCGCAGGGCCTCAACACCACCGAGTCGCCCATCTGGGTCGTGGACCAATACACAGGCTTCAGCGGCACCAGCGATCTGCGCGATGGCGTACACCCCAACGTAAGTAGTACCAGCAAATGTCCCCTGTCATATCTGCCATAGGGCTTCCTCGGAAGACTCTGGAGTTCTTAGTTGAAGTAGTTGCTGACCCTCTTTACCGTAGGCTTCGGGCGATGATAAGATGGTGAACGTCTGGTACCCGGCTCTTGTTAACGCCTTCCAGGTAGCTCAGGCAGAGAAGAGCGCGGCTGCTGAGAAGGTTGAGGTCCCATTCACGGCATAGAGAGTATTTTGCGACTCATCTCAAGACGCTACCGAGATATTACATAGTCTCTTGGTGATGCTCCTCGTGGGTTTACGCCACAGTTGTTTTATTTCTACTGTATATATTGATCAACGTTATATTAAAAAAAAATGATGTTCAAATTGGATAGTGTTGCTTATGGATTGATATAATTATTATTGACATAGTTATTTCAAGACAATATTGATGATGAATTGGATAAGTTCTTAACTTAAAGCTTCTAGGTGATAGAGTGGATCTCCTATTTATATTGAGTGATGCTACTTACAGATTACCTTGCCAGTCCTTCCAGACAGATTACTTTTCAGAACAAGTGCATGCACCTGCCCACCAAAATTACTAGTAAAATGACATGGCCACTTTCTGCCCCATAACTTTCTCAGAACACCCAGCATGCCAGGCGCTGCAGGTCCCTAATTCGGGGCCTCTATTCAAGGCCTCTTACGTAATATGAGGCTCTAAAGCCTTTTACATATGGACATACCTGTATAAGGCTCATCACTCGATAATACATACCATTTTTAAAAAGTGTCGCATTTATATAATATTAGTACTATTAGATCCCTCTCATCTTAACGACTATATTGGTATAAGTGTTGACTGGCGAATACGTTGTATTAGCTGGGGAATACCATATACATATTACTATTTTCAGATTACTTGGCCTTATACACAGATTACATGCCACTATTCAGAGATTACTTTGCTTATTTAAAGATTACTTTTTTAATAACTTTTGAAAACACGGTCGTATCGTAGAATGATTAGTATCAATCAATTCAGCTCAATTAGACGATGCTAAAAATATATAAAAATACTTATATCTGTTAAAAATATCTAGTAATCTTGACTTTTTGTAAAGTCTCGTGAGATTAATAGGGCAGAAAGTGGCCATGTCATTTTACTAGTAATTTTGGTGGGCAGGTGCATGCACTTGTTCTGAAAAGTAATCTGTCTGGAAGGACTGGCAAGGTAATCTGTAAGTAGCATCACTCTTTATATTTACACAGTGGGCATCCCGTTACGCTTGGGCGGTGCCGATGTCCCGGTTGTCAGTTAGCGCCAAGATAAGCTAACTTTAAATACCCCTGTTAGGATAGATTCCGTAGGGTCTGAATCAAATCAGTTCAAACTCTCGACAAATAAGGTTACCGATAAGGATTTCGAGACTAACTAAAAAGACAGATGGACAGGGATAATGATCACTTTCCTGCTTTCTTATTGCGTAGGCCGCGCAGGAAGGCACTTCGTGTCTGCGTTGTTGTCTTGTTAAACGTACATACGTAGAGAAGCCCCTGCCAAGCTCTTACCTGAAATATTCTTGGTGTAGCCTTCGTGTATCCTTCGTGGTGTCCTTTTTCTTTTTTTCCCCTTTCTCATCAGGATTGCTTCTGCGCCGTTATGCGCTTTCGTTAAAAGACTGCGCAAGCAATACACTCTTTACCTCACTCTTTTATATTATCGTCGAGCGAATGGACCTCCCGCCAAAATGCTTATGAACTCTCCCTTCTCCGCGCTTTACCTGCGCTGGAAGCAGCTACCCAACCTCCATAAGGTGATATCTGTATCCGGCCTATTTATTTTCTTATTAGGTAAGACAATTCTTCTTGAAGCAACGCGCATCACGCGCCAGTACGCTGATGCAGAAGGCCAATATAGTTATATTTCTTCAGCCTAATCCCGACGTTGCACGCGATGGGTGGAACCGTCTTACACACTCCGATAATGGCCCTTTGGCTGGTGGAATTCCTCTTCGTGTCATGTTCATAGGCGCCTCTATGACCCTCGGTGAGCACTCGACTGGCGAAGTCGGCTACCGAAAGCAACTTCGCGACTGGATGGTTGCTAGAGGCAATCCCGTCAACTATGTCGGCCAGGTATTCCCCCCTCCCCCCTCCGCCAACCGTAGTTGGTGGTCCATCCCAACGTTTAGATTATGCTAACCCCGCACGTGCTTCCAGAACCGATATGGTGACTTCAAAGACAACGACGTCCAAGCATTCGGTGCCCAGCCTATACAACCTACCCTCGATCGCCTTAAAGAAGTCGTACCTCAGACCCAACCAAACTTGGTCATAATCAATGCTGGATCAAGCGATTGTTTCCAGTTGGACCATTGGGGACCGGCGTATGTCTTCCAGAAAATGCGCGATCTAGTCGACTTCGTCTTCGAAGCCTCGCCGCGAAGTACCATTATCATGTCCACCATCATAATGAGCCCATGGGAAGGTACGGAACGTTGCGTCAGGAGCTCCAATGCCCAGATACGCCAGGTGGCTATCGACCTTATTCGGGAGGGCAAACCAGTAGTTATGGCTGAAATGCATCATGACCAGGGTCTACCGAACCGCGTTGAGAAGGCGGATATTGGACCTGACGATATGCACCCTACCGACAAGGGTTATTTCAAGATGGGAGATATCTTTATAGAGAAGATCATCGAAGTTGAGAAAAACGGCTGGCTACAGGCCCCGGTCGAGAATGGCGTCCCAGCAGATGGCGAGGCTGCTAGAGATGCTGAAGATGCAATCAATGCAAATCAGGAGAAAGCAAAAGAGAAGGAGAATAAGGAGAAAGAAAATCAGCAGGGCAAGGAAAGTCAAGACAAGAAGGAAAAGAGGTCCCCTAGTAGAATACGAATGGGGAAGAGCGCTTAATAGACGGCACATGGCCGTTTGATGATGTTAGAATACAATGTCAACGCCTCCTTGTAGCTTTCGCTTGGCTGAAGAGAATTTGCATAACACGCAGGATTCGGAGGTAGAGCCGGCTATTATTTCTTGCGAATAATCACCGACATTCGAAGCTGTCGGGTATGCTACCCGGGTTCATGATGATATGGAACTCTTGCTATTCGAGGATGCGCTTGCCCCACGGGCCTCTACTACTACTTGGCATGTATAGTACGTAAGTTAGACTTGATGTATGCATTTCCGAACTAGCAAAGACCTAGTGACGGTCAGCGTACTGGTTAGATTCAAGTCTACGTCTAATTGAGTCGACTACAATTATCTTATGTTTTATATATATTTCAACTTTTGTAGACCAATTTAAACAATACTCAATAGTAGAGCTCCGCGTGGTATACCTTTCGCTCTCGATCTCAAGCCGTACGGAATCTGAATATAGTATATATTCATGTCATGGCCACGAGTCCCAGCAGAAACAGCTTTCAAAATCACGTATTCCCACGGGAAGAGGTAGTCTCAATTACATCCCCTAACCGCAACATTTAATAGTCTTACGTATATGAGGGCTAAAAATAGTATCAAAATTATACTTCTCTAAGCCCACAACCCGAAGAAAAAGTCATCCGAGTTGGGAAAGTTGTCCTAAAATGAAAACTGCTAAGTTCATGATTGAAACGACTATTATGATTCTCTATCATTTTACTACAGCTCATAGTGAGGTTTTGTCTTTGTCTGATGTTTTCGGTTGGCCTGGTCGGAATATACCTAAATTGGGCATTTGGTGTTGAAGATATGTACTACCTTCCGCTGTCGTCGCAAACACGTCCATATATACAACTAGGAAACGCGTCCGTAGCTTATCGAGCCGCCGCGCTCTTTTCTGTAATTGTTTCTTGTAGCCAGCCCAAAACCATCGAGGTGGCATTCGTAATGCCTAGCTGCCTTTGACGTAAAAAAGACGGTCCAGGTACTCCCCTAGCTCATCGCGGCTTTTCTGGATCTCGTTATGTATTTGGCTTAATCGTATCTTGTCTTCCCGTCTTGGAATCCTGGCAAAAATACTTTCATAAACCTTATCCTCGACGACCAAGAAGTCGACGGAGTCAAGAAATGTGGTTATCTCGTCAAATGCGGCCGTGTAAGCAGTTGCATATGGGAGAGTATATATAATGATGAGTAGGATAAGACAAAGAGAGGTGATAGTTTTCAGAAACAAAATTTCTCTCTCATCACAATATGTTGTGAGGGTTATTGTATTGTGTTGGTCACAGGAGATTGATATCGAAGTTCCATCACTACATGTATGAGACCTCTCGTGTAATAATGTACTCCCAATTTGCCGCTCACCAAGAGCAATATTATCAACGCTGCCTCTAAGAATTTGTTTACACTAGGGAGTATCTTTAATCGCCTATATTCTACTATTAGTTCAACAGGAAGAAGAAAGTGGTCACTCGCCTCATGATCACTACATAGTGCCCATGCTGATACCTCGTAGCTTGCTAGTCCGATACTATTACTTCTATTTGTTGCTTGCCACGCACCGACACCGCAAGAGATACAAGAGAAATGTATCCCGAGACTCCGAAGTTTAACGTAGAAAACCAGTGCTGCCGTTTGGATGCTGCGTTGATTGCTGTTGTTGATAGAGCGTTATTGGCTGAACTCTGGTCTATCGCCTCAGATGGTAAACTGGAAGCTTCTATTTCTCTCAACTCATTTCTGAGACAGCCCTTGGTACCTATATGACCATTACGGAGTGACAGGTGACTAGCTGGTGGATAGCTCATATATCATATATTTCAAAGTGTTATTAACGCCTGCCTTTTCCTAAATGTAACAGGGAACCAAGGTTCCCTTATATACAACATAATGAATGACTAGCTGGTAGATAGCTTCAAGCTAGACCTTAGAACCCTTATCACGTCATACACCTATCGTAATCCTTGTCATCTGACCACTCAGCTGAATCTTCGGGGCGTTCTTGTCTCCCTGGTCGATGTTCTCCGGTTGTAACCATATCGGCAAGTTCGGTCGAAGACATTCTTGCATAGCATAGTGGTTGAAACTGGTTGTCTGTTGATCCGTGCTTACGAGCGCCCTATATAAATAGTTTCGAATACAGCTGTAGTTACTAAACCAAAGAACGGTCCGACTTGTGTTTTAATTTAAACACTACTAATCATTGATAGCAGTGGTTCCAACTGGTTATAAAGGGGTGTGCCCAACAGGTGTGCTCGACGGGTCTCCCCTGGTTAAAGCTGGCTGCATAGAAACAAGCGTTGCATCGTAGAAAAAATATTATAAGAAAGAAGGGATAGAATATATAGGTAGGAAGGATGATTTGGTGTGCCCTAAGCAGTCTACGCTATAAAGCTACAGGTAATCTGGGGTGCAGGACGGCCGCATGTGTATGGTATTTATGTACCTATAGCCAATAATTGTCGGTATTTTATATAAAAGCTCACCTACCTAAGGCATAATAAGAGGCTTTTGAATATGCCCTACGCTATACATGAGTCGTTTATAGACTTAGTGAGCTTTGAAACAAGAATTTAAACGTATATAACTACCTATAGGTATATAGATAACTTCGAAGTTGTTATGATCACAAGTATTTGCGTCCATGTTATGTAGTTCGCGAAATCAGTTAGACCTCTAGGTATGTGTCAGTTCTTCATACTACTTAATAGGGTCATTTGCCCTTCTAGAAGTTCGCCGAGGCAGACGCTGCTCTATTTTGAGTTACGAGAGTCTTGTAAAGTTTGCGCAGATAAAATAAAATAAATAAACAAATAAATAAATCCGGCTAGAGATAAACTAGGCGGCTTTAAAGATAGTGTAACCCTCGTAGGAACTATCTAGCAGTCTGCGGGGATCAGTTAGGACTTGCTGGTATTCGCCTCATGTTAGATAATATGGTGATCACTACCGAAGTAGATACCATCTAACGAAAGCCATCTTTGACGCCGCTCTGTTCATATGATTTAGGACCTAATCCAATATACTTAGGTACCTAGGTACGTAACTAATACAAAAGTTACCTCTGCCACTTTGAAACGATACTTCTAAACGTAGTCCTGATCATTGCGCAGAGTATTTTTTGCCCAGACTGATACAGCTTCATTCGAATGGTCGAGAGCGGCGTAGCAATGTATTGACGATAAAACTTATCGGGAGTAATCTACCTGGGACCCAATTAGTAAAGTGTTACTTATCGCATTCATCACTACCTAATGTATTGTATATAGACCAGCTAGGCGTATACCTATAGGTACCTACCTATATGAGGCTAACGAATACAACGTTGTCGCATATAGCCTCACCAATCACATCGTAGATACTATATGGTGTTATTCCTATTCGATCTTTAATGTCTCATTTCAAACCACCTCTTAGGACGACGTCGAGATGTCATAACCTACTAGATACTGCTCATTCATGCCAGCGCACGCCCGCCACCTCCGCAGAATTGGATGTGCAAATCGCATATTTAATTTCCTTTATTAGCTTCGAAATAGTCCCGGTTATGTCACGACGCGTCTTAGTTAATTGACCTGGGCCCCGTATCTGCAGATACAGTGCTGATATTTCGATATAGACTGTATGGATACCGACCATACGTGTCTCCCCGCCAGCCCCGGATACACAATCTATCTCATCATCTTCTGAGCCTTTTGTTATTGTGTGAGGCGGGGTTCAAATGCAGATGATAGGTAACCCAGCTCATGCACATGAGCGGGTGCCAGGTGTATTATATATAAAATGGGTTGTTTTCTCATGATTTTATAAGATGGCACCAGTTTGTCAGAGTTAAAGGTTAAAATACCTTCATTTTCGTTTTTTAATTTGATTATGCTACAACACGAAAAGTGGTCAATGCGTCTGGCGGTAAGTGGACATCGATCCTAACCCCCTACCGGAAGCCACTTTGATGCATGACCATTTAAGAAAAACATTTGCGATCAAACTAATCAAACTACCTGCTTTGTGATTTATCTGGGTCATATTCCGAAGCTTGGTTAGCGAATAATCTGGTTCAATTTAGCTCAAAGCTCAAGTTTGGTACGAGTCGATCTATTATATCTACTATATCTACTATCAGCTAGACGCGAGCGCAAAAACTTGGGGTTACGCGTAAGAAATTTTCCGTGGGCTTTTGCTTCTAGTTAAGGCTTAACTGTTAAGCAATGCGATGACGATGGCTTCCCAACCTCCCATTTTTGGAGCGAGCCAGCCTCCCGTGAGCCAAGCTCCTGTGAGCCAGCCTACTTCGTTTGGAACGTCGGGAAACCTCTGGGGAAGCTCGACTACGGTGTCGGGCCAATCGACATCAGCATTTGGCGTACCTCGGAAGACAAAAACACCTAAGCAGACGATTGGAAATAGCGCCATATTTCCAACCACAACTCCTCAACATAAAAGGTCTCATAAGACTCTATTTGGAGGCCCTAAGCAAGCCATTCAAACTCCGGTATCTTTATTTGGCACCACTACTCCTCAAACTACCAATGACATCCCCAGTTTTACACCTCAAACCATTCCGCCTCAAGCAACTCAGACGAACCAGTCGAGGAATCCGACCAACCCACAACTAAGCTTTTTCAGCATTGGAAGGTCTACCACCCCGGCCAGCCCTTCACCAATCTCACGATCAAGGAGTTCTATATCAAGGAGCTCTGTATCAAGCGGCACTGTAACCCCCGCTACTTCGTTTACTTCTCAGTCACAGTCAACTGCACGAGAGTCGACTCCTAGGCCGTTCAAGACTTATACCGATCCAAATGGCGACTTATGTCTCACCGTGGGCCCCCAGGCGACGGAATTTGTAGTATGTTCTAAGACCATGGCGAGGTCATCGCCTTTCTTCAAGAAGATGCTCTACGGAGCGTTTTCCGAAGGCAAAAAGGCGCAACCGGGGAGCGAGAAATCGGACTGGGTGGTAAAATTACCTGAGGACAATGTCGCCGCCATGACAATCATCCTTAACATCATCCACGGCCGTTTCGACAAGGTCCCCGGCTATGAGGATTTCGTATACACGACGCATTTCTACAACCTCTGCGTCTTGACAGATAAATACGACATGGCCCACGTATTGCGGCCGTGGGCCAAAGGTTGGTCGCGCTCTACGCATAACCAATGCGAAAAGCTTGGCCAATCTTTACGAACGAAGTTCTGTCACGAACGACTGTGGATTTCGTGGGAACTTGGGGATCGGGTTGCTTTCGAGAGTATGGCGAAGGGGATGCTCATGAATAGCTCCGCCTCGGCGGGTAACAATCTGCGTTATGTCGGGGCCTTGGAGCCGCCTGAAATATATGGTATGTCTAATCATCTAACCTTTATTGCGCTTCTTATAGCTTATGAAATACCACCTCAGAGAGGATAGAGAAAGTCCGGTTGGACACGATCACGTCGCTTCTCAAGCCCCTGAATGATATTATCGGGCGTCTTGTCCGGAACGACGTATCATTCTGCAGGCAATGCGACTCCTTCAACAAAAACAGATGCTTGGCTCTCACACTCGGGAAAATCATCCAGGCGCTTCACCGTCATGGGCTTTGGCCGCTTCCTGAGTCCTTAACAGATCTTCCATACAGCGTATCGACTCTTGCTCAGAAACTCCATCTTATAGAAACTGAGATAAATAAGGATAGCCATCATAACTCCCTGTTTGCTTCGGTCGATAGTGTAAGAACCGAGGTTGAGAACACCTTAAACGCCATTCCTTCGCTACTGACCGAAACACACCTCAAACACCTCGCGGCCCAGGCTAAGAAGACCGGATTCGCTACGCCTGAAGCCTTAATGGCTAAATCATGAGCGGAGCTAGTACTCAACATCAGCACTTCGCCTACTAGTGGATGTGGATCGTTTAGACACTCATGCTGCTAAGAGCCTATGAGAATAGAGCTATCAAAGCTCGAGAAATCTTCAGAATCGCTCCGTGGCATAGAGTTGGCAAACACCATCACTACAGGCGAGAATTAATGCATTACCGGCGGTCTTGAGGGCCAATATTTACTTTTGGCCCTCTGCTGCTGAGCACAAACCCCCTACCCCGACAGATCTGGGGTGATTAGCCGTAGTCAGTACACGGCGGGGGAGAAGCGCCTCATGCGCGCATACCATGTATATACAACTTACGATAAAAGTATAATTTGAGACATACCGTTAAACCATTTATGAAAATACTTCCCCTTAGGTCGGAGTTGGTGGTGGGAGGTTGCCTTAATATAGGCCGTTACAACGCGGCCACCCTATGGCCACGCTGTTAAGCGCCGTATACATAAACCCCCAACGGACGCAAGCGCTTAAGACGTACAGTCGCCAACTGATCCGGAATTCTTTAAAATAAACGACACTGCATTGTAACAAATAAACTGGATTCAAAACCAAAACTCTCTAATCAATACCAGGTACCTAGGTACCATAGCGGCAAAATGTAGTTTCGTGGAATGATTGCTAAAATTGGAATGGCCTAATAAAATGCGGAACCCACTGCCAATTTAAGGCTTTTAATTAGATGATAGGTAATAAAAGTGGGTTAAAGCCTAGAACCATTCTGCAAATGTCGGAATGATTCCCAAAAATGGAATAGTTCCATTTTATTTTTTTTTAAATAAAAATTATTAAGTTTTTTTCAATGTAAAACTTATAAAGGTAAAAATTAATTAAATTTTCGTATTAATTCAATGAAATTGGCCACCTCGTCCCATTAGCTCAAACGTTTAAACACCCCCACTATAGGGTAACACAAACGCGGGAGCTATAGGTTCGAGGACCAGTCTTTTCAAATTTTTAGCCTTTTTTCAACTTTTGGACCCATTTTTCTGGGCATTCCACACTTTTGGGATCATTCCAACCCTTTTGGAATCATTCCAACCCCTATGGAATCATTGTAAGCCTTGTGGAATCATTGTAAGCCTTGTGGAATCATTTGGTCTGAATTGAAACATTATTATACATGGAATTATTGTAATAGGTTGGAACCATTCCACGAACCTACATTCTGCCGCTATGGTAAGTTATCAAAAGTGCCTAACCTAAGTACTATTTTACACATCCATACTTCCCGGGTCCTGACTGGTAAAGATCTTGTACATCCTCTTACTAATAGCGGGACCCACGAGGCGATCCGAAAAAGCGCCGTCTCTGTCGGCGCACTTGCGGCAGTTTTCGAGCGCGAGCGGCCCGTCCTCCTCGAGCCCGCGCACGAGCTGACTTACGGTGCCGTACTTGGCGGCGATGCCGAGCGCGACGGGCGCCGTCACGCGCGTCACCTCCTGCAGCATGCGGAGGTAGGTATCCTTCGCATCCTCGCCTGTTCGCACCTGACCGACCTCCATGCAGAACCCGGCGTCCGTGGCCGCGTCCCGCGCCTTCCGGTACGGGATCGTGCTGATGTGCTGCGTGAATACGGCGACCCACTCCGCCGTTTCGACCTGCACGTTCGTGTGGTGGATTAGGGCCCCGTGAACGACTTGCAGAGAGAGCAGCGCGTCTTCGATGATATCTTCGTCGATGTACTCTTGCTGAGCGTTGTTGTTCCGGCGTCGGGGCTGGCTGGACGAAGTAGTAGACTCCGCAACGTTATTAGTGTCGAGAGCACGAACCGCCGACGCGAACCTCCGATTGAGAATGTTTCTGTTTTTGCGCATCCAAGGCGTGAGGCCCTCTATCAAGTAGATCAATGCGCTGCCGGGGAAGCTCGTCTTCATCTTGAGAACGTGAGCTTCGAGATCTTGGCCTTCGGGGCCGAGAACGAGCTTAACGAATTCGGCAGCTTCGATGATGACCATGACGTGCTCTTCCGCTTTGATGCGCATTGGGATCGGCTCCCAGTGTCCGAGCTCCTCGTTGTACTTGGAGCCTACTTTTCGCCGCCACTTCACGACGTTGTTGACGTAGCTATGCCAGTACTCGAATTGGACATCCATATTACCAAGTAGCTTCTCTATCTGAGCCTTAACGCCAACGCTCAAGACGTTGGGAAGGTCCACAATCATCTCAGGTACGGCAACCTTCCTATCAGTCTTGAGCTTATTAACTTCGGCCAAGGCTTTCTCTTTTTCTTTTTCGGTTGCTCGCTGCTGTTTTGCATTCTCCTTTTCAACTCGTTTCCGTTCTTTTTCCGCTTCCCGAGCCTCTGCCTTTTGCCTCTTTTCTTGCTCCTTGTCTTCTTCGGTTTTCTTTGGCCCCGCCGTCTTTTTGGCGGCCGGAACTTTGGCTGTGGTTTTGGACTTCTTACGAGGCGGAGAAGGTGATAGACTGTATCTGCGTCTCTTTGATCTTGAGAAGTTGATTTCGCTCAATTCGGGCAAGTCAGAATCCGAGTCCGTCGGGCTATCTTGCCTTAGCACTCTAGTTTCTGGCATCGAGCTCGATATTGGATCCCAAGCTCCGTTTTGCTTCGACTTTTTGGATAGGCCAATTCCCTTAGGGCTTTCCGGTTCGCTATCGGAAAGGTCTATGACTATAGGCGTCTTCGACGACTTTTTACTCCTGAAATCGGATGTGTCATCAGCCGATAATTTTTGTGCCTTCGATGGTTGGTATTCATGAACGTCTTGTTTAGGAGAACTCCCAAATGGATCGCTTGACAAGTCTAATAGAGATGATTTGGCATTGGTAGCTGTCTGCTTCTTTGGTGGGCTTTCGAACGGGTCCGATGAAATATCTGGTTTATTCTGGACTTTGCGAGCCGCAAAGCTGCCGGGGGAGCTGCTATGTTCTATTGGGTCGATTGCCGAGTTCCATCGTTTCGGTGCAACTGGTGAAAGTCGCTCGTGACCCTTGGAAGAACCCGTGGCGGATTTAGTTTTCTTGAAACTAGTATCCTCCCTTTTCTTGAGACACGTCGTAGAAGTTGAGGCACGGGGTTTCTTCGCTACATTGCCGTCAAGGTCCCCAGTTGTGTCGAATTCATCCGAAAGGAATAAAAAGTCGTTATCTTGCCGTATATGCCCGCTATTGGTTCGCTTCGCGCCGGTGACTGAGCCATGAGATCTCTTGTCTGATTGTCCATTGTGTCCTTTTGGAGGCGGCACCGCGGTTAAATTATGAGAATCATAATCCAGGGCCCTAGAGGGAGCGGCTTGGCCTATCCGCGGAGAGACTTCGGGGGAGGTAGTGAGAATTGGTCGGGATGGTGCAGCTGGGCTCGATGACAGCAGACTAATAACTTCGGCTGCCATTTTCACATAACCAAGGTGATGGGCTGAGCAAGTAAATAGCTCTGAAACATGCGGATTCAAGCCAACTGGTAGTAGCAAAGGCTAATATGTCAAATTAGTGTTGCCTACGCTACGGACGAAACGTTAATCGATAAGTTTAAAAATCCGATTTTGGGCAAACAACGCGTAATTGTTTAGTCGCGACAGTGACGCGAGGCACGTGATACAATAATTGTCCTTTTTTTGCATACAGCCCTTCCTTTAGAATTGATACTTGCCCATATATACAGTTATTAGTTATAGACGTTTCATTATGCAATATATGAAGTTCCGACTTCGATAATATTTGCCGTTGACTTAGGACCGTGTTTCTCACCCATGATGTAAATTGTAAATTGGAGTTCCTATTCAATTCTTAGCTATTCTTACCTACGCTTAAAAGTTATGTACCGTCTGAATTTTGCATTGTTAGCAACGGGACTTTGATTGCTTCATTTGGCAAAAGCTCTTAGTCCGAGGTTATCTGTGTCATATATTCTGGATGCGATTGATGCCCTCCAGAGTGTAGCTCGCAAAACCGCTTTTCGCGACGCTAGGATGCGGTAGAGTTGACAATTATTCTGGTCAAGACGGCAGGGCCATCGTTTAATATATTTACTAACTAACCCAGGAATACTAAACTTCCACTGCAAGCAATAGGAGAATTTCCGGTATGCATGCACGCTCAGGCAGTAGGATCAGTGGGATCAGTGGAAACTCAGCAGACTTGGGTCTTGGCTGTTCATCGTCACCCGCAGAATGCAGAATCCAGATGCATGTGGAACATTAAGCCTGGGAAAAGAAAACTGGGTTTGCCGTGCCGCATTGGTTGCGCACGATCACTTTTTACTACCTCAACTGCACGAAGCTTGGTTTTTGAGCATGGGGGATTGGGGAATCAGATCATGATCAACGAAGCTTCAAACGCACGCACGGCCGGAGATTTCAGTAAGGGTGCATTGCGCATTGCAGCTGCGGAATCTAGCTAAATCGGATAACTGATAGACCTGAAAGGAGACCTCAGTTTCTAAGACAAGCTATGGGGATTCCTTGGATATCTAACTACAATAAGCAGAGCAGATACTTACTTTTCTATGTCGGAAGTCGAACCATATGTAGAAATATATTCAGATGAGACGGACGGAAATTCTATTCAGATTTCTCACCTGGCTGAAGATAGCGTGGATACCTCATTCTTGATGCCGATGTTCGAATCATCGAAACATCATCTGCCATCAATCACAATGACCAAGGAACCTGTCACTACGTACAACACGTTTAACGATAAAATACTAGACAGGTAGCTAAATACTGTACAATAATTGTCTGGATTGTAGTTGACCTATGTATAATATATCGATTCTGAGTACTATTACCTAGTAAGAGTGAATATGAGAATGATTAGTATTAGAGTTGAATATGGTAGTTATGTCGTTGCTTTGTTTTGACGTTGAAGCTATGACTTAGGTAAATTACCTATTATGAGATGTGTACAAGTGTCTGTAAATACGTAATTAAAATAAACACCTTGCTAAACAATTACAGGTATAGACATATATGCCATATGTTAACGATCGAGTTCATAGACGTTTGTTTCATAGCCCACCGGCAGTTGGATGAGCCAGTGTAACCTGAAGCGGCCCCGCCTATTTGACCTTGAAGCTATAACGCCTGCGTGTAATTGTAATATTACCTATATAGATGCTACTTTCGCGATTAGAGGATGCTAGAGTATAGAGAATTTTCTACAATATCAATTTAAGGTTATTGGTGAGATATATATTGTCAAACGTTATGGAGAAATGTGCATGAAAGCATATCTACCTATTTATGCAGCTACATACTTGAAGGCCAGCGTTTTTAATGTCGATCATTTTCAGGGGAAGTAGATAGAGTAGTTTGATTCCTTAGCCGTCCCCAGCTGTCGGGTCAGGCTGTGACGAGCGTTAGCTAGAGCATTGACCATGGGATCTAGATGTGCTGAAAGGATAGGTACATGATACGAAATCCCTTCTTAGCATCATTCCCGTGGGGCGTTTGCCGACTGGCCGAGCTGGAGGGCTTGGACCCCGACCGCCCCGAGGAAGAGGAGGCAAGTTAAGCGCCTCAACGCTCAGGGCCAGTCAATTAAGATCAAAGGATCATCGGCGACTATCTTCCGGCAAGAGAACTGAAACATGCGTCTTGACGCTTGAATCATGCTGTCATGGCTGGAACAGTTGCTCGAGATTAAGACTGCGACATACACGTGACATCCACAAGATCGAGGGGTCCGTGAGCGATGAGCGTGCAATGCCGGGTACTTTTCATAAAGACGCCTTACAATTTATGAGCATTAGTATTGTGAGTTAGTATAGAATACGCTTTTGACTGACGAGGAATGGAAATATGAAGTTGCTATGAGGCTTTTTTTTCCCTTCCTTTTTAATATTTTACAGTGACATATCCGACGCTAACGAACTATCGTTTTTTACTATGGCGGCCCACGATATGTAATGGGCTTATTATCCGTGACCTACATACATTATGTAGATGATGATCTTCGTTGGTACGAAGATGTCGTTTTCGTGGGGGGAGTAAAAAAGGATATGATTGACAGGTTAACGGTTTGTGGTACGATTGTGCGACCTGATACTCGACGCCATAATTGCGTATACTACGTGGTTCGTTCTGATTATCAATCTGTCAGAATTCAATACAGCTACTCTAAATCACCGTCGATGTAGCAATATTAACATCTATACATAAAATACTTCTTTTCGATGGTCAATTACTTGGCCCAAAAAGTGGCAGGCAACTCTTGATATTACATTCTTAAAGTTGGGTAAATCGTATAGTAAGCAATTGGTTGGATAGAATTGAGATGGACGATGCGAGAGTGGCATTTATGCCTGCAGCTGATTTCCCCTTTGGCACATTCTCCCCCTTTGATATCACCCCTACACTAGACCTACATCACGAAAAGGAACCGCTCTGGCGCCGTTGCTTTCTTAAAAATCAGCTTTCGGGATTTACTTGGACCAATTCGGCCATCCTGACCCGCTCTCGTGTGCTACATTCGGTGCTAGAACATCTGCGTAAGTGGGTATGTGCTCCGTTGGAGCCAAGATAGCCCGTTTGCCCGTAGTTTATGTTAGGTTAGGTACATATGTACGTGTACGAAGCAGATCATGGATGCATGTGGGCTTTGTCTTCCATCTCACATATCTCACGCTAGGTGACCTTGGCTGCCTTAGGTTAGGTACATAAGACGTACATTAGGCTAGGTTAACTACCTAATGTACAATACATACATATGTAGGTACTTATATGTAGCTGTCCCACTGAAAAGGATCCCAACTAAAGAGTTTTTGGTATTAAGGGTCCTTTCTCTAAGGTGTCTCCTTGCAGTAGAAATCGGCATGGACAGGGAAATATCGAAGACAAACAATTAAGGTTTCCTTTAAATATTTCTTTTATACTGTCTTTTATACCTTTGGATATGGCAATATGCATGGCAAAAACGTGGATGTCCAACTGCCATTCTTGGGTATCGGCTTTCTGAAAGGCGGGAACGAGACTCAGTTTGTCCCGCACGGAGCACAACTTATTGTGCAGTGACACCATTGCAACGTAGAACTTCTGGGATATGAGATAGGTTCCAACTTCTAGGATAACATGGGATGACAACGTCGGGTATCTACCTAGATAGGTAGGCATCAAGGGCTGTACGAAGTATGCTTCGGGGCTTTATAAGTTGCATCCACTGAACGAACTTGAACGAACCTGCAGGATCTAAGTCAACATCCGATCGTACACCTATGTACCTAAGGTATAGAATAATCTCTCTCCCAAATCCGTTGCCGCTCTTATAAAATCTGAAGGTAGGTAGGCTAATACATAGGTAACTACGGGATTAGTAAAAAGTGCCGGGCAGTTATGTTGTTATTAATTACATATTGCATATGCCATATATTAACTACCTAAGGACAATATTGGTATGCGTTTTCGCATTAAGCGACGTGTTTAATTTACTCTTGACTCTTTTTGGTAACCGTCTAGTTCTGATAGGGGAGTGGACCGGGGAGTGGACCCCTGTAGTTACTTTTGCGCGCGACATCCCTGCATCCCCTGTTCACCCCCTGCTTAGGTATCCCACGATTAAATCCCACTGCTGAATCCACTGAATCCACTGCACCCACTGCACTCACTGCAGCAAAAGAAAGCAAGCAACGACATAGTCTAGTCCAGGTACATAGAGGTAGATGGGTAATCAATCGTCGGATTTTTAGTGCACGTTCCTGGCCTAAATAATAAACAAGTGCTACCCCAAATTTTCATTCCACCCCCTAATTCTGATCGCCGTTCCCCGTCCACGTTCGAGAATAGAGTCAGTCAACTCGACGACCACGCGCGACAAGAAAAATGTCCTAGGCGCATTAGCGACGGCATCGTGTAATACATGCGAATACTTACGAATATACGCGACTACATGCGACGCATGACGTTTCTATACCATAGACAAGTTTTGACAACCTTCCTGGGTTGAAGGGTTTCCCACCCATTATTCAGAAGGCACTTTTGGGTGCTTGGGCTTTTATAATTCGACGATTCGACGACCTGATTGATTTGCTCACAATCGCCTCATTCATCGCCTCATTCGTCCTAAACTTTCCACCGCTCCGGATCGATCATCTCTTCGATATTTCGCATAGTAATATCGCATATCTTCACTGGCTTGGCCCTCGTATAGGTATTTACCAGGCTGGTTCCCTACGCCGTTATGGCAACATCTCCTCCCGGATCACCAGGCTTACCACGACCGTCAAGCGCCATGATGAAGCCGGCACAAAGAAGCAGTAGCCGCTTAAGTATGAACAGCAAAGTTGGGGGGAGTAGAGCTTCGGATGAGGATGGGGGTCGCACTGCTGTAAAAGTTGGTGAGTATCATATCATATATATCCCTAGGAGGCCCTCTTAGGTTTGATAACAACAGATCACAACGCTAACAGTTGATGGGTAGCCGTTCGTGTGCGGCCACCGTTAAAACCTACGGATCCCGGCTACGAACTTATTCCCCAGCGATTCCAACGGTCTATGGTGCAGACCACCTCGAATACGGGTATTTCCATCGATTCACCACAAGGAAAAAAGCTTTTCGTATTCGACCGAGTCTTCAGTTCTGATGTTGACCAAGAAGGGGTCTGGGAATACCTGCAAGACAGTATTAACGCCTTTATCCAAGGTTACAATGTCTCTCTACTCGCATACGGCCAGTCTGGTGCGGGAAAGTCCTACACGATGGGAACATCTGGACCTAATGAGCAAGGCGACTTGGAGTCTATGGGTAAGTGAATTCTGAATTTGTAAAATATTCAATACTGACCTGCATTCCGGGTAGGTGTAATCCCGCGAGCTGCGATGGCTCTATTCGAGAAGTTGGAAGGCCCCCCGAAAAGTTCGAATCGTAGTTCCATGTCCCAATTGCGAACGCCGGCGCGATACTCGTTGCAGACGCCAACACCAAAGGGTGAAAAGAATTGGCAGTTGAAAGCAACGTATGTAGAGATTTACAATGAGCAGCTTCGCGACTTGCTTGTGCCAGACCACTTTCAGCAATATGAGCGAAGTAACGTCACAATTCGTGAAGATCAGAAGGGTAACATCATCCTTACTGGCCTGCAACAGATTGATATTAACTCGGTGGATGATCTTATGAATGCTTTAAACTTTGGTTCGACGATTCGACAGACTGATGCGACAGCCATTAACGCTAAATCTTCGCGTTCACATGCCGTCTTCAGTTTGAATCTAGTACAGCGCAAGAGCAAATCGCAGACTGCCCAGGGAGCTAACAAGAGGTTTTCGGTTCCGATAGAAGCTATGACCGGAACTGAGACTTGGGTTACAACTGATAGCAAACTTCACTTTGTTGATTTAGCTGGTAGCGAACGCCTAAAGAATACTGGCGCTCAGGGCGAGCGGGCTAAGGAAGGTATCTCTATTAATGCTGGCCTTGCTGCTTTGGGAAAGGTTATATCGCAGCTTTCATCTCGACAGGCCGGGTCTCATGTCTCGTATCGTGATTCGAGATTGACTAGGCTACTCCAGGATTCCCTTGGTGGGAACGCCATCACTTATATGATCGCCTGTGTGACTCCGGCTGAGTTTCACCTAAGCGAAACTCTCAACACTGTACAGTACGCGCAAAGAGCCCGAGCTATTCAGAGCAAACCTAGGATCCAGCAGGTAGAGGAAGGGGACAAACAAGCAATCATTGAACGACTGAAAGCCGAAGTTGCTTTCCTACGCGATCAGATCCGAAATGCAGAACGTAGTGGGGGTGAGCGTCGCAATGTTGCGACAAACGAGAAGTCCGAACGGCAAAACGAACGGGAGTCGGAATTACAAGACCAACTTTTAGACATTCAGGAAAGTTACAATAGCCTGAGCCAGCGCCATGCTAAGCTCATTGCGGAAATGGCTAAGGCCCGTGACAACGAAGCTGCCGAGAACCAGGATCTGGACGATCACGTGGGCGATACAGCAACAGAAAGGTTGAATCGGTCTAATTCGTTTGCTCAAGCTGTAGAGCAAGTTGTGTTGGAATATGAGAAGACGATACAATCGCTCGAGCAGTTACTCACCAGCACACGGGCCACGCTCTCAAGCACGGAAACAAGCCTTCTTGAGAAGGAAACGAAGTGTGCTTACGTGGAAACAATCAACACTCAGCTGCAAAAACGGTTACAAAAACTAATGGATCGAGAGGCTAGTACAGAAAGCTATCTTCACGACTTGGAAGCTAAGCTTGATGGCCACACATCTGGCGAAGAAAAGAATGCTACCATCGTCCTAGAATTACGCAAAGAGATCGCGCGAATCCGAGATAATGAAGCCTCTTGTGAGGAATATATTTCAACCTTGGAGGAGAGACTCGCTGAGTCTGATCAAGATCAGGAGTTAATGCAGCGCGAGATTGACCGCCTTGAACAGGTTATTGAACGCCAGCGAAGCCTGGGCAAACTCGACAGCCTCCTCCACGAACTGGATCATATCCAACCAGATGGCAAGGAGTCCGACGCCCAATCCGAGCACGGAAACGGAATCGGACACCGCCGTACCATGTCAGAACGATCGACCAAGAGCCACGTCAGCCGACAAAGTTTAGGCAGAAGAGGAACTCTTCCTGAAGTCGCCGAAGGTACCGAAGAAGAAGCCAACGACCAAGATCACCCCGATACCACCAGCGATCATGAAGCAGTCGGCTCAAGTATTGATACACCAGAGAGGGCACCGACACCTACGGACTACCCACCGCAGAGTCCAGCGCAAAACAAATATATTGCCGACAAACTCGAGAACGTAACCGAAGAACTTGTCGCCCTACGAGTCGAGCACGAGTCAACCATCAACGAGTTCGACATGCTCCATGCGAAATACGAAGAGGCTTTGCGCACCCTAGCAGAATTACAGGACCAGGTCGATGAGGCAAGGCACCCAAACCGTCACCGCGATTCGATCTTATCAATAACTTCTCCGAACGAGACCAGGCCTCAGAGTTTTTTATCCGAGATGAGATCGAGCGTCGCCAAAGATGGGACGCACTTATCGCGATCGCTATCCTCGGAATTATCATCAGCTATGGATTCCCCTACTACTGTTGATATTCCGGAGAGCGAAGCGTCTAAGCCTTCTGAGTCTAGGGCCACTCCGGTAACCGAAACAGCGAGCGCCGATAACAGTGAAGCTCTCACCGCCGAGTTAGAGAGACTAAGGGCATTGGCCGAGGAGAAGCAGGCAGCAGAGAGGGAACTTGCCGATAAGTACGCTCAACTGGAGGAAATGCACCAGGAAACGCTGGATATGGTCGAAGAGCTCAAAACCGAAGTGGCCAAGGCCAAATACGCAGAGCCGCCATCCCCAAGGATGGGCACACCAGTAATTCGCCGAAAGTCCAGTCAGAATGTGATGATAATTGATCGTGCACATCGATCATTCGCAACGCTCAGAAATATGGCAGCTGAACACTTCGAGCAACAGCCCGATGTTATGCAGAACTTCGATCTTAATCTAAACTCGGCCATGCATGAGCTACACGTTAGGTCAGAGCGTATTCAGGAGCTAGAGGCTGACGTCGCCGCCGCGAGGAAGGAAATGGAGAGCAAGATGACAATCATTTCAGGTTTAACACGTGAGCGATCCAGCTTGAAGTCTAGTCCTATAGACATTTCAATGGTTGCGGCATTGAAGGAGCAGCTAGAGAGGAACGAACGACAACTCCTCGACATGCAAGAAACTCATGCTGCCCGTGAAAAACAACTTCTTGATGAGGTGGAAGCTCTGCGCATTTCCATTGGGGAAGCTGCCGAGGTTCGATCAACGTCGACGACGCAGACACAGGATGTGAGCGAACAAGAACGCGAGTTGCGCGTAGCCCACGAGGCTAAGATTGCTCATCTCGAAGCTGAGCTTCTCAGCTGGGAGAGTAAACATAACGCCGCGTTAGATGCTTTGCAAACAACCGAGCAGCAAATGAAGAAAACCATCACCGATCTTGAAGCAGAGGTCGCAGCTGCGTATGCGAAGATAGACGAGTCTCGAGGGCAAGCAAAGAGCGACGAAGAATCCGAAGAAGCAGAAACTAAGCACCAGGGCCTTGTTGCTACGCTACGTAATGAGATCGAGAAGTTTAAGACAATCGTTGATGGCAATGCTGCTAAGGTAGCTCAACTAGAGCAGGCACATGCTCTTGCGAAAGAGCAACTTGAAGAGGTTTCTAAAGCGCGGGATATTTCATCTGCGGAATCCCGCGGCTATCAGGAACTTGTTAGTCGGCTCGAAATACAGATAGCAGAGCATGAGAAGGCCCTCCGGAACCACGAGGAAAACCTAGCTCAGCTCCGCGACAACCATGCCAGGGAAATCGACGAGGTTCGGGCCAGCTCCAAGGAGGAATACGACGCGCAAATCGATATGCTCATGTCAGAGCATGCTGAAAACATTAGATTCCTGGAAAGCGATGTTACGGAAGCACGCGATGAGCTTATGAAAATCGCCACCCAAGTCGCTTTCGCGTTAGGTCTTGAAGTAAGCGTTGACAGGATCAGTGAGCGTATCGAGGACTTGATTGCAGATCAGAAGGCCTTGAATGTTGAGCAGCAGAGATCCGTCGAGCTCGAAGGTCATATCGATGAGTTATCAGCGATCAACAACACGATTATGCGTGACCTCGAGACTGTGAAATCTACGCTAAATGGCATACTTCATCCTGACAGCGAAGATTTGACGAACCCCTACTCCTCTGTTACAGAGCAGCTTGCAGCCCTAAAGAAGCGAATGCACGATCTCGAGAACAAGAACAAGAAACACTCTCGTTTGGTGGAGGAGTTGGAGGACCAGCTGCAGACTAACTACGACCAAGCCCAACTTACTAATAACAGATTGTCTACGCTCCAAACCGAGCGCAACATGCAATTAGAAGAAGCCAATGCAGCCAGGATCAAAGCGCAGTCTGAGCTGGAAACTATTCGGGAAGAAATGGTCGGCTTACAGGTAAGGCTTATATTACATCTACCCAACCCGTTATTTTACTAGACTAACATGTATTTAGGCTCGTATCGAGGAGCTTAGCGCTGCCGATGGACCGAAGCGAACTGATTCTACGAGCTCGCAGGTCCGTAAGACAGCATCCGTCATCTCTTTGCCATCTCCACCACCCGCCATCCCCCTTCCCCCGCTGCCACCCAGCGGCGCGACTTCGCCAACTCAAGGTATCCCGCCAGCGTCAATTGGTGGCCGGCCAACTAGCCATGATGTTGCTCTAGCTCAGATCCGAGAGGACCAGGAGGCACGCATACAAAGCATCGAGAGACATCTGAAAGCTGAAAGGCAGCTGACTTCCACATTGGAAGAAGCTTTGACTGACCTCGAAAGCCAGTCTAAGAAGATGAAGGCCGACTGTGAGGCCTGGAAAAAACGTGCTCAAGACCTTGAGGCAGAAGTTAAGGAGCTTAAGGAGCGGCCTCAACGGGAGAACCGTGACAGCCTTTACCAGATTGAGGAGGAACGCAAGAAGCGGCAAGACGCCGAGAGGGCTAGAACCCATCTGGAGGAGCGCATGAACGCAATCAACAACAAGAAAAAGAAGAAAGGTAGCCTCAACTGCTTTTAGTCGCGGGGTTGGCGTGATATGCCTCTGACCGTCTTTCTTGCCCCCAATCACGACGCTATTTGGCTTACTCGGGGTTCTGCTCGGTATTGTTTTCCAGGCACATAGTGCACATCTGGCGAGGCGTTTGAGGAGTTCCGTATTTCCCTTCTTTACTTCGTGTCATGTCGTACATCTTGTACTTTGTATTTGGAGACGTTCGTGATGTTTTTACAGGCGAAAAAAAGCCACCATATACCCTTGCGGTCTTCCCTTGAAATTTTAATTAGTCAACCCCCCAATTTTTCCACGGCAGACAGACAACGAATGATCTGGATGGGATACGAGATGAACCGTTGCTAGGATGTGTTTATGGGATAGGTTTGATGAAGGACTGGACTGTCAATTGTTGAATTTTCCGCATCCTAGTGGCTTCCTTATTGCTCTACGCTGTGGTGTATAAAGGGGTTGGGCGAGAGCTTTATAGCTAAGCGTAGCAGGCTTTTTGACACCTGAAATACCTACCACTTCAGAACTTGATTTTTTTTTTTTTGAACCACATGACGTGCTTTTTAATATGTAGTCTACGCTCTATGTATTGGCCTCCCTGTGCCAGTCGTTTATTATGTTGTGTTAGTATAGTAGGTTTGTAGTTAGACGCGGTTGATGCAACGTCGTATCTGGACCAAATAGGTTCAAAAAGTTAGTCAAGATCCATGAGTAAATATGACCATCTTCTTAGCCTCACGACAACTTTTTATTGGCTTGGTGATATCCCTAAATCTTAGCCGTTTCCTCAATCAATGCGCAACGTCCGGAAAGCCATTAATATCCTCGCACCATTATGTCACATCCTTTTGATTATGATTTTTCCCGACGAATATTTACACTATTTAGTGCGTTTGGGGCTGTATCCAGCGTACCTTCATCCTTTCATCTGAATGAATAATCTAGAATCCTAACATCATTCTCCCGTTAACTAAGATATCCCCTTGACTGGCATAAAACAGCAAGCCCTTTATAATCGGTAGAGTACGTAAAGTTCAACGCGATTCATTGACATAAAAAACTTGTAATATGCCTTTATAATAAATATGATTGGCTAATCTAATAATATAGAGCCAGTTTATCTTCTTTAGCCGATTTTGATATATGTATTGATACCGAAAATAGTGGGTTTGCTGTTTTATGCCAGTTAAAGGGATGATTTAGAGATTCCAGAGCTTTAAACACAACATAACACTCTATAAACTCTGGGATTAGGATACGCGATATGAAGAATTGCAAAATAACCTAATCACACGATTGCTGAAACGTCAAATATTCGTGTAGGATGGAAAAATTTCCACTTTCAATTCAATGTATAAGTCTAAAGGAGTGACAATCCATCACAACCATCTCATCTGCCATGACCGAGGCCCACTCCGAGAAATATTGACGAGTCGAAGTATTTTGAAGAGAAATAACTTCTATCCGAGTGTTGCCTTTTTCCCTAGAAACCTTGCATGATGCCTTTTACCTCGTCTCTTAGACTCCAGCGGGGGTCGAGCAAGCGATGTCCTGGTTAAGCTAGAAAGGCTCGTTAATGTATGTATAACTATGGTGAAGTCCAATAGTACTTACGAGGGGTAGGAGACAGCAGCGGGCTTGCTTTCCAACGGCAGCGCAGATATTCTTGAAGTCAGGCGCGTTGACGGGAACCAAGCTGGCTGTTATAGAAGGATTGTTAGTAAAAATTAAAATCTCTAGATGATAAACATTGGAGATATCCTTACGGGCAGCGCAGTCAAGATCTGCTATACCAAGAACGTCGGTGGCACAGCATTGAGGAGTGTCTTCAAGGCCACTGCAAGGGTCGTAGGCAGTTTCATATCCACGCTTGGTAGGGTTGGCGAGGACGGCGGTAGCCAGGAAGGTGACGAAGAAGGTAGACAGCTGCATTTTGATTGTATTTTGGGCTTTGAGGAACTCGAAGGCTCGGTGTATGTGTAAGAAGCAGAGATGATGGTTGACCTGTTTGCAAAGATGAATCTGGTTGCGGATGAAGAAAAAAAAACCTGAGATGAACTAAGAGGATCATGGCTTCTTATATTCGAAGACAGTCTTCCTTATTGCCCATGATCAGGCCATCTGATGGTCAAGGCTCTTCACCAAGGCCTCGTCGACTTCACGACACTACCTAGGCAACGTAGCGGTGACATAGAGTAAGCTTAGCACGGTGGATCGAAATAATGCACATGACTCCAATATAGAATAGCCACCAGCCTATGAGCTTCGTTCGTGAAAGCAGTCAACGACAGAAACAACCTCTGTAAAGCAAATTAGGAGGGCGATTCAAAGTCTGTATGACTAGCTCCTATTACTTGATAGGGTAAATGATCCACTATGAGAACTTGATGAACTTGATGAACTTGATTTGAAGAGTCTTTCTAAGCAAGCGTTAACCGAGAATAACCAATGAGAGATAACTACGACAACGACACTAATGTTGCAATTGCATGTTGCAATTTTCTGTACCAATGTTGAGCGTTCCGGATGAAGGGCCGGTCTTCTCAAACCTCTTTAGGGATATGCGTCATTCGGGGCTATTTAAGGACTAGTACCTATACATTCGTATTTCTTTATTTTGATATTTTGCATATTTTAACCTTAAGCGTATACATGACGATGTTCTGTCCGTTTTTGTTGGCTCCTCCGGGTAAGTTTGTGTTTGGCGTTATAGTAGTACTCGGAGGTCGCCTATTAGGGCGTCATGAGTGTAAAGCTTTTTTGTGTTACGGCATAAGGCTTATCCTAGACGCCGTCCTATTACGGTTCGATATTAGGCATAGTTTCGAACAAATACTGTAATAATAGCTATAAATCTAAAGCTACCTAGTACTTATAGTTCGTCATAAGAGGAAGTCCTCAGCGGTTAGACACTCGCTATTCAAACTCCTACTTTCCATGTTGGCTTATCCAAATCCCAGGAGAAGTACAGGTGCATTATCCATATCAAACCTCGTATACTAAACCTACTTACGTGTAGCTAACTAGAGATTATAGTACTATGTATTCGTGCCTGGCTAGACAGGGTTAATTCAGCCACTCCAGCATCCTTAATGCGACCCCCGCAAATCCTTAGACCTGTCTGCGTTGGGTACCTGGATAACGTTAGCTGATGGATACCACATAATGACTGTATAATTACGATCTTCTCCAGGCATATTTATATATGTTACATTGCTTCAGCCGCAACGCCTGATTCGACAAATGATAGTTTATTGTCTAGTGCCGGGTCTAGACACTAATAATACACTACCTCCAGGTGTATAAAATCTTGGCAACCGTTTATATTCGTAAGCTGGTTAATATAATTCCCCACTTACGGATCTGAGCTAACTTAGCGATCCTCAAGTTGAACCAGATCTAACAGGAGCTTGGGCAAAATTTAAGGCTTAGGCGTGCAGTGACAATTACGCCAGCCAAACGGATGGCTGAGCTGGCTTGCTAAGACAGGCTGACAGGGCCAGTTGAATCTAGAGCAGTCCGCGTACCGTCTTTCGTTACTCTCAAGATGACTGGTCAAATTCCGATGCTCGGCAGATGGTAAAATCTCTTCCCATCACACCTACAGTTAGCAAGTACGGAATACACGTATATAATATAGATCAGAATATAGATCGACCTTGACGATAGAATATTTACTTTCGTATAACTAGAAGAAGTCTTTTCTGTTTGTCACTAGCTTATTGAACTTCTAAGGCTTCTTGGATGTGGACCTGGCCTCGCGCAATCTTCCCGTCTTGCGTTCCGTTCTCGATACGTGTAAGCGTGTTGTGTTGGCGTATTGGTGACCCAATCGAGCTAAAGGTCAGCCAGCCAGGTTCCAGGTAAGAAGGCTAATGCACGGGCGCTATGGGACGGGACGTTGAGATTGCTCCGGGGATAAGTTCGGACGATACGCGGCAATGCAGGCCGATGTCATTTCTCGCCTTACAACCTTGACCGCGGAACTCGGCTGTCGGGAGCCTTAAAGAAAAGATTGGTCTACCGAATCACATCTCAGTACCTAACTTAACCTACCTAAACGACAAATTAATTTACGGAAATCAATTTGAACACCTTATTGCCGTTCCTGTCTCTCTGTCACACAAACAGGATTTCCATCTTGTTTCTACGTCTCTTAGGTGGTACCGCGACCGATCGCATACCCTGCTAGGCTTACCGGTCCAGCGGCAAAGCTCGAAATTTCGTATGTCGTTGCTGTTGAGGTTTTGCGGAGCTTATTACCTAGCGTCCGGTGAATCCGCCACCTGCAGAAGCTGCATTAGTTGCGCGGCTGATAAGTTCGGCAGCTAGCTTTGTCGAAAGAAAAAATAGGAGAAAATAGGAGGTCACACGATGTGTTGTTGTTAAATCACCTGTGAAAAAGCTGTGTCTATTTGAGTAATTAACAATAATAATAGTATCAAATATAGACACTGCCTAGATTCTACATAAATAATATTTACCCAGGTACCTGTTATTGTTGAAAGTATGTCCAGCCCAGGCCAGAAAGCGACCTCTATGGGGTCGAGCTCAGTATCTCGCGGTCATTCGTGTCCGGCGTAATCCACCAACTAATGCGTAGTAACCTCCCGAATACTCCGAAAATGGAACCTTGCAAGCCAAGTCTGTGACAAGAATATTCTAATTCTCTTTCCCCATACCATAAAGATTATGAGTACGAGGTTGTTAGCTAGTAGCACACCGGCAAAGATCCCAGACATGACAACACCATACCCAGATTCCAATACCCAAGTCAGTACTTTTAGCCCGAACCCAAAAGAGATAATTTGCTTCCCGATGTTCATCGCGATGAGCATCTCAGACGTGTTAGCGTAATAGGAGTCAACTGCATATGCAAGCGTAAAGGAGAAGTAAAAGTACGCGGCCCAGTAATTCATGGCCCCTCCAATAAAGAAGCATATCCAATGTAAGCCTCGCTCTGCCGTTAATCCATACAGGACAATTCCTGCAGGCCCTACAATCATCGGAATTACCATGACCCCCAAGCGCATTTCGGCCTCCCGGATTCCATTATTACGCTTCGTAAAGAAAGCTGCAAGCCTGTCTGATGACGAGGTAAAAGGAACAGCAAGTCCGTAACCCACCACAGCGGCGATGGCAAAGAGTCCCGAGTTGGTCTGTATTGTATGTTAATCGAGATGTGAGTAACGCTTATACGAAAGCAACATACCACTGTCCAGTTGTAAGGCGGCGATGTAATTAAAATCGGGAAAGTGTAAGAAAAGGATAGTGCCGATAGGCCAATCTACTGCACGTTAATACTTCAATGTTACCGCGTATTTTCAAGATTATTCCTTTAGGGGAATAGATAATAACTGTATGACGTACTTCAAGTGCGTTAGCAACTAGGACAAGCGGAAGGAATCACGCCTAATTAAACTGGTATTTATGCTTACCATTGATCCCAAACGTGGTAATAACCCAAAGTGATTGGGGAACAACTTGAAATCCGTCAGTAGTTATTCCCTTTAATAATGGGTCCAGGGGCCTCGAAATAGAAGGCGGCCACTCCCCAAAACGACCAGTAAAAGGAAAAGGGGTCTCATACGGAAGTAACTGAATGAGCGAATCATCGTCGTAAAGAATGGGACGTTAGAATCAACTCTTCCCCGCAAACTCAATGTTTCCAGGAAGCTTTTACGCGATGGAACAATAAGGTCAGCCTGTTGAGTCCCCTTTTCGACCTCTCGGGCACCCTCCTTTTCCAACTCGTTTGGTGGTGTGGAAGGTGCTGCGTGGGCCTGGCGGTTATAGGACGTCTCTTCGACGAAGAAAAAAGCTAGTATAAGAAGTGCTACGGCGAACGCAAACTCTACGTAGAAGAAAAGCCTCCACTGAATCACTAAAAGTTAGCAGTTAATTCTTTTGGGGAGGAGTCTAGAAGTGAGTAAGTATTTCAGGGGTATTGGCTCCTTTGGCGAACTTATGTAGAAATGCTGACACCCAAGGTAGGCGAGGAAAGGGAGAAGCAAACTTTGAACGTTACATACGCCGTGACCGCCAGAGAGCATATATCCAGCAGGTAATGAGGCAAAAGTACCGAGACATAGACAGACTGCTAGACGTTAGAGATATACTGGATAAAGATCGATGCCATATTCATTACCTGTATAGTACCCAATTCGCTTGCCCCTTTCGTGTAAGAAGAATATATCATTGACTAACTGTACCGGTAATGCTTCGCATACTGTTTTGATGTTAAGACAACATATTAGTTTCTAACTTATGACGTTCTAGATTTTAAGCGTAATCTTAGTTGAACCTAGGTGAATATCGCCTAAATAATAAGATATGAGCATCTCGCTTACTATTGAATATTAGCTACTATATATGATGAGATTTTGTCGGGAACCTACCCGCAGGAACCGAAGCCGTGTATTACACGGGCTGCCATTAGGCCACTGAATGAAGTACATTGAGACGCCCCTATTAGACCGGCTGCGAACGTAACAAGAGAGAACAGCATGACCGGTCGTCGGCCGTACTTCAAGTACATGGGCACAAAAATTAAAGAGCCTTCATTGTATTAGCATTGCTTCTTCTCTTGCCGCATAGCACCAACATACCAAACCCAAAGGCGAGATTGGGATAAGATATCAGCTCAGATGCTACGGCGGGCGAGATATCAAACTCTTCAGCCCAGAGGTCGATGTATGGGGACGGCCCAATGACGGACGCATTGGCGAGAAACGAGTAAAACGAGCAGATTATGAGGATCATGGTCTTCTTGAAGTTGGACCACTATTGTCACATTAGAACCCGCCCCTGTTCACATCTTCACGAAACATACCTGTAAAGGATCATTTGGATCCTCGGCAGGAACTTTGAGAGTGTTAGCCAAAATTAAGCCAATCAATGGATATCCCAAAGGACTCGGAGGATATAATAACCTGGGAAGAGGGCCATGCCATAGACCGTATCGTCGCCCTCTACAAAGTGTCACAAGCCATTAAGTTAACCTTCGAACGTCAAAGAATACTCCAGAGTGGCATACCGGCAGCTTGAAGATTTACAGTCCCTGGGATGCCCTCCTCATGCGCATGGCTATGCACGAGGTGGCCTCTGCCATGGGCGCCGACCTTTGAAGTCATCGTATATCAGACGTTACCAGGAACCTGGAAAGCCAAGGGAAGAGAGGACGTTAAAACGCGGGGGAGCGATGCGGCTGATGCAGGTCATTAGTATATGTATGTATGTACGTATGTTACGCGGTTTTCTCATTAGGGACTGAGGCCTTCGCGATCAGATCTCGTATCTGCCAGCGTCGTGGTTCCTAGCCAAGACTGCGGAGGGTTCTCGACCATCTATCTAAAACGCGGGGAAGGAAGCTATCAACGTCTAGGGTCGTACCGCTACCCGTAATAGGAATTGATGATTGCATCTTATCGCTACGGAGAGGCCATACTAATAGAGCCGAAATCCTCTAACCGAGGGTCTCTACTACCTACGCTTTTTCTTCTTCTTCTTATTGATCGGCAACGATGCCAGGGGTTGGTTTGATATACTACTACGTATGCAGTCCCTGAAGCTCGTCGAAGACACGTGTTTTCGTACTTCAGCTTCGCGTAAATTTCCTGGTTGCGTTATCTGCTAGAGGCACTTTGCTTGGTAGAAACAACTACCGCGATCCATCTATGTTGGCCCAAATACTCGGGACAAAAGCTGAATACTGGCCTTGTTGACATACCCGGTACGTTTCCTGCGTGGGTTCAACCGCGCTATACTGGTCGGCTTGTTTACATATCTTAGACACTCATGGTTATTCTTTGCTCATACCTACTAGTATTTAATTATTATATGGTTGCTTATGAAATTACCTTACACCTTATAGGATACTAACTTGTGTAAAGCTAAAGTATAGTTGATATTAGATGTTGGAAGATTGCAGCACGAGAGAAATTTTGCCCTTAAAAGGACTTTTAAAGTAACTGTCATCATTTCGGTGGTTATCTACTAAGGTACCGAATATATCGATTATTTATCGACATGGGTTTTAACAGCATCATTGATTCGATGCTTTGGAAATGTTTGTATGAAACTGATCCGAATAATGAAGGGTTTACATTGCCAATTATCAGCCGAAGAGATGAGTTTCGCGTTAGAGCTTACCAAAGGAATCTAGAATTTGTGGCTAGGGTTAGAAGATGCTTAGTTTGTATAGCGTCTTCCTACGACAAGCCCGGCAACTGATATGAGGATTAAAATAGGGTATAGTTGCCTTGGCATTTCTGGTACTTACAGTAGGACAAACTCCTTAATAAGCGCCTACTAAGTATCTAATAAGCGAGGGCCCTTATGATCAATTTATCATTAATGTATTATTATGCTTTTTATGTACCTGTTATGATCGTGCTTGGATAGAGCAGCTTTGGAACATACACCCGGGAACTGACGATGGCATCGCGCGCGGCCGTTGAGTCCGAGCGCTTGGCGTACCTCGGCCGGTCGAGCCCGGTGTGGAAAATATAACAGGGTTACTAGGCCGACTTTAGAAATAGCACGTAAAAATGAGTCCTAGGGAAGTGGCGTAAAACATAAAGTCTTCCCTTGCGAAAACGAGCGTATTGGCGTCTTCTTTTCTGTAATAGTTGTGCATGGCTACAATTATCACCAGCGCATTGCTCTTCGAGCACAAACAACCGAATGATGCTACCCTTGAACATAGGAACCGTCCGGAAGAGCCGGGAGACCTTTTCGGGATTTTCTAGTTATTAATACTAATACGGTTCTTACCCTCAAGGGTAAGTAGAACGGAAATGCTTATTTCCATTCGAGTTAATTCCCTGATGATTCGATGATTGCGTTGTCTCAAGAGATATGCTGTCCTAGTCTCGGTTAGACCATCCGGTGTGTTAAGTATCGTAAGATATCGGGATGTTAGGATATAGAATTCCAGTCGTGTCTTGGTGCGTCTTCGAGGGACCGAGATCTGAAGTATGAATTGTGTTTGTTCCTGGTCTACTGTTATAATAATAATTATGTCTTTTTCGATCTCCCCATTCCAGCGGATCTGATCCGGTCGTCGGCCTTGACGGACGAAGTACCGGCCGAATAGAACCTATCGATCGATGCATGTGTTGGCAATGAAGTTCGCCAAGACATTAAATCTCGCTGCCGGGTCTCACAGAGCCAAAGATCTATTGGTCGTGGTGTCCGCTCGTTGGCAGAACGTCTGCTTTATTGCAGCTTTACCATGCCTAAAATGGACGTCGTTGTATGGTTGTGTTCCGAATTTCGAGTTCACTACGCCCGGCGGTGAGAGACCCAGGGGTTGGGGATTTGACCCCAACCCCTCCAAATTGGGTCCAGATTGGATATTCCATCCAATGAAAGTGTCGGAATCTGCTTCCCAACCTCAATTTAGTCTTGACCGTAACTCTAAGGGCAGTGAGGGGTGGCAAGACGCACCCAAATGTGCGAACCGGGTCCGATCTAAGGTAAGGAATATGTGTGCGTAGGAAGAGAAGTGTATGTCTATAAAAACCTACAGACCCTCTCCGGGAAACGAGACGTTCTCTTTGGATGATCTAGGGGCTTTTTGCCTTGTCAAACATCACCAAAACCAACCAACCAACTTCCGTCATTGTTAACAGCCGTCAAGATGTTCTCCATCTTTGTCGCTGTCATGGCCGCCGTGGCTATTGTCTCCGCTACTGCGGAGGCGACGGTGAGTCTCGAACGTTCTTCTGCCCTATAAAGATCTACATACTGACTGGAGCTGCTAGACGCCGCGGGACCTAGTCGCGTCTGCGTGACTGCGGGTAGGGGTTAGGGATGTATTCCTAACCCCTACCCAGGACAACACCCCGATCCGATCTGTATCCATAATCCAGGAAGAAAGCTTGGGTATTGGATGAGAAGGGACTCAGCTGAGACCGAGGAGTAGACGTGTGGAGTGGTTATATTATGAGCACGATACGCGTTATGAGAAATGAGTATTTGGCCCAGGAGATGGACCAATGTTAAGGATACCATATTATGAAGACTTATACCCCGAGTGGTTTACTGGCACAAGCCACTCATTCTTCGACCATCATGCACCAACTGCCAAGTTGTTGCAGGTGTGTTAGCAGCCTCATCAGGCCAATACAATCCCCTTTGTCCCTTTACGTACCCACGCCGATTGTATATGCATGAGTGAAACCATCATCGAATATCGTTATGTCCCAATACCTATACTAGACCAATGCGTAAGGGCATCTGATCTTCGTAATGTATATGCATAATTCCAGGATGTCCTCCTTAAACCCTTACATTATCTGGTATAGCGCTGTCGCCCCAGATGTTACGCGTTTCCTCCTCGACAGCTCTCATGGCGATAGCCACTTCTTCTAATTTCTCGACAACGTCCCTAACTCCTTGGTCTATCTTTGAAAAGTAGCGATCGTTCGCCTCTCTCCTATTTCTTGCTAGAAGGATATCCTTCTCCGTTTCTTCTTCGAGCTTAGCGCCTAACCGCTCGCGGCCAGTCCCACTACTTCCAGGTCGTGCGCTGCCTGTACCAACTGTGCTTTTTCCTCCTTCTGTACCTTCTACCGCCGCCTTCCCGACGCTTGAGGATATCGTAGGACCAAGGGCTACCCCAGTAGCAGATACGCCAATCTCACCTAAAGCTCCTTTAAGGTTTAGCACCTCGTTCGCAGCCGTCGGTTCGATTGAGTCGTCAGCCTCGCTTCTTGCCCATGCTTGGGCTAGCTTAATTTGGGCCGCACGTAACTCGGCGAGCTTGCGGTCATGCTCCGGTCCGAAAACGTGAGTACCTCCGCTTGCCGACAGCTCGACCTCTTCTAGAGTCGCTTGCATTTCAGCCCACAAGGCATCGGTTCTATCAGCAGTGCGGGTAGAGTCTGCAGTATGGAGTCGGCCGACAGGCGCGCGGTTTCGTGTATTTAACAACGAACCTGTTCGCGCAAGCGAGTGGGTAGCTTGGGACTGCTGGATAGATGCGCCGCTAGCATTTTCTCGTGTGTTCGAAATTGAGGCAACAGCAGGCGGAACTGCCGGGCTAGCAGCGACCATTCCCGAGAGCGATACATGTGATGTTGTTGGAGAGGGATGGAGGAATAACCTAGGAGGGTCGCGAGCTTTAGAATTGCTCGGTGTTAGTTTGAGGTCATCCATTGCTACATTTTGCCAGTATGAGAATACAATCAATATCAATACAACTCCTTTCAAATAGCCCTATTAAGAAGGGCAGTCCAGAAGCCAGGCTGGCCTGGAGAGCGAGATATTGTAATTGGCGAATATGACTGGTCAGTTTTGAAGTTGCCTATGATGAAGATGCGAAGGGACGCACACACGCGTCATGGTCCATGCACAGGGCAAGTCTCCGTTATTAATGTGGCTTAGATGAATTTATCAGGTACTCAGCCACTTCGATACGGGTATGTACCTATGTACCGAAATTTTAATGTGGAGATGGACTAATCTGTATATGACCCACAATTAACATCCGGCCACAGCTGGGGGGACTAGGGCGAAGAAACCCTTAGCAATTATTTTCCACCTCTGGTCTTGTGGAAAAAATTAACCGAAGAAACATCACATCCACGAACCGCTAGCCAATCTATCCATCCACATCCATCCAAGCAAGACTTCAACACCCATTTTTCAGCGATACCACATACAAATCGGTAAGTCAATTCAATTCCTCATTCACGATCGATCTGCATCGGTTTTTGGCTTTGGTCAATACGTTGCTACCAATCCTCTTTTACCTCGTTCCCTTCGACTACGATAAATAATTTTTTTTGCGCCCTCGAGTCTACATTTGCTGACCGTGCGACTCCTCTACTACAGCAATCATGGGTAAAGGAAAGCCTCGTGGACTCAACGCAGCCCGTAAGCTGCGCATGCACCGAAAGGAGCAGAAGTGGGCCGATCTCGGATACAAGAAGCGCGCTCTCGGTACCGCTTTCAAGTCGTCGCCGTTCGGTGGTTCCTCTCACGCCAAGGGTATCGTCCTCGAGAAGGTCGGTGTCGAAGCCAAGCAGCCCAACTCTGCTATCCGAAAGTGTGTCCGTGTCCAACTCATCAAGAACGGAAAGAAGGTTACTGCTTTCGGTACGAATACCCCTACTTTTATTCTACGTGTCTGAGGCGGCTGGCTTCGCGGGAAGGGATATCTAAGAGAGCGATAATTCCTTTGTTTTTGAGTGCAAATTAGCTGACGCGGTTTAATTCTAGTCCCCAATGACGGTTGCTTGAACTTCGTGGACGAGAACGACGAAGTCCTACTTGCCGGTTTCGGTCGCAAGGGCAAGGCCAAGGGTGATATTCCCGGTGTGCGATTCAAGGTCGTCAAGGTTTCCGGTGTCGGTCTGTTAGCTCTATGGAAGGAGAAGAAGGAGAAGCCGAGATCATAGATGTTCGGTCGGGGACGAAGGAAATTAAGGAAAATGTGCAACGAGAGAAGGTTCATTGGGCATGCGGAGTCGATACGGCTTGCTTTGTTTCATCACGGCATCATAGGTTCGGGCCTTGATACTCATTCACAGGCAGACGAGATCCACAAATAGAGATTCTGCGTCGCCAAAGCAATACCTGTAATTCTTCTAGAGTCTATCGTGATTATCGTGACTACCTAATCTAATGCGGAAATAATCGGTCTAAGAGCAGAGTAGATGCTTTCTAATTACCTACCTTAGGTAACATCTATCCCAAACCCGACATTGAATTCCGTTATATACACATAACTATACATTATGGTTGAAGCCTAATTCTCTAAAGATTGTCTCTTGTCTTCTTCGGCGTATTTTAACAGGTAGTCAACTCCAAGACCGAGACTGATCGCGCCTCCAGTGATCCAGCATCCGTTAACGAACCACCACCAGCAGTCCTTCACGTCCTTGAGATTTACTCTCTTTATCATCCAGCCCAATGTCAGAGCAGCACCACCGCAGCTCCCGATGAAGAAAGCTGGTCCGGCGCCTACTGTCATGCCGGCGGCTCCAAGAAGGCCTATTTGTGCTACCGCTAACCCGGACAGGATTTTCTTCGTATCAGCGTCATGCTTGAGGGCAATGCTTTTGATTCCTGCCTTGGCATCATCCTTGATGTCCATGTGCGCATAGATCATATCGTATAGTACAGTCCAGGCTATATTGCTTGCGTAAAGTAGAGCAGCCGCACTTAAGGCGGCACTATTTGACAACAAGTCTACCCCCAGAGCGGGAAAGCCCATGATGGCGCCCCAAGAAAAAGTCAGGCCTAAGACGAATTGCGGGTAATACGTCACGCGCTTGGCGAGAGGGTACGAAGCCACGAATATCAAGCTTGGAATACCATAGAAGAGACATGAGGTCGGGAATTGCAGCAAGATCCCGAGGCCGGTTAGGAGCTGCGCCCCTGTATATGTCAGGGCTTTGAAGGGCGTGATAGCGCCACGTGCCAGGGGCCGATGTCGCGTCCGTGTTACGTGCTTGTCTAAGTTCTGATCCCAGAGGTCGTTGATGGAGCAGCCGGCACCACGCATGACGAGGGCACCGGCGAAGAAGAGAGCAGTGGTACCAACAACGGACAATGGTGTAGCCATGGGGGTGGTGAGCGGAGCCGCCATCAGTGTTGAGAATAAGCATGGGAAGAATAGATAATATGTCCCTGTGGGTTTATCGATTCGGATGAGCTCTCCGTAGGGAACCCATGACTTAGGCAGACGGGATAGAATGCCTGATGTGGGTGGTGAGTAGGGTTCTGGAATGACTGCTGAGGATGGTGAATCGACGGTGTGGGCTTTTCGCTGGCTTATAGGTTGTGAGTGCACTGAAACTATCTGCCTTGGCCTGGGAAAACCGAGGGTTGTTGAGGCTGATGTTGCGTTTTGTAGGTAACATGAGACACCTCTGGAGACATTATGGAGTTGTCTCGATAATTTTAAATCCGGAGATATTAGACTGTGAGACACCAGAGACTTTGTGCCTTTGGGTATAAGGAGGCGAGGCATCTTTCTCAGGGGTGTATCGACTTCTGGAGACTTGTTAGCTGGATTTCTAGCGAGGTTGAAGATTTTGATTAAGCAGTGACTGATAGGATGAGACGGTGTCAGATTTGAGAAGCCCTATATAGAAAATTTCCATTCACTACATAAGGCTAACATGATAACAGTATGAAATACCGATCTTCGCTATAGACTATGTTATTATATAAAGGGTAGTAATAACTACCTAAGTGAGTGGTGAGTATTTGATAAACTCATCAGATTTTTTATATTCATATTTGTTTCCTAAGAGGTGAACTACTAACTCACTGTCAAGTAAACTAAGGGAATGAAGACCTACCACTGAGACTAAAAGGAAATAGTTGTCACTTCGAGTTTATAACCATTTCACATACTAATTAAAGTCATGTTGAGAAATTGCTGGAGTTTGAAAAAGCTATTTATTTTCTATAAGTCTGGAGGTTGTACGGGTCTGCGCACAAACTCGAGGTACCGAGCCTACCGCAATTCATCCTAACCTTAGGTACTTCGATACATGCATGCGAAGCACTGGACCTGTGCGATTACAACATACATGAGTTATCGCTAGTGGGTAGGTACCTAAGTACTTATCTGTCATCCAGTTTGCGCTTTCCGTTATCGTCTCTAAATTTATTGTCATAGCTTCCTCGCCTCCAGCCTCGCGCTGCAAGTGCGTCGCATTTTACCAAGAGCATTAAATTGCTGCAACGCCTTTGTTCCGCGGGTAGAAGCTGGCAACCTTTTCCCATAGCATCTAGGATACTCCACGATAGGCCTATCAAATTAAAAAGCATATGGGATACTATGTATATTGCGTTGGTTGTCCTTTGCGAATACCATCGCGATTGGTACAACTCCGTGAGGCGCGTCTGAAGGTGATCACAATCTTCGCGAACCCCGCCGTCGCTTCATAACCCCTTTCCGCCTCTCCGAAACCCGACTCTTCAAATCACTAGCTCTTAGTGTATACCTCGAGTAATCGCTAAAATGCCGACCACGTTACATCCCCAAGCTAAATTCGACCCAATCCCTCCAGATCTCGACCTCCATGCTCTTGTCGATCGCACCCCGAACTTCGACTGGGTTGTACGGATCTCTACCGCACAGATCAGGCGCCTTGGTCCTGCTGGCTTTGAGAAGCTAGTACAACTTCATGTTATCGAGGGAGGCCGACCATTAGTTATAGAAGGCTGGAATAAAGTCCTCCCATCAGATTTATTCAGTGCCGCATGGTTGGAGAAGACTTACGATAAGAAACGTGAGTCTTTCGCTTTCGTCATATACAGCGCTTAGAAATACTAATAGGGGCTGGTAGAGGAAAATGTTCGTGATATAACAGCACAGACCGATATCCCAATGACCACTGGCCATTACTTGCGATCGATGCGACAGTTGACTAATCAATGGACCCCTACGAATTTCCGCGACGATCGGCGCCAGCGTCTTTATCTGAAGGATATAGACTGTCCTCCCGAGTGGTATAACCACCTAAAGAAGGTCATCCCTCCAAATGTCTTCTATATGAATGAGAATATCAGCGAAAACCCAGGGGCAGACGCTCGAAATGACGACATTTTTGGCGCACCAGAAAAGACTCCTGCTACAGCAGGGGATCTTATGAGCAGCTTACCCGAGGAGATGCGTGCGCAAAATTTAATGTGCTACATCGGCCATGAAGGAACGTATACGCCTGCGCATCGAGAGATGTGCGCGAGCTTGGGCCAGAATATTATGGTTGAAGCCTCGGAAGACCGGAACGGAGAGAAGGCGGGTAGTTCGATTTGGTTCATGACTGAGACCAAGGATCGCGAGGTTGTTCGAGAGTACTTCCTTTCCATGCTTGGCCACGACATTGAAATCGAGAAGCATTTCGCGCAGATCAACGCCTGGAAGAAGGCCAACTTTCCCGTCTATATCGTTGAGCAAAAGGTTGGCGACTTCATCCTTATACCTCCCTTAGCCCCCCACCAAGTCTGGAACCGCGGGACACGGACAATGAAAGTTGCATGGAATAGAACAACAGTCGAAACCCTTGACTTAGCTCTTCATGAGGCATTACCCAAGGCGCGACTAGTCTGCCGAGATGAGCAATATAAAAACAAGGCTATCATCTATTATACTATGGAGAAGTACTACAAAGATCTTCAAGCCCACGAAGAGAACTCCGAAGTTGGGTTATTGGGTCTTGGTCAAGAGCTGATGCAAAATTCCACTCGTATGAAGCAGATGGCTAATGACTTCAAACGCTTGTTCGGCCTGTTCACCGAGATTCTCGTCGACGAGATGTTTGGTTACAAGCAAACCGACGTTGAATATATTCCATTCGATTCAAATATCACATGTTCATACTGCCGGTCCAACGTTTTCAACCGTTTTTTAACTTGTAAGTGTTGCGTGCGAACTCTAATCGACGGCGACGAAGATACATACGATATTTGCATGGAATGCTATGCTATGGGGCGCTCATGTATTTGTATATCGGGCCTCCAGTGGTGCGAACAATGGAAGTGGCCCCATCTCATCGAAAAACATGAAACTTGGAGATCAATGGTTATTCAACAAGATGGGTTTGTCGACATCGATTTATCTCCTCAGCCTATCGAAATTGTGCGGAAAAAGACGGGAAAGAAGTCGGTAGCCCAGATCTGCCAAGAACAACTTCGAAGGCGGCCTTGGAACGACATCACAAAGCCATCTCAACCTGAAGCAGAGGAATCTGATGAACCCGAGGTCGACGAGGATGGCCGTATCAAGAAGAAGCCGAAGCCGAAACGCAAGGCTAAGAAGGGCGATGTCTACCGCTGTCATGTCTGTTGCCACAAAGACTACACATATAAGCTAAACTTCTGCACGACATGTCAAAACGCATATTGTTACGGGGTGTTGTGGCGGGCATTTGATACGATGCCCCAGATGGCAATGGAGAAGGAACATTGGCAATGTCCCAAATGTCTCAATATCTGCAACTGCGGGTCTTGTAGACAGAGTGGCACTACACAGCCATATGTCCCCAAGAATACCCTTCTTGGGCATGATACGCGTCCAATTGCGGACGATCGCAGTGTTGAATCAATCGTCGACTTCAGGCAACATAACCTTGGCTGGCTTAAGGCCACTGGCGACGAAAATCGTGGGAGGGATACGAAGCGGATGCAACGTCTAAAGCAGCAGGCAGATGCTGAAAAGGCTAGAGACCCATTGGCTTCTTTGAATTCCGCAGAAGACGCTCCGCACGAAATGGATTCGGCCCTTCAGGATTCAATTATGAACGGCTATGGAGATCAAAGCCATCTCCTCGACCATGCTGAGACAAACATTGCTAGTTATGAGAATGGCCAAGCACCCGCTGCTGAAATGTCGCATGGAGAACCTGTGGACGAGGTTGACCACGCCGACGTGTCTGCTATACAACATGGAGAAGGAGACTCGGTTCTTCCGGATCAATCGCAGTATCCCGATCCATCTATGGTTGGCCGCGCACGAATGATGGGAATGGGATTCTATGACCAAGATGAAAGTGCAGATAAAATCTTGTTCGATCCTTTCCAGATGCCATCTGCCGATGCTCTAGATAATGAGCCGGAAATGTCCGAATACGTTAAAAAGACGCTGCGACTTGCGAAGAGAAAGGCAAGACTGGAGATTGAGGATGATCCCGATTTTAGAGGACCTAGGAGTCACCAGCGAAAAAAGCCCAAGACCGGAAATATTGATCAACTTGTCAACTTGGATCCAGCCTTACTCGGTGCCCTTGGCGATAGCACATCTACGCCCACGAGATTAACTGCTTCGGTCGGCCCTAGTGAACAGCCAGGGGACGACATCGCAGAAACACAACCGAGAGAAGCTAATGAACCAGCTGCTCAACCTAAGCAAGCACCTAAGCAAGCGAGGCCTCCTCTTCCTATTGATCCTCTACGACCTACTTTGCGACACGCTAAACCGAGAGCATCGTACGTGGAAGCCGAAGAACCCGCAGAAGACCCAGATGATAGTGTTCTAATTAAGCCCCTGAGAATTTTTGGATCTGAGGGCGAAGATGGCGTGCCGGAGGAATTAGACCCTGTAGATTTAGCGGCGGATGCAATCCGCGCTTTGACCCAATTTCCTGGCGGCGAAGGAGAGAATTCAACTATCGCCCAAAACACTCCACAGCCGGGAGCTAAGAGACGAGGGCGACCACCCCGAAGCTCTATCGGAACGGTTGTTACTCCGTCCACTGGGAAGAAGCGTGGCCGCCCGCCAGGACGGCCGAGAAAATCTTTACCCAATAATACTGAAAATGACGAGGGCAGTATCACGGTGGATGCTGAAGACCCCGACAGCACTCAGAATGAGAATGACGTTACCGTAGATGAACTTGAAGCTCAGCTGGCGCGAGAACTGGGCGATGCAAATGATGGAGAGCAGTCACGACCGACTGCGGCCCGTGGGGGTTCTGTAAGGAAAAGAGGCCGACCACCAGGACGGCGAGTAACGCAATCTCCCGCGATAGCCAAGCCAGATGATACGCCTCCGGATACCCGTTTTATGTCTATGAGAGAACGAGCGGCTCTAAGGGGTAGGAGAATTAGGATTGGTTCACGCCGGACAAGGGATGGTGCAACGGGAAGCCCTGCAGCAACTTCGACCCAAGGTACTCCTGCAGTTACAACTACTCGAAGCAAACCAATGCCAGATACTGAGAATGCAGAGGAAACTAGTAGGGCCAGCCCGAAACGGGGCCGTAAAGAACTAGTTGATGATGATTTTGAGCCTGCTGATGAGAGAGCCGAGTCTTCACCCTCATCTAGCCCCACGCCGGAGCATGAGGCCCCAGAGCGGCAACAACCTGTTAAGAAATTGGGAACTCCTACTATTGTCAGGCTATCATTTTCGGATGATAGTAGTGATAGCGACTCGTCCTTGGAAGCCGCTGACGATGGTCCAACGAGGAAACCTTTCGTTGCTACACGCGGTCGGGGAAGAGGAAGGGGGAGAGGTAGTGCTAGAGCGCGAGGCCGCCTGTAATTAATGAAAATTAACAGAGAATTAATTTCTCGATAGCCGAGAAACCGTTTCTCGTGGCGTTAACTTTGATGGTCGATACCCCGTTTATGGTACTAGGGTTTGATAACTTGGCTGATCCGCCTTGTACGTTGCTGTCGCTGTATAGTAATTACTTGCTCCCTATATAAGTTCCAATATATTCACTATAACTAGTCGACTTAACACAATACGGCTTGCTAGTGAGGAACGTCTATTAAAAGTTGATGTCCCGAACGGCGCTAGGAACGAGATACTCATAGTTCTCATTACCAGCGTGCTCGTGAAAAGGCCGAGATATAGTGTATCACTATCCATCGCCATGTTGCATAGAGCCGGGTGTTTCGGGGAAACCCCCAAGTAAAGCTCTTCTTAGCTCTGTACCTGGTTCCTGAGCCCAATATGAACTGTGGGTACCCGTGGTGCTCGTTCGATCTAAAGGTAAAAGGTCTTTTTGACGATACCGTGGATCGGCCCGAAATGCTTGGTTTGCGTCGGGACATGCCGTATTGCCCTGAATTCCAAACACATCGATTCCCTGCTAAGCTCTTCCATTTCAAGTAGGTCTAACCAACTACCCGAAATACCTTGAAAATAGCCACGCAAGCAGACAAACACCCGGAGCCAATAAGCTTGTGCACTAACATGGCAGGATTGCGAATTTTAGTTTGAGTGAATAGTAGTATTAAGCTGGAAAGCTGTTGGTGTAAGGATCCAAAGGTGAAATACGCGTTGTCCATCCTGGGCTATCGTTTGATATATGTATCAAATTTATTACTTGGGACGCGACTATATGCGGGTGATCCCGACCCCTTATACCTAGTATCGCCATTTTAAAGACTCGTGGAGTACGTTCTTATTCTGTGGGTAAATTTCTCTCTGGGTGATCTAGCCAGGAACCTAATCGACAACATTAAAAGGGAAGATAAACATTAGTACCTAATAATGCTTGACCCATGCTCTAAACCCGTTAGCCTTACCACCGTCCTTCCTTGGTGTATTTCTCCGGCCCTCCCTACAACTTGGAGCCCCACGATGTAACTACGAGGGGGGGTTTTGGATGATCCTTGCGGCAATCATAACTTTGTCTTCCGGACTATTGAGACTGGCTCTCCTGTCTAATAGAATTGCATGTGCTTGAAATCCGTTCACTGCCACCTATCCAATTTCGATGCTTGACGTCGACCTCGATTATGAGCCATAGCCTTTAATTATAGGGTAGATTACTGAAAAGTAGAAGTGCTTATTGTGAACGAAGTAGAAATGAAGAATTGAAGTGCTCGGCGTTAGAAATGCATCTATGTTTTTGTTAATATTTTTTTTCTCTTCTTGCCAAGGTACCTAAATATATACATGATGAACCGGTAGAATTTGACGGTAGTTAAAGGGAAATGTGTTGGCCCCCTTGCCCCTACCACAACATTCCCTCGCTTCAGCTGCTATTGTACATCATAACTCATAAGGAAGCATTACTCGAGGCTTTTGAATGCGTCGCTTGGCCTTCATAGTTGGCTCTTGGCCCCTTTCGTGGATATTCGTCCTCAGTTGAGACGGTAAACTGTGTAGTGCGCATGATCCCTGTTCCTGTAAGAATTTCTTCGTCTGAATCTCGCGCGGACCGGACTTCGGTACGGGTTCGCCGGCTATCCATGTCTTTTAAGCCGATATCGTTATTATCTGGTCCATCGGTAGTCCTGATGTAGCCCTGCTGCGCATGCGAGGCACCCCCGTACTTGTGATGACCATAATAAGAGTGGTTGCCGGTCGACTTGAGATGCGGTACCCAACGACGAATAAGTGGCCAAAGTGCGGGAGCCGATGCAGTTAGAATAGCCAAATTGCACTCGATCGAAGAGACACAGAAGCCGACAGAGAAGTTCTTATCTGGACTTTGGTCATGGAAGTTTTGAGCGAGGAAGTAGAGACGAATGACGCTGACGATGGTAACGCTGTTATAAGACTTATGTTAGAGCTTTACCTCTGCAAGTACATTCGATATTTTCGAATTATTCTTTGGAGTAGCTGGGAAGTCGTAATTAGGGGTGTTACTTACAGTACACCTAGCATGAAAACTCCAATTAAGGCAACCTTCCTGTTCTTACGTATCTTCAAGCCCAGAAAAATGTAAAATGGAAGAGCGACTGAGACCACATCAGTTGCAATAGTCATACATGCAGCTACCACACCGAAGGTGAACTGTTGAATGCATTTCCCAGGTACCAATGGATGCCAGTTGAGCTCGATAGGAGTGCATTGGAATATGACGGTCAGGAGAATGGCGAGCATCAAGACTGTGTTAAAGACGATAGTGCCCCAGACGACGTATCGGACGCCTGCCTTAATACCTGAAAACCGAAGTAGAAAGACGAGGACAGACTGTTTCACCAGGGTTAAGATGGGTTGGTAAACGGCGCCGACAACGTATATCCAAATCAGTCCCTCGGTGGGATCAAAGGGTTGCGGCACATCGTAGTAATGAATTCCTATGTATAACTCCTTCATAACTGCGGATTGTTAGGTTCAGATATTGATAGGCGTTGTCGCATGTCCGCTTACCTTTGATAGAGCCTACTGCTAAAGCGATGCTAAAGACCATTGCAGCAACGATGAGGCCATCGTCTAGATGAATTAAGTTAGTACATTGCTCTAATCTCGTTACTGAGATTTGCGACTCGTAAACTTACCCCATCCAAAGCTCTTCGTGTCGATTCTGATATAAGTCCTCAAGCCAACAACTATCAGCGCGAGCACTGGACATACCACTTCGATGGCGATACCCAGGTTTTGGAGCCAGCTCGTGGGATTAGGGTTCGTCGCCATTGGAGAGGCTTGGATGGGTTCTGATATGGTGACTGATCATTAAAACATCTGTGCAGTCCCGTCCAGATAAGGTCAGGATAGATCCACGAGATGAGTCGACCCAAACAATAAAAGAGATCGTCACCGGGGTTGCAGGCGATCATTCATATACATATATCCTATCCCCCAGAATTCGAGTATGTTGAAGATCTTGGTAGCCGTGGGGCCTAGGAGTCGCGTTACAACATTGGCAAGGGTGACGAGGTCTGGAAAGCTTCACCCGGCTCGTGCTCAGTGAATAATCGATGCGATATATCAGGCTCTCGAGCGGTTTAGATGCATATTAATGATCCTAAGGAACATCAAAGCACACGATCCTTTCTCCTCCTAATTGGAAACAGGGCATTACATGGATTCCCCGGTATCCGTCTAGAATAATCCAGGACCCATTGCCCGAAACTGGATTGTCCCCTGGCCTTGGCGAGGAGAAACCGTCGGCTATTTCGCACGAGTTTACCACAAGAGTTGGCAAAAGTTTAAGGGGTTATTGTTTAAACCTGTTACGTATGGTACATAGCATGGGGACTTGCTTTGAGCGAGGTGACATGGACTTGTCCTTGATCGGGATTGCATCTTCATGGGGAAACTTTTTCGGGTAGTACTATCGGAACGTAGAGTTTCTATATAACAGCACTGCCTACCCTCTCATGTATGGGCTTGGGCATTCCGACCCTGCCCTGCAGGGACATGGCTTCTTCCAACATTAGTGCCTGTGAAGGCGTGTTAGCTTCATGAGACACCAACTTGAATACTTCAAAACTTAGCGTATTAAGGATCTTAAGCGAGGACCGTCAATTTTCTTATCCTTGTCTTCGTGTATGCTATCGGTTCATTACTGGTTGACACCTGCAGTATGTGGTGCATGATGCACGGCTCTTCTCTCCGAACACTTTTTGCGGTAGTATCGTGCAGTATTTTTCCGCCGCCGCGTCCTCCGCCAGGGCGGAGATATCTTCTTGTCTATAGGGGTATATCGGATTGCGTCCTTCCTTGGACGCGGGTATTACCAAGCTGCTGCGCCCTTACTTCGTCTTATGCTACCTTTGCAATTGATACTACCTTGCGTTCCCGATTCCGTATTCACTTCGCAATAGCGATACTCCGCATAGGTTTTCAAGCAAGCCACCGTATAGGTTCCAATACTTACTCGACTGAACCTCACTAGTTGTTTCTCTGATTAATTCTTACTTCAGCGAACTCGAATGATAAACTTGATTACTATTTGCCAGAGATGAACATGAATATTGGGGATTGGTGTTGATAAACCGCCGAAATTTATACGAAAAAAGCGACGGAAGAAATACCCGAGAAAGGGCTGATACCCTTTTGCCCTGTCATATCTTGTAGGTTGGGGTAGTGTCACCTTTTCGGTGTTAGACGCGTACCTTGCGTATAATGCTACCTATATTATGTACAAATATACATTATCGCAAGTCATATCCACAATCCGACGTTCCGGAACGGAGAGTAAACTCTTAAAAGAAGCTGGAGAACGCTTAGCTAAGGCTACTAGGTATTACAGTAGTTCTAGACTAGATAGACGCTAGACTAGAGACGGACTCTTGACCTCGTTTGGAGTTTCTAGACTCGGTATGGAGTCGCTAGATGGAACCCTCGAACCATATGAAATTACAGAGGACTATCGTTTTATGTGTAAGCTTTAACTAAAGTTCATCTGCGCCCATAACGGCGTAGTGTATATCATACTACTTTCTATGCTATACACATAGTATTATAAGGTAGTTATATACACTTACACCTGGTCAGCTTTGACTTATTCCTTAAACTGTTGGTATTGTGTGCATTAGCACATTAAAACCACGTGGATGTCAAGGAATATCGGTGTCTTATCGGTTCGTATAAATTAATCACGCAGGGACGGTCCTTTGGAATTTTTCTATTGTGATCCTTCGGCCGTGAAAACTGCTCGATGACTGTTTTATCCGGTAGCTAGGTGTTCCTATACTTTTAAACTTGCATATACTTGCATCTCGCGTAGGAGCCTGATACTTGGCAACTCAGCTACGGGCATAACAATGACGCGCTTCGTTTATGTTGCGGCTCTGTCGCTAACCAACTTGGCGTTCGCCCAGACAATCCAGGATGGCGTCGGTAAGCTTTAGTTTTTGTCCTTGATGCACCCTTTATTACAATAGACACACCATTATGATGTGGTGGCTTGCTAACCCTTGTCGATGCGAATAGAGGCAACCTCAGAGACTATCGCGCCAGCCGTCGAGACAGTGGAAGCTGATGCCTCATCATCTGGCATCGACTATTTCCCCTTCGAATCGAGCCAGCTTACGCCTGACGTTATTGCTAATTTGACAAATTATAATCTTACTAATGTCGACCTTTTCAATTTTAGCGACACTGAAGCCGCGGTTCAAAAACGTGGCGGCCGCGTGTGTAAAACTTATCCCGGAGACAGAAGTTGGCCGGTTCGCCCTATATGGGACCTCTTTAATATTCTATTAGGAGGTGCTCTAGTTGAGGGAGTGCCAGCCGCAGCGCCATGCTATTCTGACTGGCCTCAGTATGACGAGACTAAGTGTGCTTCGATTACTTCTCAGTGGCAGACGCCTCAATACCAGTCAGCACCCCTTTCCTTATCCTCGCTTGGGTTTGTGTCTAACCTAGCACAGACTATCACAGCCTCTAGGAATCCAATACTATGCCTTTGAAGGAGTGAGCTGCTTGCCGCCTAACCTTACAAGGACGGGTGCTAAATGCACGCTAGGTGGCATGCCGTCGTATGTTGTTAAGGCGACCAATGTCGCACAGATCCAGCTTGCTGTCAATTTCGCGCGGAACCTTAACCTGCGGCTGATCGTCAAGAACAAAGGCCATGACTTCAAGGCCAAGTCCACTGCCGCTGGATCGCTTTCCGTCTGGACCAACGCCCTACAAGACATCCAGTACTTGGGTTCCACTTACTCCCATGGCTCATCAGGTTACCAGGGGCCAGCTTTTAAGATTGGTGCTGGCGTTCAGGCCCTTCCCCTTTATCAAGCCGCAGACAAATTAGGTCTTCATATTGTCGGTGGAAATACTCGTGTAAGTACCTACCTATCGTGTCCCGTTCCGAGAAAATACCATAAAACAACAGAGTCTAATTAAGATACTGTGCTAGACCGTCGGCATCGGTGGTGGATACATTGCTGGTGGTGGCCATTCCCCCTTGCTATCCATGTATGGCATGGCAGCTGACCAAGTATTGTCCATGGAAGTTGTACTACCTAATGGCCGATTTGTTTCTGTTGATGAGCAAAAGTATCCCGATCTTTTCTTCGCCCTTCGTGGCGGAGGTGGCAGCACCTGGGGTATCGTAACCTCGCTTGTTATTCGGGCTTACCCGAAGAAGCCCGTCTCTACTCTCACTTATAGCTTCGGTGTCAATACTAACAATACTAACGTATCGACGGAGACTTTTTGGGAGGGAGTAAATGCTGTTTTCGCCAAATTTCCCGAATTTGCCGATAAGGGGATGTACAACTATTGGTCTATCAGTTGCTTGTCTGACTGCTCCTTCTCCATGGCTCCTCAATGGGGAAATGATATGAATTCGACGACGCTTGAGACATTGTCTACTCCATTATTTGACGAGCTCGCGGGTTTAGGAATTACCGTTAGCGATGCTGTCTATAAAGAATACGATGGCGTGCTGGGTGGCATCGAAGGTACCTGGTCGGCTGAAAGTGAACAGGGTGGTGTCTGGAATTTTAATACTGGGTCAAGACTATTCCCCCGTTCTAACTGGGACGACCCTGCAAAGCTTGCTACACAAAACGCGGCGCTCCGGCAGAGTGTTGAAAAGGCTGGCTTAATGCTCGGGTACAACATGAAAGCAGCAGTCAACCCATCAGTCAACCAGACCAACGCCGTAAACCCAGCATGGCGCCAAACTGTCTTGCACGCGCTACTAGGTGCCACTTGGAGCCAGGAAGCCACTGCCCAGGATATCGCGGCCGCGAACAAGAACCTCGTCGAGATGATGCAACCATGGCGAGATGCATCCCCCGATGCTGGCGCATATCTCAACGAGGCGGACATTAACGAACCAAACTGGCAGCAAGCCTTCTACGGTTCAAACTATGCATATCTTTACCAGCTCAAGCAGAAGTACGATCCTTGGGGCCTATTGTGGGCACCTACAGCAGTTGGATCCGAGGACTGGTACGTAACTGACCAGATTGAGTATTACCCAACACAGAACGGAAAACTGTGTCCAAAATAGGACTCTGTGTTTCGTCCGCATATAAGATTCGACTTGAAATAAGTTATAAATCGAATGGATGTATAAAAAGGCTTTACTATACTAGATATTATACCCATATAGCATGGGAGCACTTACTTTCCCTACCCCTTAATTAGATAGCGTTATTCTAGTTTGTACCTAGACATGCCGCAAGACATGCTTACCTTGTATCTATCCTCAAAGAGTTTCATGTTTTAATTTAGCTAACGTTCCGTTGGTTCCTGTACTATTAACCCTTAGCATTTTCGTCGCCATTCGCATTAAAAAGCCCTTCGTGATAGGTATTCTAAACGTATAAGCAGAGATAGCTTATTATTGTAACAACCTGAACATAATTCTGGTTCAACCATTTTATGTTATAATGCCTCCCTCTTATAATCTCGACATACCTACCTACATAGCTTTTTATAGCATGCACGTTTTTTCCTTGCTAATGACTTCTACGTTGTAAATAGGCCTGTTTGCCTTAAATCTAGGTTAAGCACGCTTTTTACGCGCAATGCTAGACCGACTTTAGGATGCTATAGAATCTGACTCTAATTATAAAGTTTTCAATCTTAAAATAAAAGATTTTCATTATTAGACTATTTCAATATGCTACTATAAGCTTGCATAGGATAAATAGACTTAAATTAATCACGGTAGCCTTTTGCGTTCTACATTGTTTCCTCGCGCACCCCATCGTATACTGCGCTCATTCGTACCCCCTATTCCTTCTGTACTGTTATGTATTATCCACCCATATACGCCGCCAAGTATTGAAGGGAATTATTTCATAAACTAGAGGATTTGGACTTATTTACCCATTCGAATCCATTTTCAATTAACAAATGAGAATATACAGCTGCCATATTGAGATTTTTTGAAAGAGATTGATCTGATAAGATTTTATGAAATGATATTGTTTTTCGCATATAAGGTACCTATGTAGAAACCAAAGAAAGAACATGCAACGTTATATAACTTGGGAAACAATGCATTGTTTCATATCTGTTATATCACTATAGCCTCGTATTGCTGCTGTTCTCCAGGGAATTTATGTATATATATTTATCGAATTTCCCTGCTCCTGTATCTCATTTCTCTTCATCATAACGCTACTTACATATTCTAATCATCATTATCATCATCATCATCAACATCATCATCATCGAAGCCTTTCGTCGAAACTTGGAATTGTTTTAAAAGTCACCCAAGCTTACGCTCATCCAAAATGACTATAGGTAGACAGGCAGCACGTCAAGTTTGTATAGCATGCCGCTCGAAGGCATCGGGTCTAAAAGCACCATGCAATCGTCCTGTGGAAGGCCACGGGGTAAGTAAAAATCAAAATCAATATCTCGCGTTCCTAGGTATTTCCTTGTGATTATTCGCTGACCGTTAATATTACAGTGCACTGCATGTAAGCAGTATGGCCTCCCTTGCATATTTGGCGATAATCCGCTACCTCCGTACCCTGGTCCTACTAGAGCACCAGTGTTATATTCATGCGATCAATGTAAAGAGCTGGGCCTACGCTGCGATTTCAAAAGACCGGTACGTAAAACTAAAATGAGTTTCACCCTTTCTTTGGCCTATCTTCGAAGCCAAATTCTTTATAATTGACTGTTGCTTCCAAAAAAAAGTCTCTTAACACTCTATACGAAAAGAAGTTGGTGCTAACTGTTGTTATAGTGCGATAGATGTCACAATGCTGGAACTAGGTGCACGGGAAGCAGAAGATATTGTTTCATTCGCGAAGTACCAGGCGGCGACATGTACGGCTACTATCTTAACCTCGGATTTGGTCCTAACGGGATTAATCAAGTTCTTCAAACACGCAAGTTTGGATGGACTATGCCTGCAGACTACCATGTACAATATATGAGGTGGAAAAACGAAGGAACTGTACCCCGTGAGGTATTAGAACTACAAGGAGAAGAACCACTCCAGGACCAATATGGACGAATCGTAGAGCTAGCACAAGACGCTGCCAAGCATGGGGTCCCGGCTAACCTACCGGCAATTATGCAAATCCTCAGTCGGGATGTTAAGGCCGGAGTCCCATTAAATGAGTCTCAAGCTGCGCGAGATCTCATGTACTATCTCGGTAAACAAACTGCGCCCAATCCTAGAGCCCATGAACGCCAAATTGAGATAAGCGAATTCAATATTCTCTATAACGAGGCAGACCTTCAAAGACTTAATCCAGGCACACAGGTAGAGTATTCTTATATAGCCCCTATCAGAGACGCGGCCTTGGGTCCTGTTACCCGACCAGCATCTCCTGGCCCTGCTCGCCCCAACTACTGGATACCGTGGAATACGAAAAGTGATGCTATGGTTATCCACGACAACACAGCCGAATACCCGGAGGGGCGACCTGAAAGAGTTAATATGAGTGCTATTCGAAGAGATCCCTTCAGGGAGCATCCGAACGAAAATGCACAATGCGTGTTATCGTCAATTCCATTCCTACGCATGTGGGATGAAGGGGAGATGTATCCTACCGCAAAACCATGCGAGCAAGAGTATATGATTGACTATATGGTTGGCGGAAAGTGCGGAAATCCAACAAAATGCGGATGTGAAGATACCACTCACGTAGGGGATGGTGTCCCAATTTGCGATACCTGCGAAGAACAAAACCGTGAGAAATTTTACAAGGAACTCGAAATTACTGCCCCCCAAATGAGACAATACCTATGCTATGAATGTTCAATCAGCATTCCACACTTACTTTTACTGGTTAATCACATGGGTTTTGATGTTTATTACGAAAACCCCACAGGAGTACAGTTGCCAGATTTCGAAAGCCATTCGCTTATCAGTACAGGACTAACTAAAAAGGTAGGAGGTTGGAAAGGCGCTCCTTTAGAGATAACGGGTTGTTCCTGCGGCGTTAAGCTACTAGGTCGTCGTCTGTGTAGCCCTCACAGATTACAGCACTTACTAGACATGCAAGAAGCTATATCGAATATGAAGATATATATCGACAGTATGTACGGAAGATCGGTTTGTCCCGTATGTAAACAGAGGCCTGGCATCAACGAGTACAACTTTGAAGGCCCACAAGGCGGAGAAGGTGTGTGTAAGGCGTGGATGTGTTTGGTTTGTCACGGCTTCGTGTTAACCGAAAATACTACTTCCGTAATACCGAGATTTCACCTGAAGCCGGGGGCGCCCAAACCCGCTCCGGCACCGTATGGCATCAGACCGGAGGAACTTGCAATCGCGAATGATGAAATACAGAAGAAACGCGAGCAGGAGATGATGCGTTAACTCAAAGCTGATGTTAATTCGTAAGATACCCCCTACGAGTAACGAACCATATTGTACGGCTAAATGAAACAACATTGATATAACTTAGCTTTGAGATCAAAGTAACAGTGTTTCTAATGAGATTAAAAGGGGGGAGTTATCCAGAGTATATTAATAGACCTCCGTAATTATGTAGACATCTAATTAATACTTGCTTAGCTACTTGTTGTCATCGCTGGCCACAGATTGAACACGTGACAGAAGCTCTGAGAAAAATTGATCGGTTTACGTTTCGTATGAATACCTATAGCTGTAAGTAGGAAACGGCAACTGATAGAATAGTATAAGGTACATAAATAAAAGACTTTATGCTCGCAATGGAATTTAAGGAAATATTGATGGGCTAAAGTGGTTCTATTAGCATTGGCAAAAACGAACGCACGAAAATCGAATGGTCGTGGCCTATTCTTACTCGAAATTATGTTGGGATGACCGATAGCCCCTATCTTCTCCGAGGGGGAGGTGGTAGGCATGCCCATTATGTGCGTAATAGCGTATAATGCCATTATAGGGTATAATAGATCAATTATGCGCATAATGCCATGCAATTTGCACATAATGCGAAAACAACATTGATCACAACAACAACACCACCACCTATTTTCATTCAAAACACCTACAATTTTATTCAAAATATTTTCAAATAACTACCCTAAGTTTAATCAATTCATATCAATCAATTAAAGTCGTTTACTTGGAAGAATATACGTTGTACTAATATTAAAAACACTTATCTTTTAACTCTAGTTTTTAAAACCTACACTCACTTGACACCAAGCTAATCCTAATCTGGAGTACTAGTGCGCCGGATAAACAAGGGGGATTCTTCCGTTATGCGCATAGTAATTCTGTTACACGCCATTATGTGATATTATACGGTATAGTACACTATGCGCATAATTAAATTCGCATCCCTAGGAGGTGGATGTCAGGATTAATGCCCGGTGAGGATAGTCATACAGAGAGTGAGTGTACAGGGTAGGTAGACCAAGTAATAGATATATTGAACTAGTAACGCCTGGCCTTCTATCTTCTTACGAGGGCGCCTCGCACCTCTTATATAGTAGATAGACCCCTGTAGCTACCCCTGACAACCCGTCCGTCACCCCTGGAACAGATGCAAAGAAATATATGTAATTTATCCGGTCATAGCAGGCCCGTAACATTAGACCCTCTCGTCAAGTATATCGATTTGGTATATTGTTAGCTTGTGGTGAGTTTTACATCTTCTCTTTCGGCAACGACATCCAGAGCCCATCACATCTTGCAAACTCTACCTGGTGTTCGTCCTTGACCGTTACATCTAAACTCATTTTTCGCCCCTCTATTCTGTTAAGAGATGCTGTCACGACGACAGTTTGTGGGGTAGGCAGAGGTTTCAGAAACCGCACAGTCATGCTCGCAGTAAAGAATCGGACGTTATTCAAATCCAAAACGCCTCGTGGAAGACGCCGCCCCTGTGCTTCTTCACGTATCTGAACTTGATGATTGATGAAAATAAGACTTCCCATTGCCTCATCTATCAGGGAGCTAACGAATCCGCCGTGGGCTGTGCCATTATATCCGTTCACACCTGGACGTAGGTCGAAAATTAGGGATGAGGAGTTGATCAGAAGTTGCAGGCCAAGTTGCGAGGGTGGGCCCAACGGGGTAGACGGGCTTGCCTCTATATCCAAATTAGAGGAAGCCGGGCTTTCGTAAAAGCCAATGCAGTGTGGCACGGTGTCGGCATTGTTGAGCGTCTTCCGAAATAATTGATCTTGAGATGGAGAGTGGCCGGTAGGATCCTCTGGCAATCTAGAGGTAGGGGTAAATGTAATCACACTAGGACGCTCAAGAAGAGCGGCGCACCATGGTATTGACTTGAAATGACGCGTCGCCTCGACCAGTGAAGAATTCTGCTCCATTTTATGGTCGTATGGGCGACTTTCTGATAAATAGCTAGTTCTCTTGACGACGATGAGAAATAATAACTGTTGAGACTGAAGATATTGGCCGTGCCAACTATAATGGATGAGGTTGGGATAGCCCAATTTTAGACTATATGGTATTGTACTATGTTACTATATTGGTATTGGGGGTTATACATAGTAAGGCTGGAGTTGTGGGTCGTACCTCGGCTGTTGAAGTAACCGTAGCTGACTAAATATAATATACCTTACTGCTATTAACCTATGACATTGGATAGCTTCATTATACCCCATGGAAGAATGTCACCAGGCACATGATTTAATTGGGGCTGATAGGGTTTTGCCTCGGCTTGTTTTCTGTTGGGTTTCTGGAATGTATAATGCAATTGGTGGTTGCGTTCCGGACTCCTCAACGTTCATCGCTAGTGTAGAAGAGATAATTAATATAATAAGTAATAAGAGTTGATGATGAAGTGTGATTCAACTTAGTTCTATAGCAAGCACTAAGAATAAACGACTAAAGAGACTCGACCATGTTTTTTCCAGGAACAGCCATCAACAACCTCACATTTTGTCACCCACCATGGCACAATTATTCGCTATTATTGGGAATTTGCCTGGCTGGCTACTTGTTGATTGTCAGATACCTTCGTTACCGCCGTAAATCAAATATCGAAGCCCCTTTTGTAAAAGGAAACCGGCCTCTCTCAAGTATGACCACCGAGGAAGCCTACGAAATCATGAAGCAGCTGCAAGAGCTCGAGTTCCCGTACGCATTCGCAAAAGCTCGCAAAATTGCACTTCTCAAAGTAGGCCTCACGACGTGTTGAGATATTCTTTGACATTGATGATACCTAAGATAACAGCTAACGATACAATCACTTCCAGGCAGGAGGCATCCCGACCATGTCTAAACTCTTCGCCGTCACTGGTCAAAATACCAAACGTAACGCGGGAAGGCGCTCCGTCGACACTGAGGTTCTTCTTCGAGAATCGCAGTCTAAACGTCGGGACTCAGAGCGCTACGCTATGGCCGTGGCAAGGATGAACTACCTGTAATCATAACAGCTGAATATCTAAAAAGTATACTCCCGTCATTTGCTAATATTTTTGTCTAACAGCCATTCACGTTACCGACGCGCCGCCAAAATCACTGACCCCGATCTGCTCCACACTCTCGGTGACGGCCTTGCTGAGATCTTAAATGTCGTGGATAGAGAAGAATGGCGCAAGTTGACGGGTGTCGAGGTGTGCGCCGTTGGTATTTTTCACAAGAATCTGGGAGAAGATATGGGGATCCCATTCACCCCACTACCGTCAAGTGTGGAAGGGTGGAAAGATGGGGTTCACTTTGCGAGGGAACTAAGAGATTGGACACTCCGATACGAGGAAGATGTGGCAAGGGCCACACCGACGAACGACCAGTATGTTAGGGTGTACGTTGATTCAGCTGTCGCAAGTCTGCCTGGAGTCTTCAGGACAACTTTGAGGAAGGTCTTAGCGGCGAATTTAGATGATGTTATGAGGACGAGCCTCTGGTGAGTTTATCAAGAGCGCCCTTACCACTGATCTGAAGCATATTGGGACATCAAGAATTTTAACTGTTAAGTTTTGCAGTTTGGAGGCGCCTGGACCGATTCTCTCATCTCTCCTGGCCATCGTCCGCAATATTCGAATAGTACTCCTTCGGTACGCGGCACTACCGCGTCCATCCTCCCTCCCCGTAAAGATGGTCGACGATTCACCGAACCCGAAGACTGGATTATATAATTTCGAACGGAAAACCTTGCAGCCATGGTACGTAAGGCCAACTTTTTGGTCAATTTGGGGACCTGGTGCCTTCCTCATCAAGCTGCTCGGTGGGAAAGTACCTGGTTCGGGCGGAGACCGGTATATCCCCCAAGGCTACGACTTGATGACAATTGGACCAGAACCGCAGAAAGGAAAGGGGATCGAGGACATGATTGCAAACGTAGAGATTATTCGGGGCAGGGGAGTAGCAACATGTCCATTCTCGCAGGCGAAGAATGGTGTTTTTTAAGGGACTTGAAGTGAGTCGTGGATGGGAAGATGTCAGGGTATAAGTGGGTTAGGGGTAGTTATAGGAGTATATCTACTATATAAGGGGCGCACAGCGCCCTCGTAAGAGAGTATAAAGGCAGGCGGTACTAGTTCTGTCCATCTATCCTAACATTCACTTTATGTATAACATTCATTAAGGGTATAATATCTAGCGGAAGATAGGCCTAGGCTATACGGTGACGAAGTTAAGAACAATTCGATTATTTAAACTAATTAGAACATATCGGTGAAAAGCGAGTATACAATTATAGTGATACGATCAACGTGCCGGTTAAGTCATCGCATTGAATGTACCTATAAATCCGCTAAAATCTTACAAGCGAAATATATTGTCGTGTCGCTGGTGAGGGCTGTGAAAACAAATCGAGAACTGATGTTACCCTTATGGGCAAATTTAGTAACTCGCATGCATGTTGGGGCTATTTAAGGCAGGCTGCACAAGTTGCGCGATGCGACTATTGGCTCTACTAGTCAGCTTGCATCTCGATCTGGGGCCATGAACCATTTATATCCCTTAACTATATTACTACCACACCCTCCTTCAAAAAACCGCCCCATTGAAGTGATCAAGTCGCCGGGTTGTAACCTTGCTGAGGGGTATTATCACATCTCTTCTAAGACATACCGCTGTGAGATAACGACTTGCGGATTACTGCCGAGGGCTCAAGACATTGTTTAAGAACTCGCCATGTCATGGGATCTCCAAGATGCCGATTAACAACCTTATTCACGGCATACGGCAAGGTTCTTGAACCGATTTACGCAGTGAAAGATGTCCGGCGTCCGCCGCGGTGGGTTCAACCCGATTCCACAAGAGGAGCATGTTAGCGAACAACAACCGGAGCGAAAATGGACACCAAAAAGTGATTTTCGCAGCCAGGTGCAGCAGGTACTTCGACAAAGCGCTATACAGCAAGAAAACGGTCAAGAAAGCACACGTACCTCGCCCGCTTTTTCAGATACGACGCTTATCAGTGGTGATTATTTCGAGGTACCGCTAAGGAGTCATGAAGCAAATACCGGAGAGTACGTGGAGTATTGTGGTGGATATTACGGCCCGGAAGTTGTAGGCCTCTCACCAATATCAAGTGCTAGAGCTGGTCTCGGGCTAGAAGTTCATTCTGAACCTGCTGCCCCTTATCTCTCTTCTGGGGGACTTCCCGTTGATGATAATTGTCATAGTATAAGCTACTGTGGATCTGAAGGGAAGACCGACGAAGAAGATAAACATGAGAAAAGGAACTATAAGCCCCTTTGCTTAAGAGGGTATATTTTGCTTGGCCTTTTCTTGTCTTTAGCAGTTCTTATTGTGTTAGCTGAACTCGCGATTCAACGTCTTCCGAATGATTCGGGGATTAATCCATTCTCTGAAGAATACGAGCACACTGCGAAGATCTACCATCGGCTCAATCCTGAAACAAAATCTCATGTCCCCAGCAATCTAGCTCATTTCAAACGCCATAACGAAACCAGGCCAGTGACAACCACCTCTACACCTACTGAAATTACGTCTCATACCATCCCTGAGACTACACCATCCTCAAGCTTAACGTCACAAATAACAACGGTACCGCCAGTTGGAGGAGGGACAAAAACTGAGATATCAACATCATCACCTACGGTACCAGTTATAATTCCGTCGCCAGATCCCCAGCCGCCGCTTCAAACGTCAACTTCGAAAGTTCCTCCTTCGCCTTCGCCATCGTCAGAAGATAATCCTTCACCATCCGTCACCTCTTCATCTAAATATTCTCCATCACCTCCTTTTACATGGCCCGCGCCACCGTCGATATCATCCACGCTAGAGTCGTCGCCAACGGTTACGTCAACAGGGACACGGGAGCCTACTGGACCGCATGAAAGTTCATCGTCGGAGAACCAATGGCCGTGGCCTTCGTCGAATCATCCAGGTCATCCAGACCATTCAGGCCAACCCCCAATACTAGTCCATCCAGACCATTCAGGCCAACCCCCAATACCAGTCCCACCTACTTCACGGCTTCCAAGTTCCGACGAAACCTCCATGCTTTCCACACCATCATCGTCCTCGCGGCCGACAGCTCCGGACCCTCCCACCGGCGACGACCCAACGCGGTCGAAGCATACGTTGACATCATCCACGGGTTCTGATTCTACTCCGACAGGCCCTAAAACAACGATACGTACTAAATTACCATCGCCATCGCCACCGCCACCGCCACCATCACCGACCTCCTCTAGCGTAACTAAACCAAGCCCACCTTCAACTTCAACCACAGGCCTTCCATTTTCAACTTCAACGGGGCCTCTTGGAACCGCGACAGAATCACCGGGGACTACTACACGTCTTCCAATCAGCTCGTCCAGTATACAGTCTTCAAGTACAATTACTTCAAGTACAACTACTTCAAGTACGACCACTACAGCTAAAACTACGGAGGAGTTCCCGAGTAGTCCACCAGCACAAACAGAACATGCGTCTTCCAGAAGCTTGACTAGCGAAAAGACATCTATAAAAACTGGCACGACGGCTAGTAACACTAGGTACACCTTTGATTATTTGTCTTCAACAAATTCTGAACCTCAAGCTATGACACTATCTCCATCTAGCACAACCGCAGCTATTATCCCAACTAGGATATTACAACCATCATCGTCGGTATCTAAAACGACAGAGACTGAGTTGCCGGAGCCTTTCTTAACGATTACCAATATTCCTGATCGGCCATCGCCGTCGAAACCTATAATAACTACAACAATAACTACATCGACTACCCAAGATGGTGTAGCATTCATAACTACTTTCGTCAAGGGGATAAAAGCTGAATTAGATGATTCAGTTACGAAGTATGTTAGCACATATACGGACTCAGATGGCAGACCAACTCGAACGGAGACTATCTGGGCACAAGCATCTACGGAAACAATCGTTTATAAAGATTCTCATGGAAACCCCACCCGCACAGGGACGCAGATCGTGCTTCGCTACCCACGTAAGACGACTCTGACGGACTATCAAGGGCGGGCAACATTAACCCGAGATTATTATGTTGGCCTATCCTCAGAGGTCTTATACGACGATGACGGTCATCCAACGGCTACTAAGACATCCATGGTTACAGAGGTTGCTATGCCAACTACCCTGTTTAACGGGAACGGTGTAGCAACCCTGACGACAACTGACCTTGTCCCCCTATCTTTGACAACGACGGTTATTGCAACGCCAACTTCGGAAGTCTCGCCGAATGCCAAAGATCAGAAGGCGTTAAGCATCGTCCCCATTTCCAACGGAAAATATTTCTTAGGCCTTATGCTTCCTACGTTTATCGCGATTGCCGTGTCGATTTCGATCAGGATGGTCGACCAAAATGCAAGGCTCTATCATCCATTCCACGCGCTAACGGCAACTCGAGGGGCACTAGCTCGCGATACGCTATGTTTTCAGACCTCAAGTATATGGAACATCAAGGGACGCTTTCGCTCACTGTTAAATGGAGAAAGCCTCCTTGCTCTAACGGGGCTTTTGGTATTGGGAAGTGTGATTATGGTCCCGTTAACTTCCGAATCTGTCCGGATTATCTTAGGGGGTCCGAACTGTGCGGGGCCAGGGGGAGACTCCTCTGTCTGTACCATGGCCCTTGGTGTCAACCTAGTGCCAGCCCAAGTCGCCGTAGCACTCCTTGCCTTTATGACTATCCTCGTCGGGATAACTGCGATTGTGCTTCGAAAATGGAATACAGGGTTGAGCTGGAATCCTTGGAGTTTATTCCATATGGGACACCTCGCGGCGAACAACGAAATTCGCACCTTGCTACTGCGGCGCCTGCGTGAAAAGGACGGCCGGATGACATATGAATACGTCACCAAGGCCTTAAAAGGAGTGTCCTTTATTTTGGACTCCTATAGAGACAACGGGGAGCTTAAATATGGTTTACTAATCCCAAATGAGGTACAGCCTTTGAGAGGAGGCGGCAAATCGGTAGCCTTTGCGGGGGGGAAAGCTTCTCAGCGGCGGAGGAAAGGCGATTATATGCCTTTCTTTATTCTTACATGGACTGGGAAGCTACTTTTTCTAGCCTTATTATGCGGTATGGTAATCGGCTTAATGATTTATACCATTATGGGGGACGGCCAGGACTACACACAATTTATGACAGGTAGATGGCGCGTTGTGCGGTTTATATTCACTACAATCGGCGTTTTGATCTCAATAATATGGGGATCATTCTTCTACGGTAAGTTCTGTTAATCAATCCCACCTTTAAATTACCGTGCTGATAAAGTCACCAGCCGTCGCCTTTCTAAGTCCTCATAAACTACTGCATCGAATACGACTCTATAACGGAGAAGCCGTATACATGACACCACCAACTAACCCCTTTACTGGCATTTGGTCATCGCTAGCACCCGGACGCCGAGACGTCTATCTCGGGCTCGTCTGTGCTACCTCGATCTTATCCGAGATCCTTCCGTTGCTTTTAAGTACCGCCTTAGACAAATGTACCGAAGGGTTTTGGGCACATACGGTTTGCCTCTGGATGGCAGTAGGTGTATTAACCACGATGATTTCGGTGGTTGGATTTTCCTTCTTTGTGACTTGGCCGCATATGCCGATCGATCCCAGCACGGTAGCTGGCGAGATGTATTATGCTTTAACAAACTTCGCGTCTATGAGTCCGTCGGCAGGGTTGCTCTTTGGTAAAGCGAATCCAGGTCTTGTTTAAAGTGGCTACCAAGAGAGCATCCCCCTATCCTTAGATCAGGGGAAACGGTTAAATAATCACCAATATTAAACTATAAAATTTAATTTAGGATTCCTCTATGTGTGTATGTTACGTAAATATTTATACGTCTTTAGACCTAATACTCATGCAATTTTATATATTTAGAGTATGTCATGTACTCGTATCCATTCGTGCCAGCCCCTGAATATCCTCATGAAATATGCCTGTCTTGGTGCCTTGCTTGGTGGTACTTGAGGCCCTTTTCGGCACGGTCAATAGCACGCTTAGTGGCCTCGTCGAGATCCTCTTTAGGAAGACCCAAGACGTCGTTAGCAACGGTTCCATATTTACCCACAAAGTCGTTACTGCCGTCCCGAAAGACTCTACTGTAGAGAAGCTGAGGGTAGGCTTGCGTCTCGCCGCCGAATAATCGTTTCCTCGCGTCTTGAAAACGTTTATCGCTTTCCTCGTACTCAATTTTCCAGTCCGACTCTTTGGTCCCCGTAGCACGGAGAACAGCGGCGAACATGTCTTTTTGGCTAAGATGGAATGAAGACACGTATACGAACTTGTTCTTGTAACTCGATAAGTTCGGTGCTCCTTCCTTCTCGGGTTCGATTGGCAAAGAGAGCAGCTTGGTTACGGCCCTGCCTACCTGCGGCCATGTCTGCGTGTAACCTTGTTAGTATTCCATGTATAAAGGGGAAGCTAGTAGGTTATTCCCACAGTGGTATTCATCTTGGTTTCGCCGTTGTCGAAAAACGTCCACGTCCGTGTCTTCCACTCCATACCGTAGGTTTCTTTTCCAAAGCCGAGGCTGTATTCGTACCAAAAGCCCGTTACTACACCTATCCACGAACTCTTGCCTAACTCCTCGATTAATTTTCGCGAGGATACTTTAATATCTCCTATAAGGATATCTTTTCCTAAGGCTTCATCTGCTGTGTCGCATCCCCATTCGTTGGGTAATACGAAAGGTACGTTAGCAGCGGCCGCAGCGCGAATAAGCTTTGACTGCGTATCTGGGGCAGCCCTCGTGTCCATGGTAATAATAAGAGCATCTTGGCCCTTTAATCCATCTACCAATGTTGATTCTTCGTCGTAGTCCACCTTGGCGACCTTGACCCCTTCAGGGATCGAATTAGCGGCCGAACTACTCTTGCGCGTGATAGCAGTAATCTCGTGCTTCCCTAGCTTTATAAGTTCATCCACGATGAATGATCCAACCGTTCCGGTCGCCTATTATTTAGAGGTGATTGGTTAGTAAAGGTCTAGTACGGCAGGTATACAAGATAGGCCTAGGTATAGGTAGATTAGGTAGATTAGGTAGTCACTTACACCAACAATCGCTACCTTCTTGATGTAACTGTCCTGAGACATGGCAACTTGGGGTGATTGTTCCTAGGATTATGATATGTTAAGAAGAAGTGCTGGCTTTGCTTGATATGACGAGCTTTAGTCGTGTAGATGGAGGACAAAAGAGCAGGCTTTGGCCTCGCTTTATATATGCGGGATGAAACACTATTTACATTATTCTTCGGTACCTAGCAGGTAGTCTTTCGAATACAGTCCAGTAATAGTCTCGCTTTCAAGCTCTACGAGCCATTCCTTACCACGCTAGAGTTTCGGAGTCTTAGCGGACTTAACAGCTATACTCCTTATCGGGATTAATGGACATAATTTATTGACACCCATATTACGTATCGGAGTTAATCAATTACTCGATTTGGAACCCCGGACCGCTTCCCTCCCATCCTCTGACGCTTCTTAAAATAGCCAATTAGGTAGTTCTCTTATATTCACATACGAAGGGTGGGCTAAGAATTCGGTCTTTGCGAGAGGGCGAGAGTTACATAACCGGCGACGAGCTCATACTTTACCCTTCGATCTTCGATGATTTGGGAGTCTAGCTTATAAATCAGGCATACAGGAGTTGGGTACTGCTAAAAGGAACTATGTATGACCAGTATAAGTCGCTTAATTACTTACTAAGAAGCTTCTTCATGGGTTGGGGGTGAACGAAGAATATGTTTAATGTGTATACGGACCGTAGGCTCGTATAATAGCTGCGAGTTCCTTGCACAACAACGGAGTTATTCCCATGCTGTTTAGTATCACCTCGTGACACACCCCGTCCACACACCCCAATTATCTAGATAAATTCTTGATCAGTATAGTACCAATGCGGATAACCCAGGATTTGAAGTGGCGGATATCTATTTTGTAATCTAGGAGAGTGATGCTATTTACAGATTACCTTGACAGCCCTTCCATCCAGGTTACCCCCAGCGGTCTCAACAAGTCAAGTAATTATTTGACTTGACTTGAACTGACTTGACTTGACTTGGCCAGATATCTATTTTTAAGATATTTTAATGAGTCAAGTTTTTATTTTTTTTATTCGACCAGTTATCCAGATATATTTTATGTATACAGGCCCACTTATATACATATTTACGTGGTATACCTACTTAGGTAATTGGTGGTTAAGGTATAAGTGGCTTCTTGTGGCTTTGTGTGGATGTGTATATGGATTTTGTGGCTTATGTTTTTAGAGATGAGGCGCTATCGGACTAATACTATTCCGGCTCCGAGACCCAAGCCAATCCGTAAATATTGTCAGGTAAAAAAAATTTCAGTTATTTGACTTGACTTGACTTGGGGGCGGCCAGGCTTTTAGTAAAAACTTGCTTGACTTGGCTTGTTGAGACCGCTGATTACCCCACAAAACAGGTGTGGGTAAGTAGCCGGCAACCAAAATTAATAGTAAAACGACATGGCCCCATTCTGCCCCATAACCTTCTTAGAACGCATACAGGCGCTACAGGCGCTGCCAGGTCCCTAATTCGAGGCCCCCATTCAAGGCCATTCAAGGCTTCTTACGTAATATGAGGCTCCAAGGTCTTTTACATGGTATAAGACTTGTCACTCAACAATATCTTTTTTAGAATACCTCGTCTCTATACAATTTCAATACCATTAGATGCGCCTCATCATAAGGATTCTATGGTATAAATAGCAGTTATAAAATACGGTGTATTGGCTGAGAAATATAGCATACGTATTGCTATTTAGAGATTACTTATAATAACTTAATGAAATACGGTTAAATTATAAAAACAAAAAAGACATGGATTACCTATTATATTCAATTGAGCAATTCTATGCATGTAAAAAAATTCTAATATCTGTTGTAATTACCGGTGAAATTGAACTTTCTGTAAAATCAATGAGGCAGAAAGTGACCATGTTGTTTTACTAGTATTTTTGGTGGGTAAGTGCATACACTTGTTCTGTGGAGTAATCTGTATGGAAGGACTGTCAAGGTAATCTGTAAATAGCATCACTCATCTGGAATACCTATAATCCTGTATAAGGGTTTGGAGACTGCGTCGACGAGAGAGCCGCCGATATAAAGGCACGGGCTGCCGATGCGAACACGTTTTGGCTGCCCAAGACCAGACCGCCTGCCAGTGAGCAGGTTCCCTCTCGGAAAACCTGGCTGCGCGGAGTCTGCCAATCGCCTCGTGTTAGATTCTCCTTCTATCTCCATAACAAATCCCGAAGGCGGTGCGGCATAAGCACAGCTTCGTACCCTCCGGTTTAGTGGGAACACAAAAAGCCCCAGTCCCTCTTTGGGGCTCTTCTTGGTTGCCAGATGCAAGACCCGCCCGAAGGATCGCCCCAGCGCTCTTAGCTCCCCTCCAAATATTCCCAGCCCTACCGACGGTGGAGAGGTCAAGACGATCGTCTCCACCGCAGAGTCGCGCCCATTGCAGTTGCGTCGGTGCCGGCCTCGATACCGTACAGAAGGAGCGCCTTCTGACTTGAGCTCCGGTCTGGGGATGATTATGACGAGAATGTTAACGGCGTAAAGTATGAGCCACTCGCAGCGTAAGGTGATAAGAATAAGACGAGTGTAAATGGCAACACAGGAGGGGACTCGGATGCCTCTAACGCTTCTGATTCTCGAAGTCCGGGGCTGTATCAATTTTAAATCTTCGACAGCTTGTATGCCTTGATAATTTGGTCCCCAAGGTATGCCTAGGAGGGTTGTACCACCGGAATGGGTTTCATATGTGAATATCTTGAAGCCTAGCCGCTCGTCTCTTGACTTGATCATACGACGATTACGTTGTAGCAGAGGCTGTAGTATGAGAGAAGGCTTACTCTATTGACATCCTAGATTGAGTATTTTGGAGATAGGCCCCTCAGTGGGCGCAATCCTATATATGGGACCTAGATTCGTATAGTAGAATATGACGCCCTAACAGTAGCTCATCAGGAAACCTGGAGGGGGCCCGAGACCTTTTCGTAAAATTATCTCCTCATCTGCCCCGAGTCTCCATCACCACCCCAAAGGCCCCCTTGTCTGACGTAGCTTCGACACCGCCGGGGAACCGGCTAGGAGCCGTGGCCTGTATCGGGCGCCCGGATTCGTAATGATCCGCTCTTCGCCAACCTGGCTGCCTGGAAACCCCGTTCGGAGTTTCGGGCAATTAGCACTATGCAACTACAGGCCCGGATTCTGGCTAGTGATTGGTTCAGCTGGGCCAAGCTTATATCTATAGGTGATCAATATTGTATTGTAACCAAAACCTTAGACTAGTTGGTAGGGTAATATTATAGATAAGTAAGGTAGTCTACATGTTGGCTTTGGGTAATACATTCCGAGTACTTAGTGTCAGATACCATTTGTATAGGAAGTCAAGTATATAAACTGTTCTAATCGTATTAACAGGTATTCATCTGTGACGTTACGAGCTCATCAAATACTACAGAGTCGACGATTTTGGCTTAATACCCTCTTTTAAGAATCAGGGTCCATAACTAGATTCGGTATATTTCAACGCACTACAGGCAGGGATATGACCAGACAATTACCGGTTTTCAATTATAGTCGCAACCTATAGGGTAACATTACGTAGTGTCAGGATTCTAGTAGATGAGACATCTAGGACGAAGAACATTTATGTATATACGAGCCGTGGGCTCGCCAGATAGGTTAGAGTTCCTCGCGGAACAACGAAGTTATTTCCATGTTGTTTGGTTCCACCTCGTGACACGTAGTCTGTTGAAGTGAGTGGTCAAGGGACTACTTTCAGGTACAGTATTACATGGTATCTTGGCATGGAATGTATATATAAGAAGGACCTCTCTCCTCACTCATATAGTTGGTAGATTAAGTCAATATACAACTACAGCTCATATACCGTATCTTTCAGCATAGTCTATAGCCACACAAATCTTATAAAGGTCCTATATTAGACGATCCTCTGATCAACATCTCACATACTTACCATCTTCAATCGTTAATTAGAGCCTCATCTAATCGATATATTCAACAATTCAACCATGCGTCTAATAGCCTCTTTCGACCTCTAATCATTCATTCCTCGAATTGATCAGCTCGTTTACAGCCTTCGATAGAGTATAGTGCCACTATCAGCTCCTTAGGGCCTATCCTAAGGTCTTGAGTTGTTGAAGTAGTGAGCCATACTCTGCAGGAGACAGTTGCTCCTGTTAAATAAAGCCTCGCAAAAAGCCACGAGACTTCTGCTCGACTCTCTTCAAAATATACTCTTTAACTTTGAGAACAATAACAATCATGGTTACGATAATAGACACCTTAATGCTGTCTACGGATAAGCCTGTGATGCCACGCCTTGCAGCGTTGCTTGCCTGCCTTGTGAGATCAACCCCTAACTTACTGTGGATGAATTAAACTCAAAACCGACCTGCAACAGGTACTGGGATATATGCTATGGGGCGCCGTATACAATCTATTCGTTAATCCTCTTCGCAAGGTTCCAGGCCCAATACTGTGGGCGATCTCACCCCTTCCCCATGCTATTATGCACTGTTCCGGGACGCCTCATAAAAAGATTCGTGCGTTGCACCAAAAGTATGGTGATGTCGTTCGTACGGGACCCAACTCAGTTTCTTTACTCAATCATGACGCCTGGAGGCAAGTGTATGGCCATCGCAAGGTAGGACAGCCAGAAAACCTCAAGGAGACCTCGTACTTCCAAGCAGTCCCCCATAGCCTTATTGGCGCAGATTCGGAGAACCATTCTCGAGCTCGCCGGATACTTGCCAATGGGTTCTCTGCACAGAGCATGATCAAGCAAGAATCTCTGATGGGGGTTTACATTGATCTTTTCTTTGAGCGATTGAGGGAACACTGTATTAGCGGTAAGCCCGTTGACGTGGTTAAGTGGTACAACTACCTGACATTCGACATAATTGGCGACTTGTCGTTCGGAGAGCCCTTCGGCTGCCTGAAAAATTCGAATTATCACACTTGGGTTGCTATGATATTTGAACAATTCAAAGAGATCCAGGTGTTGTCGCAGCTGCGACGAGCTTACCCAAGCCTGAATGCCGCCATCAACTCGATACTTCAAACGTTCGCTGCGAAGAAAATACGGGAGCACAATGAGTTAGTTGAGATCAATGTCAAGAAGCGGCTGGCTTTACAGTCGGAACGACCTGACTTTATGGACGCCATGACTGCGCCAGGTCCAGATGGCAAACAGGTATGTGAATATTCTCACCGCCTGGAAGTCTTCTAACTCTTATCTTTCCACTAGAAATTATCTCTCGAAGAAGTGCAGGATAACGTGAATCTCTTGCTTATAGCTGGTTCCGAAACGACTGCAACCACGTAAGTGAACGCTTTGGTTTCGAGGTCGCGCTCTGACCGAAATATATAGGCTATGTGGCATAACATCCTTGCTGTGTGCAAACCCTCAAGTGCTGGCTAAACTTCGCGATGAGGTCTTGTCGGCATTTAGCACCGAGGCCGAAATCACTCTTCTTAGTGTCCAGAGACTCAAATACATGACGGCAGTCATTGACGAGAGTTTACGAATCTATCCTGCTGTGCCCACTGCCGTGCCACGTATAATCCACGAAAGTTCTATAATCTGCGGGGCATATCTTCCCCAGGGCGTGAGTTATCAAGCCTACTTGTATTGCAGTGATTGGGGACTAACTTCTCAACACAGACCCTGGCGGATATCTGGCATTGGAATATGTACCACAGCGAAAGTCACTTCGCCTTGGCAGAGTCGTTCATTCCCGAACGATGGCTAGGCGATCCACGGTTTGCAAGCGACAAAAAGGATGCATTTCAACCCTTTTCCTATGGAGCACGGAACTGCCTGGGCAGGAAGTAAGTTTTAAAATAAAGAAAGTAATCCCCCTGTCTATAAATATATTAACAATAATATCTAGCCTTGCGTACGCAGAGATGAGACTAATTCTGGCAAGGCTCATTTGGAACTACGATATCTCATTAGTCAACGAAGCAGATAAAGACTGGGTTAAGGACCAGCGGATGTGGCTCTTGTGGGATAAGCCGTCCTTGAACATACACCTTGAACCCCGTAAGGACCAGTGAAACGGGTCTATTTATTAGTAGTAGCAAGTTACTCGATTCTATTTAAGGGGGTACGACTATTGTTATTATTTAACACCCGGGGGAAAACAACTGATTGCTGCTCCATGGCCTCCCCCTGGGGGTATAAGGGGCGTGACAGGCCAGGATTTACTGTTTACTGTTGATATATCAAGTCTATATACAACATACAGCTCATATACTGTATTTATTAGCACACTTCAAGGTGTAGAATTGAGATGACTCGAGATATCAGAATTGGAGATTACGTAGAAAAGCCCCTTTATGTATGTCCCGAAGTGGAGAGGGAACAAGTCTATTTGTACGTCCTACAATGGATTGCATTATTTATCATTTGCACTATAATAATCTAGATGACACATTCGCAAAAGGAGAAACGGTAAATCTATGGGATATCAAATGACGGGAATAGCTTACACTACGTTCAACATTATAGTACAGCTTGGACCAACTGGCCACGAGGCTGAGGCGTTACTACTATATATTCAAAGGCATTCTGAGTGTTTGAAAAAAAATCAAATTTGAAAAGCTTTAATTCTAGAAAACCAATGAAATCATATCTGACAAGTCCCATAAAGAACCCAATACGACAACCAAATTTGAGTCGAATACTACCTGTGTATAAATATTTTGACCAGCCCAGGTACATCCTTTCTCCGCCAAAGTATCTAGCTGTCTCCCTAAGTATCTTGCCGCGCGAAAGACCGTAACCTTGTTGGACCTGTTAAGTTTCTCAACGTAATTTGGTTACTAAAGCTTCATCTTGGAGGTGAGTCGGGTAACTGCATTCCGCATACGAAAAAAGACCTAGGCAAAGCTGAAAATTTCGATATCTTGGCGTAGTTCGTAGACGGTGAACTACCCACGCCAAGAGAGCGCAAGAGAAAGAGCCAAGATATATAGTCTATAATAACGGCCATCAGGGTTCTTCCTATATACTAACATTTTCACATTATACAGCGCTTCATATTCCTTTCTCACAACTTCGGAGATGAACGAAACTTTTTATGATCTCATAACTAACCACGTCGTTAGCTTGGCAGTGATCCAAACACTCAGTTGTCGGCCGAATATCCTTGATTGAAATCTTTAGTTCGTCCTTCTAGCTGGGATGGTCAACACGAGATTGCGGTAGTGTGAGTCGAGAACAAGTATTGGATCAGAGATTATCTCGGCTCATAACTTTTAGTTTAGAAATGGACTTAACCTTATTGAATTTAAATCCTATACCTACACAGATATATAAGTCGTCCGCAATGCCTTGTTGATTGGGCTTGAGCGATTATTAGCTTTACTCAACCAGCGATACTTCAAGAGCTCTGACAATATGTATACTTCTAACGCGATTCTTGCTGCTTTCCTCGTCGCTTCGACAGCCGTTGCGCAAACGTTGCCACCGTCTCCAACCGCATCTGTGGGGTGTCATCCTCATGGTGATCATTGGTGAGCCACTCTCTTATTTAATATTACCGGTAGAAAAACATGATAAACTTACTAGAAGACACAGGCATTGTGATGGGCCAGCTTCAAGCACCGCCTCTGTAACTATATCCAGCACTCACAATAACAAAACCTCCAAAACCCTTGCGCCAAGTCCTACGGAGTCTATCGGTTGCGAACCTCACGGAGATCATTGGCATTGTGATGCTCCCGCATCGGCGACTGCCTCGGCTACAACCTCTGTGACTAGCGAGCATCATGACGAGGAAACTGGTAGCCTGGCACCTAGCCCAACAGAGTCGGTTGGTTGTGAGCCGCACGGGGACCACTGGCACTGCGATGGGCCTGCTGTGGCCGAAACTACATCTTCCACCCAACCTATAGAAACAGCTGGCGTTGGAAAAGTAGAAGTTGGTAGCATTGCGATGCTAGGAGGTTTACTCGCTGTTGCAGGAATGGGTTTCTGATAGGCAATGTTTATCCTAGACTAGATTGTACTAAGTTCTACGGCATTCTACTATTACTCAAGATGGAAGAAAAGTCGATTTTAAGCTTAGATACGTAATACATTTGTTACGGCTATATTGGACAATAATATATGTTGTGGTGTATGATCTTGCATCGTGCATATAGTAATGTACCATCCCATTAAGAAAGCCAATTAAGATGTACCAAATTAATATTATATCTTTAATATACGTCATACGTAGTACCGAAGTATTCTATGCGTTTATATCTGCACAGACCTAGTGCCTTCAAGATGGCGGATAAATACATGAACACTGGTGCGCCGTGAGTGTTTCCATCTGCTCGGAATTCGCAAGGTCTTACAATGCCCATAAAGGTTCTTGTTCGCTATTACAGGACTGAAAAGAAAATAATTATCACTTCAAAACTTCAAATAATCATTTCCTCTTCGGGTTGCCACTTGGACCTGCCAAGCAGCTGGAGGAAGGCCAAGGGAAGCTGTGTGGGGATAAACACGGACTAGAGTATACTTCGCGAAAACGCCAAGTACAACTTCCTGAGTCGTCAAAAAGCCGAAGCACCTTGATGGTCAAAAGAGCGGCTTCCAAGCGAAAAAAAAATTTCACTTAAGTAATTACACAGGCCTTCATTCATATTATGCGGCTCTGCCAATAGGCCTATCCATTCGTTCAACGCAGCTACGACTCACCATAACATCACCCCCTATTTTAGGATTGACCACAGGCCACGATCGACTTAACTACAATTAGAAGCAACAATACATTTACATTTTGCATCATGGGTTGGTCCCAGAAGCGGTCGACAGCGCTTCGACTCGCCGTTATTATCGCCCTTGACGTTTTTCCTTGCTCTAAAGCATCATATATCTCTCCACAACCTATCTCTCAGCATCCAATGACCACACCAGCTCCCATAGTCCCTCGAGCCACCGAAAGTTTCACTGCTGTATCAGAATGCCATCTGCACGGCGCCTCAGTGTGAGTTCTTACGCCAACAGGTTGGAATGGTGGGCTAACGTAGAACAGATTCTGCCTCTATGGTACAACGGAGCTTCAAGTGGTGGTACCAGCGACAGCAACAAGTGAAATTCCTCCAACGTATACAGGCTGTCATAATCACGGGGATGAATCGTATGTTAAGTAATATACTCCTTGGACCGTAAAGTAATGCTAATCGCCCAGATTTTGTGTTGCGCCTGATGGCTCCGATGTTGAAGTCATCGGTCTTAACAGCGATGACCCAGCCGGTCACTCAGAAGAAGACGATGCACACAGTGAGAGCGGGGAACAAAATTGTCATTTCCACGCAGGAGTTGAGTAAGTAGGTCCCTTCCTAGGTATTATCGGATCGTATCTCTAAAATTCAACAGGCATTGTGTCGGCGGGTCGAGCGAGAGTAGCGTAGCACAGTGCTCACGACGAGATCGAGACTACAACGTCCCCCTTAGGATTGGACTTCTCTTCGTTATTCTAGTCACGAGTTTCATCGGTAATCATAACCGTTATCCGGTACCTAATGGTGATAAACTGATGGAATTTTATAGGCGTCGCGGGACCGATATTCCTCAAACCTATTCTGCCACAGAAGTTCCAGCCAGTTTTCCTCATTCTGAAGCAATTCGGCACCGGAGTTATAATATCAACAGCATTAGTCCACGTGAGTCTCCTAGGTCGATACACAACGCGTACTACTAGTCACTAACCTACGTCTAGCTTTTCACGCATGCTCAGCTTATGTTCACCAATGAGTGTCTTGGTGAGCTTGGGTACGAATCCACAACAGCTGCGATTGTCATGGCCGGGATGTTTTTCGCATTCGTAATAGAATATACGAGTCACCGCTTGGCCCGAAAGTTCTGGGCTAGAACTCAGTATAATAGCGAGGTAGTTGGTGTCACAGTGCTTGAAGCTGGCATAATATTCCACTCGCTTTGTAAGTCTTCAGTCCTTAAGCATTGGTCTCATCCAAAACTAACTTCTTCTTTAAGTGATCGGCGTTACTTTAGTGGTTGCAGGGGACAGCTTCTTCATAACCCTTTTTGTTGTCATCCTCTTCCACCAAATGTTTGAGGGTATAGCTCTTGGTACACGCATTGCCTCTATTGGTCAATCTAACAGAGCTGATGGAGAAAACGCCAATCATGGACAATTGGCTAGGGGTGATACTACATCCACACAAGGTCAAACAATCACGGATAATGGCGACTCTCTGCAGGAAAGTAAGAATTTGAATTCGTTACCAATGCCTCGGAAGTTCCTGATGGCCGCCGCCTTTGCTTTGGTTACTCCGGTTGGCATGGCAATTGGCATTGGGGTTCTGAATCAGTTCAATGGTAATGACCCCAGCACACTGATTGCTCTGGGAACTCTCAATGCTTTATCAGCTGGCATACTCATATGGGTTGGAGTTGTGGAGATGTGGGCGGGAGATTGGATGTTTGATGGTGAATTGGCAAATGCAGGGGCAGTGGTGACAACTCTTGGAGGGTTAGGACTTGTTGCGGGAATGGCTTTAATGAGCTTTTTAGGCAAATGGGCATGAGGATGGCGACCTCTTGGGAAATCATAGATTTTATACTACATGAGATGAGATAGAACTTTTTATATCTCTAGAGTCTAGACCATACCTTGCCTATCGTAAACGTTCGGATATGTGCGTACTAGTTAAACAATGTAAGATAATGACTTAGATTAAACTATAGAACTTGGAGATACTCGTAAATATATGAAGTAATAGGTATCAAGTAACGACTTAACTTGTAAGAATAAATAAATAAAAATTTCGCATCCTTGATACTAACGTGGTCTTTATGATTTTGCCCCTTTTTCGTCAGGCGCTTCAGCCATGAACTGCCATAAGGCGGATTATTTCTCTACTTGTTTTCCTAGATGTATGCCCAATGAAGGATAAGCCCCTATATATAACATCCCAATCCAATTCGAAGACCACTCCTTTTTCTCAAATGCCTAAGATATTTTCGCTGGGTGATAGAGACAGCGTGTGCGGGTGCTTCTCAGAATCATCACTCCACAGAACGCTATAATTCCTTCACTTGATCATTACATAATTGTAGATTGGACTTTGATATTAGTGCTACTCCTTATAATCAATCAGTCGGGTGCTACTAGATAGTGTGGGAGGTTCTCATGTTAATGAGTATCATCTAGTCATAAGGTAAATAATTCCCTTTCAGGCATTTATTCAGGGTATATATTCCAAATATATTTCATATCTCTTTAATGTGCAGTAGAAGTGCTGCCCCCGTCCTTTGCAACCTTCGGGTGCTGCGCAGTAATCAAGAAATCAGGCAAGACTAAGGAATATCTCCGAGCCAATAAAGAGGCTATTCCGACTCTTGGAAATTACATAGTACTGGAATAAGTATAGAATTAGCGCTGTTTGAAAATACTCTTATGATATATGGAAAACCCTCCTATTCGGAAGTACCTCGGATCAGTCCTTGACTACCAGCCCAATGCTTACCTATAGGTAATGCGCAGCACCCTTTAATATCGAGTTTAACGTTAGGTACCTAGACTGGAGGGCACCCCTTCGGGATGCCCCAATAGCCCGAATTTATACTGCTATTACACGGTTAAACACTCAGATATCCTCAATACTCTTAGTACCCTCATCCCCAGTACCCTCGAAACCCCCGGCATCCTCGCCTTCAACACCCCTCGGCACTCCGGATACCTGGCACCCTTAGCACCCTTGGCCACGGCTCGGCACCCCGGAAAAAGACTCGGCGCCCTCCCCTTACCCTTGATTCGATATCCTAAAAAGGGGCTCGGCATCTTAGAAAAGGACTCAAAATAGTACGTATTTCGAAAAAAAGAAAGTGAAGACTTCAGAGGATCTATGTTAAAAGGTTGCGTATACGAAGTAGGTAGACGAATTTTCTTTTTTTTAAAAACGTCGCCTAAGATAATAACCCTTATAAATTCGGGCATAGTGCCGCCAAACGTACCGCAATTAGTACAAGGCGTAAGTGCCGAAAAGATAGCAGGTAGAAAACAGTAAGAAGCAATATAGTAAGAGGTTGTAAAGATATATTTGATAAATCTATCGGAAGTCACGCGGCTCGTATCTATTACTTGGACGAATCTGGGAAGCTTTTGCGAGGAGGTAGTATCCTATGATCGAATAATAATTATTCTATGCTTGAGTTTTGGCGGGACATTAGCGAAGCGCACGGTTTGCAATCTGGTGGATCATCTCGCGGGTAGGTACGCGCATTCTCCACGTGGCACTCCATTCTTAATGTTATTCAGCGGACCCCTAAAGCTACTTCGCTAAGATCCTGAAGCGGAGGTTTATCTATTGCCGCCTTGGGAAGTCGTTATAGTTTTTTGAAAACGTTGTTTCGGTGTATTCTATGCTATAGACCCCTGGTATTATAGTTGAAATATTTTAAAAGGCGTTATTTTATTCAGAATTCGAAGCTCTGTTTTATATCGTGCACGTCCGAAAAACTAACATTATTTCAGGGGTGAACTGTACATATGCGGGTAGAATAGGTACCTTTGTGTTAGTTGCGGCTAGAAAAGGATTATCCCGCCCTTGGCACGCCGGGGTAGATATCTCTAACCTACTAGGTAAGTTACATGTTTTACTATCGTAGATGTCAGTATGTTGTATTGCGCTATCGCACAGGCAAAAAACGTGCTGGATATATCCACTTTTGTTGATTAGCTTGGCTTCCAGCTGAAGTTGAAAGATTCTTCCTCTCCTCTTACATATATCACATCATGAGAGGCATCCATAACACGACGCCATTGGAAGCGATAGTTACAAGGTTTGACCAGTTAACGTAAGATACTCGGAAAATGACCTATCATTAACTCGGCATATTTCTGTGTTACCAAGCCTGGACTTTAATACCTACGCGCTTGAGTCTTGCTTACACCACCAAAGCAGCTTCAGTTTAAACATTTCAAATTAGCTGGTATATCTACTTCGGCTTCGGTCAGACTGCTATTATTCAGAATCTCGCCGAAGCTCAACTACATCAGCTGGCTGACGATCTGGACCACGCGCTAAGCTTCGTACTAAATTCTAGGGTTGATCGTCTACCCGAGATTGCATCGACAAGACCACGCCATACAAGGGTACTGGATCCGCGATTATCCTCAGCACGTACCAAATTCTCTACTAGGAAAGTATTTTTACTTTGTTAATACGTATACAAAGCCGTCAATCCTAACCTATAGAAACTTAACTCCCTACCTCTCAAAAAGTTTACCAATTCACCTACTGATACGCACAAGGAACTCTGTTTTCTTGAATGCGCTATAGAGTCATGTGTATTTATCTATGTACATGATGTATATAATACTTGGTGCTTTATCGGCCACTCTTATAGGTCGGTAAAATGAGTAAAACGTTGGTATACCTTAATATCTTACCTGCATTCTCTTGGCAAACACTGTTCCCCGAATCAGGAAATGGCTTGTGTTTATGTATGTTGCCGATTTCTGTGTAACAATACGTCTGTTATACGAAATCCGCCAGACTCCTGGTCTCGGTTTCGTTTAAATCCAATCAGACCCTCGTAACTTTGGTCACACAAAACTGACTCTAGCCATGAGAGCAGGAAATCCCGGCGTCCAATGCTCGTACAGAGCAAGACCTGGAAGATGGGAGGCAAAAATGGTCGTTACGCCGAATCCCAAGGATTCGGATCCAGATTCTCGACTAAAGATCTAACCATGGGTATGCGATTAGCTAGAATCTGTTCAGTGCGCCATCACGCAACCAAGTTGCGCCCCCCTCTTCTTATTAGACTTCGCAGCTCCGCAATGGCGCAATGGAGGTCATTAAGTTTGTTATCATCTTGGCATTTCACCTTCCTACTTTATATGAATAATCCCTGTTCCCGCCTCGTTAACTTCCTATATGATTGATAGTCCCGTCCAATCATCCAAGACCGGTTTCACAGGCCGGTATCGAATCACTGGATTGTAGATATACCCATGTGTCGTAGGATATATTAATAAGGGCCATGCGAACCATCTCGTTGGACCTACGCATCCTGTAGACTTTTAGCCAGTCTCGCGACCTATTCCCCAGATCCAAGGAAAGCATCCGCCCATCATGGGTACGTCCTAGCATCCCGCCTATCATTAGTACCTACCATTAATTGTCTACCTATCTAACATATTCTGTAGCTGAGAATGTTGTCGGTCTCAATGTCAAAAAAGTCGTCGAACCAGATGCAGACCCAGTTCCGGGTATCCACGATGGAGAAAGACATCATGCACAGGACAAACCCGTAAACAAGTCCTCCGATTCTCCCCGCGCCGATTCGGTTCCCGAATCGCTTGAAGAAGCTGGCCCTGTTATCGACTATGAAGCCTACCCACCTCCGACCGAAGAGGAACGGAGGACGTTGCGCAAAGTCAACGATTCTATCCCTCTGGCCGCCTGGTCCCTTTGCTTTGTGGAACTGGCCGAACGAGCTTCTTACTATGGCGTCAAAGCTGTCTTTAACAATTATATGTGCGTATCTATCTCTTGTAAAACCTCGCGTAATAAGACCTCAGCCTAACACTATAACTCTTTATAGGCAGTTTCCTCTCCCAGAGGGCGGCCCCGGGACCGGTGCTATTGATAAGTCAAAGCCCAACTCACATGCTGGTGCCCTCAACCTTGGCATTCAAACAGCTTCTGCTTTGGGTCTCCTGTTCACCTTCCTAGCATACGTCATTCCTATCTTTGGTGCCTGGGTTGCGGATGTAAAAATCGGTCGTTATAAAGCTATAATGTAAGCCATAAGCCTCCCCCCCACAATTTTCTTATACTAATCCAGTTCTATAGCTGGGGTGTCATTATTGGAGGTGTTGCCCACGTAATTATGGTCGGAGGGGCTGCTCCAGCTTTACTTCAGGTACGATTTCCAATTTCCCTGGCCACGATTCTATTATAAAGATAATATTAACACGTACTGTCGTAAAAACAGGCCGGAAAAGGCGTGGCTCCCTTCCTTGTTTCTTTCATATTGCTTGCCATCGGAGCTGGCATTTTCAAACCAAATGTTGCGCCGACAGTTATTGACCAGTACTCGTATCAAAAAGAATATACGAAGGTACTGAAAAGCGGAGAGAAAGTGCTTGTCGACCCAGAGACAACGGTCAGTCATATCATGCTTATTTTCTACGCGTTTGTCAACGTGGGTGCATTTTTCAGCATCGCTGTGGTCTATGTCGAAAAGTATCACAGCTTCTGGCTTGCTTTCCTCCTCCCAGGCATCATCTATTTCCTGCTACCGATCCTACTCGCCGTCATGTATAAGCGGACCATCAAGAAGCCACCTCAGGGTTCCGACCTAGCCCGTTTCGTGAAGATCACTCTTTCAGCTTTGAAGAAGAGTAAAGGAAACATCTTCTCGCAAAGGTTATGGTATAATGTGAAGCCTTCTGTGCTAGCGGAGCAAAATATCCATGTCACCTACTCTGAGAAGGATGTAAGTGATACTGAACGAACTTGGACGGCCGTACGGATATTCTGCTACATTCCTATTTGGAATCTCAATGAGGTATGTATGAAAACACCCCGTGTCGTTGTCTTAGAATCTCTTTGATATAATATTTTCGAGATACAGTCGCTAACGTTCAGTAGTAAGTGTGGTGACCTTAACCTCCTGACCCACTCGATCACGATGATTATCCTACACTTTTAAAGCTTCAATTTTTGACTTGAGCAGTGGCGGCGTAGGCAGTACTCAGAGCTCCCAGGGCGCGAGCATGACTGGTAAGTTCCGTGTTGTTGCTTGAAAACTTCCTTTATAGAATGTTCTCGGAATATAGTGGCTAACGTTTAGTAGTAAGTGTGATGACCTGATTATTTCGACTCACCCGAACACGATAGGGATTCTAGAATTTTAGGGTTGCAAAACTGACACAAAATCATTTTATACATTAGTCTCAAGGTGCACCTAATGATCTACTCGGTCACTTTAATCCTCTAGTGATTATCGTATTTTCGCCATTGATGGCCGAGATAGTATATCCAGCCCTGGAGCGCAGAAAGATCAAAGTCGGCCGTATTACTCGGATGACAATCGGCTTTGTACTTGCCACCATTTCCGGAAGTAAGCATTTTCCCCCTATTTGCGGACGTAAAAAGATGCTAATCCTGAACCCAAAAACAGTATTTGGTGCTGTAGTACAGTTATATGTCTATAGGACATCACCTTGCGGCTATTACGCTACAGACTGCGACGAGGTATCGCCAATCTCAATTTGGTGGCAGATTCCAAACGTTGCTCTGGGCGCAATGTCCGAAGTTTTTGTCAACGTTACAGCATACGAGCTCGCATACGCTCGTTCCCCGGAGAATATGAGGGCTACAGTCATTGCTCTCTTCTTATTCATGACTGCTCTGAGTAGTGCCTTGGGTGAAATTTTGATTCCCGCAATTACAGATCCCACCCTTGTGTGGGCTTGGGCTGCTCCGGCAATAGCACTCGCTATTCAAACCATTATCTTCTGGTGGCAACATCGCAATGTCAACGACGATGCTTTCATGACACACGAAGAGGATTTCCAACAGTTGGCCAGCGAAACAAAGACTTCTAAGGAAGAGAAGTAAGGTGACTTAGTGTCATTGAAATGCAACCTTGGTCAAAGCTGGCAAATCATATACTTATGCACAACATACCTACCTAGTATAATTATTAAGAGAGTACAAGCTGAATACTAATACATAACACTGTTAATTGAGCTTTAAAGTTCGGGTCTGCTATGCCTAGGTAGATAGTATATTAGGTATTATACGTAGGGTTATATATCCCGCCGAAGAGGGTTAAAGAGAGACATGTCTTATATTAATGCCAAATAATAGTATAAGCCTGGGCTAACTACCGCTAGAAGGGCTGCAACTAATGAGACTATGCCAGGCTTATATGGAGAACGTCATCTCCTGGTTCTCAGGGGCGCCGGAGGATGTCACGTGCCGTACCCGGCACCCGCATCATCATTCCGGTGGATTAGATCCACTTTTACGGGCCTCATATCGGGCCTCGATTCGTATCATAAGTTCTGTGAGCTTCGAGTTTAAAACATTGATTCAACCAACACACCTTCTCTGTTCCGTCAAAGTAGTTCGAGTCTTTTCTTCCCCTTATTTACGGACTTCGTGGCCTAAGAACAGGCCGTTAGGTCGTAGCACTCTATTAGATTGTCACATGACCAATATTACCTACCGTCGAGAGGGCAGTCCGCATATAAATCATGGCTAGGTGCACGGCATAAAAGTCACTGGGACTAGGAACTTAAGGATCCGAAAATGGCCTTCTATAGCCGCATAGAATGAACCGTCTCATATAACAACCATGATAGTGCCTTTAAATCTCGACGTTCCAGTTGGTTGGTTTTTTTCTCCGGCTAAAAGAATCTTACCGGCAGTTGTATGTATCAAGGATTCCCCACGGCACCCAGGCCTTAATCTAAAGGTTGACCTATGGAGTCAGATTGTAGGTTAGGTAGTCGTTTATTTAAGAAGTCAACAGGACCGGATGCAGCATGCATCACCACGCTCACCTTAGAACTTCACGCAAAAGACTTCATCATGTTTTGGAGCTCTCTCATCGTCGGTGCCCTTTTAGGGCAGCATGCCTCTGCGCAAAACATGCTTCGTTTCGGCTGCTCGCAGCTCACCATCGAACGAGCTGACCCTTTGGTCTCTCCTGGTCAAAACCCCGCCCCTCACACACATCAGATTATCGGAGGCAACTCGTTCAATCTTACGGTAGCGCACATGAATCTGGTCGAAGACTGCCACTAACATGACTCAGATGACACCAGCCGAATACGATCCACCAACCTTGTCTACTTGCACGACTTGCACCTACTCGGAGGACTTCAGCAACTATTGGACCGCATCATTGTACTTCAGGTCTCCTGAGAATGGTACCTTCCAGCGCGTGCCCCAATTTGCCAACTTTGGCATCCAGCAGGATGGGGGAATGACGGTGTACTACATGCCTTACAGCGCCAAAAATGGTAAGATGACGGCATTCAAGCCTGGTTTCCGGATGATCGCGGGGGACCCCACGAACAAACAAAACATATACAAACCCTCGATCTGTCACCGCTGCCTCGGAAACGGCGAGGGCTTCGCTCCCTGCGATAGCAAAGACACTGGCGAGCTCCCAACCAAGTACTGCCCTGGAGGTATCCGCGCTACCGTCATCTTTCCGTCCTGCTGGGATGGGAAGAATCTCGATTCGCCGGACCACAAGTCCCACGTTGCCTACTCCAACGGTGGCGGCCTAGGCAGCCCGAACTGCCCTTCAACTCACCCCGTTGCTATTCCTCAGGTTATGTACGAAGTCATGTGGGACACTGGAAGGTACAAGAACGATGCTTGGTACGGAAACGGCAAGCAGCCCTTCGTCTACAGCTTTGGCGACTCGTACGTTCTCTCCTCTACGTCAATTGTTGTACCTGTTACTAATGTTAATGGCAGCATTGGATACGGCCAGCACGGTGATTACCTTTTCGGATGGAAGGATGATTCTTTGCAAAAGGCCATGGATGCTTTGCCTAGTGGAAATTGTGCCAACGCTAACTGCGGCGTTCTCAAGATACAGTCGGCTGCGGACGCTATGAAGTGCAAGAAGGCTCAACAGGTTGTTGAAGATGTTGGAAAGGCAGGGCAGTGGATCAAAGAGCTTCCGGGAGGTGTAGCAGTCTATTGAGTATTCCGTAGTTAGGTACCTATAATAAGTTAGTGTTGTTTTGAGCGTACTGCTTATGTCCATATTATATGCTAGAGGTAATGAACCTTCCCGGAAGACTCGAAATAAAATTACCGACGGTTTGTTTGGCTGTTATCTCTGTTGCTAACTCTTTGAGTAACAGCGTATTCTGCCTTAATTCCATAGGTAGCCAATCAAATTTAAGATCATACACTTATTTGGAAGGTGATTTCATCAGATTTCTCACCTAATCTGGGGTAAGCATTGAGCACGCTGCTATGGCGTAGTATGAATCGGCTAAAGTCCGGCAAGCTTTTAGTTTCATGAGCTTGTCTTATTCGCGATTTTCCTGCTATTGTTGCTTATCTCCGTCCGTTGATTCTATTGCCACAGTATTGCTAGGTAATGTGGACATACATATTCTGACGCTGCCATAACAAAATGTTCTTTTCATTGTTAGTACCTTATATAGAAGGTGGAAATGGCTAGAGGTATAGCGTCCCCGTACATTTGCGCTCGATGCGCTCATGCGCTACTTGCCCGAAACACCCAAATCCCCGCGATTAACCAATGGAAAAGTTATGCAACCAAGTCTACTCATTCTCCAGCTAGCAGCAACCCCGGCCGCCAATCTGAGAATACAGCCGATGAAGAAACTAACCCTGAGCCGGGTCCTATGACCCGCCGTCTACAAGAGGCTACGGAGGAGGCGTTGCTTACGGGAGGGAGAGCCGGTCGACGATCGGTGGAAGATGCCGGTTTCTCAGACGAATTAAAAGAACGTCTTCTCGCGAGAGTTAAAGATGCCGAGTTTCGATCCGAACACGCCGCAGCTTTCGCCGAAGCCGGCATGCCATCTGCTGCTGGCGTGGGTACCCGTCTCGCGGCAACAAGTCAGCCATGGACAGGTACTGAAGCTACTGAAGACGCCGTTTTACGGATGCTTGATGACGCACATAAGCCTCTGAATAAAGATTTACGAGGCCGTCCAAAAATACCCGACCTCCAACCGATCGACATGCGAATTAGACAGGAACCAAAGATGAAGGCCGGGCACAGGGCTGCCAACGCCAGGGATAAGGCTTCTGCATACACAGGCATGGGTATGAAAGAGGCACAAAATGGACTCAGTGAAAAAGAGAGAGAGGCGATGAGGAAGGAATTCCGCGATCGCTTTAGACCCGCTGCCCGAGCACTACCGAATACCTTGACAGGACTAGCTTCGTTAGCAAACGAGAGAATTGAAGATGCCATCGCGAGAGGACAGTTCAAGAACATCCCAAGAGGCAAGGGAGTTGAACGAGATACGAGAAGTGACAATCCGTTCATAGATACGACCGAGTACATTATGAACAAGATGATCAAGCGTCAAGAGATAGTACCGCCGTGGATTGAGAAGCAGCAAGAATTATCGAAAGCCGCGCACGTGTTCCGGGCTCGGTTGCGAAATGATTGGAGACGTCACGCTGCCCGTATGATCGCAAGTAAGGGCGGCTCACTCGAAGATCAGATGAATCGGGCAAGGCAATACGCGAAAGTCGAAGTAATACACAACCCGCGAAAGCGCAACGTCGACCAGATAGCAGTACCTACGAATTCGACAGACGATCCAGTCATGGCCAAAATGAGGCAACAAGCGTCCTTGGAAACGAATCCCGAACCGGCGCCGGAGACTGCTGCTAGTGCGGCGGCAACTCAGGAGATTTCATTGCCACCCTTCCGAGATCCCGATTGGTTGGCCACGGAAAAGTCTTACATGGACCTCTCCATTAGCCATCTGAACACTCTTACGCGATCCTATAATTTGATGGCACCTGATCTCGCAAAGAAGCCGTATTTCTCACTTGAACGAGAGTTAAATAACTGCTATGCGGATGTTGCGCCGCAACTTGCAGATGAAATAAAGGACAGGGCCAGTAGCTCGGCGAGATCCCTATCAGGCGGGGTTGGAAATACCCCTAGCAATATCTTAGATCGCTTTGGGAACGGCGGACATACTGCAAAGGTATACGACTCGAAAGCACCCCATTACGGATTCAAGGAGATGTGGCGAGATCTCTGGAATCGTCAAGCCAGTTAGAAGTTTTTGTCTATCCTTTTGTAGCATTATGTAGCTAAGATATAACCACTCGACTATCGCCTCTAGGAAATCGCTTATAACTAGAATCCCAGCCTATAGTTGCATATTCTCGAAACGCGCTTACACGTTTTTGCTCAACCCCGGATTGTTTTCGGAACATCCTACACGTAGATGCGGGGGCTAGATTCGGTATATGTAAGAACCCCTATTACACCAAGACGGGCAAATCGATGCAATTAATTGGCAGAACCTTAATCAGATGTCTTCCGGGCGAATAATTCAAACCCGTTGTCGTTTCACGTTTACGGTACATATACTCCCTTATCCGGACCAAAGGGATTTCGATACTGCTCGGGCCGAGCCTAGTTTATCAGGAACGGGCCAACGGCGTCAAAGTGTCGTCATAGTCAGCAACTTGCTTGGTATAGGGATACCTCTACGCAGCATTCAGAACCCCAGGGAGCCAAGAAGGAAAAAAAGAGGAAAAAAATCATTTTTTGTTTAGATGTTTATTTGAATTTTTTTTTCTTTTTTTCCCGAAATTCACCTCGCCTGCATCACCTGTTATATCAGGTTGAAGAGAAAAGAGAGCTTCCGTAGTGGCACCACTTAAAATTATGGGCCTCGGGTTCGGCGGGCGTTCGGCGTTCTCCAGTTTCCCCAAGCTTCAAATATTATTACTTAATTGTCACTTATATGCGAATCGTGAACCTCTAACCCTTAGATCATTATCGTGAAATTTCCCCAGACTCTCCACTCTCCTCTCCTCATTTTTTCTCAATTGACCCTCTTTCCTAATTTCCCGTCCTTTTATATCCTTCTCTTCTAATTCTCTTTTCTGCTCGTTCCTAATTCCGTAGCCATTTGTGCTTTCGTGCTTGTATCAATAGAATCACTGCTGTGCCTCTCGCCACCTCCGTTGCTTGCCCCTCCAGGTCGCATTTAGCGGGAGCTTCTGAGCTCAAATCGAGACAACATGGCCTCTCCTGTAGCATCCGCAGCTTTGAAGGCTCGAGTTAGTCGACCTTCAATGCTAAAAAAGCTATGTCGACCTGAAGATATGCTTCACCATTTCCCTAATGGTGCCTATATTGGTTGGTCGGGGTTCACTGGTGTGGGTTATCCGAAGTATGTAGATTATTATCCTCCTTTTCTCCATGCGGTTCATCTGGCTAAACTCCAATTGCAGGAAAATACCCACGTTTTTAGCGGACCATGTCGAGAAGAACAACCTCCAGGGCAAGCTCCGCTACACATTATTTGTTGGCGCATCGTCAGGGGCCGAAACCGAGAACCGATGGGCTGGACTCGACATGATCGAGAGGCGTAGTCCTCACCAAGTCGGCAAGGCTATTGCAAAAGGTATTAATGAGGGAAGGATTAAATTTTTCGATAAGCATTTATCTATGTTTCCCGTGGATCTAGTATATGTAAGTGAACACTGGGATTCGACTATAAGGTAACCTATAAGTGCGTCTATACCTAACATCACTAGGGATTTTATACCAAGGATAGGCCGAACAACAAGTTGGACGTGGTGGTGGTTGAGGCTTCGGAAATCAAAGAAGATGGAAGCATTGTCCCAGGCGCATCGGTCGGCGCAACACCAGAACTCATCCAGCTCGCAGACAAGGTGAGTACTTGTACCGATTGATTCCAGAGACGGAGCATTAACCATAATTCTCAATGCCAGATTATCATTGAAGTCAACACGTCAATCCCCAGCTTTGATGGACTTCACGACATCACAATGACGGATTTACCTCCTAAACGAAAGCCCTACCTAATTATGGGTGTCGAAGATCGCATCGGAACTACTTCTATCCCTATCGATCCGGAGAAGGTTGTTGGTGTGATCGAGTCCGATTACCAAGACCAAACGACGCATAACACACCTGCAGATGAAAACTCTCGTGCGATTGCAAACCACCTGATCGAGTTCTTCGAGCACGAAGTCCAGCACGGTCGCATGCCCAAGTCCCTCCTCCCCCTGCAATCTGGTATCGGTAACATCGCCAACGCTGTCATTGGCGGCCTTAGCGAGTCCAACTTCTGGAATCTGAAAGTGTGGACTGAAGTTATCCAAGACACCTTCCTCGATCTCTTCGACTCTGGCCGCCTCGATTTTGCTACCGCAACCTCAGTTCGCTTCTCCCCTGAAGGCTTTAAGCGCTTTTATGACAACTGGGAGCAGTACCGCAACAAGTTGCTCCTACGTTCGCAACAGGTTTCTAACTCTCCTGAGATCATCCGTCGGCTGGGTGTGATTGGCATGAACACGCCCGTCGAGGTTGACATCTACGCGCACGCCAACAGCACTAACGTGATGGGTAGCCGCATGCTGAACGGGCTAGGTGGTTCGGCTGACTTCTTGCGGTCAGCTAAGTACAGTATCATGCACACGCCGTCAACGCGACCGTCCAAGACAGACCCGATTGGTGTCAGCTGTATCGTACCGATGTGCACACACGTAGACCAGACCGAGCACGACTTGGATGTGGTAGTGACGGAAACGGGTCTCGCAGACGTCCGAGGCTTGAGCCCCCGCGAGCGCGCCCGCGTCATCATTGACAAGTGCGCCCACGAAGATTACCGACCCATCCTCAAGGACTACTTCGAGAAGGCCGAGTTCGAATGCCTCAAGAAGGGCTGGGGTCACGAGCCGCACCTACTATTTAACAGCTTCGACATGCACAAGGCACTAGTAGAGGAGGGCAGCATGCGGAAGATTAAGAAGTGGTAAGGGATAGATTTTGGACATAGGAAAAGCCATATGAGGGGATGCATGCATATTGGGATTTGACGCACTTAAGCTATATCAATTTCGAAGCAAGTATATACGCGATTCTATTTGCCGTTGAAGAGCATATTGCAGTTTCTTGGGGTCATGGGTCAGCCCTAGAAGAAGCTGCATAGGAGTATAGTATAGATACAGAAGTTCCCAACATCAGCTCGGCTTGGGCTTTGGATATATTAATTAAAAAACAAGTCATAGCTACGCTTTGTCTACTTGATTCAATATTTTGGTGATAGCTTTATCTGACTAAAATCATCAAATATACCAACCATTAGAAACCTTATACTTATTTCTTATAGTTATACCTTATATATTTCAAGACAATGTACTTTAACCAGGTACCTACCCCGTGGCCTATAAACAACACCTAGGTAAAATAACCGCACATTTTTCTCGTTTACCTACCCTCGTGAGGGAACTTTTTCTAATTGTACTCTTAAATTTCATCTAGACTTAAAGGATTGTATTTAACTTACTGCTACTGGACTGTCGTCCGAGTTCTCAGTCTAGAAGTATGACTTCATTATCAATATCCTACTTTGATTGAAAAGAAAGGGGTAAGGTCAGTACATGGGATATCTTTATTTCGGATAGGACAATTATACTTGAAAGATATGTTACGCTAGAACAGCTTATTTTAATATTACTGGGAGCGATTAGATGGCCAGATTCTTGAAATAGAGATTCTTTAAAGTTGGTACGGAGTGTCTCCTACCGACAGCGTAAGTGAAAGATAACGACAATTATGATCAAACTGCTTTTCATCCATACTCCATCGAATAATTTTACTACAGTGTTACTTCAAATCATATGAAAAATTGATTCGATAGCACCAATTATTAATATTAGGGCACTCCTGAGCTACCCCTTTCCCCATTCACGTCTTCGCCAATTTCCGCGCCTTCACAACCACCATCGACGGATTCTCCAAGAACAGCTCCCAAAACCCCAGGTCCTTCTTAACCACCTCCGCATTCTCATACGGCTCTGTCTCAATCTCGCCCAACCCGACCTTATCCATCATCTCCGTCGACCCGGAGTACGACACCTCCCACGACGAGGCCACGATATCGATGGGCGGCACGGTCGCCACCTCGTACCGGAAGAAGACGCCTCCCGGCACGTCCCGCCAGTCCTTGTACCTAATGCCGTATTTCCCCTGCGCGGCGCAGGCCGCGTACGGGTCGCCGGAGCGCACGCCGACGAAGCGCCCGCCGGGGGCGAGGTAAGTGGCGACGTTGCGCCACATGGCCTCGAGCTCGGCGAGACTGGCCGCGTGGTCCATGACCCAGTTGGCCATGACGAGGTCGTAGGTCTGGCGCAGCGGCAGATGGGACAGCGGCTTCGAGACGTCCCCCTCGTGCCACCCGATGTTATCGGCATATTTGGCTCCCGCGGCCTCGGCGGTCCGACGCCCGGCGCTGAGCATATCCGGGGATAGGTCTACGACGTCGACGCTGCTGGCGCCGAGGTCGATTACCTCGCGGGCGCGTGTGCCGGTCCCGCCGCCTAGGTCGAGGACGGTGTAGCCTGTGCAGTCGCCTAGTGCGGATGCTAGGAGTTGCTTCTCCAGGATTCCGTATGGGAGCAAGGAATATTCTTCATTGTAGGCGCGCGCGTGTTCCTTGTACTCACCTTTTAACTCTTCTGTGAGTGACATGGTGACTGGTAATTGTAATTTCTGGTGAGGTCTCGATTCGCGATGTATATGTTTAACTAGGCAATGTAAATAATAGTTTCGATCATATCTTGGTTGCTCTACATATTTCTTTTATATCCTCAATAAAGCACATTATCTGGTACACGATCCTAATGCACGTTGTCCCGATCGATTGCCTACAAACTGGATCGAGGATGCGGGGTCTGCTTGGAGTCTCGGACTATCACGGCTTTCATTGGTCTTGGATAGACGCTGGTAACCAAATACAACCTCTGGCGGCTGCAGCTAAGGACGGAAGCTCCTGTCTAAGGTGGAACAGATGAGGTATACAGTCTGACACTACTATCACGTATTACTCCATTGCTTTTTCCCTACGTCATTCATACCCTCCTGATATTAGCCAAGTATGTAACGCAGGTCTTAAAAGTGCAGTTGTGGGAAAAGCAAGTGCGCCCTTCATAAGCGATATTGTCTACAATGATGCTCTCGTGTAGTAAGTTCTAGATGATCTTATCTTATAGAACACATGTCACTCCTGATCATCAAGACGAGCTATCCGTTTGAAAGGTAGAATATGTTTAGTATTATACATCATCCTTATGTCAATAGCTGATAGGTAGTCGTAAGCTGTACATATGCAACGCCATGAGCCCAGCTGTCTATGCCTTAATGAACTGGAGGCATTATACGCCGTGGCTCCAAATAATACCGAGACTATGTCCTCAAGTGCGAGGGAGACACGGTGGGTCAACCCCCCCAAATCCGAGTAACTTGATTGATCCAAAACAGTTATCATGAATTCTGATTGAACATATCCTAGTATAAGGTACCCACCGTGTCTCCCTCGCACTTGAGGACATATATGCATGTGACGCAGAAGACTGGTCCAAGCATGTAGTCAAATAGCTTTACGACAAATATTAGTACGAGTTGGGATTATATAATGTAAGGAGGTTAGCCGTTTGAGATTTGACCCCCAATCACTTGGGTAACTTGCTGCATTGTATTCCGAAGGTTGAGGATCTAGCGTACTACTGGGAGGGTTTGGATGAATTTTCTGACCTGGCCCAGCCCAGTTGCTACATCACGTCAGAGGAACGCTCAAGAAACTCTGTATCGTTTTCCTACATACCACGTATCTCAGAAAGCATAAGGCTCGATTCGTTCCCAGCTTTGGTCGACCCTCCTCGGGCAGATTACCCTCCACTTAGGACTCTCCAAGAGTTCCATAACCTAGAGGAGCTGTCAATTGACTGTCACTTCATATCTAGTGTAGTTATGATGAGATGGAGTGACTTATTACCCTGCTTCCATCATAAATTCTGAAGCTTTAGATCTCATGATAAAATGGAAAAAGTTCGGAGTTATCAGAGATTGTGATAACTTGGTATTTTAGCATCTCATACGTATATAAGGGCATAGACAAGTCTTTGCATTTTCTTGCCGAAATGGTGCCGGAAGCTTTTTCACTCCTCAAGATGTCATAACCGGCATCAGAGAAAAGACAGATCCAAGATACAACTATAGTATCGAGGAAACAATAAGCCTTAGTGGAATTTTTGACAAAGTCGGTCAAAGAACATAGACTTATTAGGGCCGGACTCTAGAACCATCATTCCCGGGGCGACGCCATGGTCGAAGCTAGTCTCTGTAACCCGACTACTGGATAGAATTGATTACCTATGTTGAACTGAGAATTTAACAATGGCAAGATATTAAAAATTGAAGCCCCATACTATAGAGTTATATTTACTATACGGTAATGATCAAGGAGGTGAGTTGTCAAAGAGCGCGGAATTTTGCACGGAATTATAAGCCTAAAATAGCGGCATTTTGCCACTATACGGCCCCTATAGCTCAGTGGTAGAGCGTTCCACTCGTACCACATGGTCACAGCGTGATCTAGTGAAATTCGAAATGGAGAGGTCCATCGTTCAATCCGGTGTGGGGGCACAACATTTTTTATTCTTTAGTTATAAAATTTTAATTTTTTTTATTGTTTACATTTTGATGTTGTTTCGATGTGTGAACCAATTAACCAATTAACCCCTTGGGTTTGTGTTTATCAGTTTACTGTTGTTGGAGCTGAATTTGAATGTGTTGAATATACGACAGCGAGCTTCCGTATGGAAAGGTATATTCAGCGGTTGGTAAACTTACGTTGGAATTAAAAATAATTGGTTAAGGGGAAATCGTAGGTCCCAAAGTATAAACCCCTGGAGTATGTATGTACCACCTACTTTGCTATCTCTAACGAAGCATGGTTCCCGTTCTGTTCAACCTCATCAAGCACACTCCCAGCTAGTTGCCAGATTTCCATCACCAATGCCGTCCCATCTGCTAACCATAGGATAGGAGCAGTACGCTAATGTATAGAATCTTAGCGCCTCATTCATAAAGAGGATAAATATACGGAAAACTCACTTCGTTGTGCCGTGATACTACCTCCGATAATATCGTTTTCGTACTTTGTACCAATAATTATTTCCGGCGCCGTCCCATTCTCGACCCAGTTAACCAACGCCATAAGCGCATTATGTTTAGAATCCAGTAGCGTCTTGTCGTACGGATATTTTTGCGCATTTCCTATACTCCAGGGGCTTAACCCCCCTGAGCAATGATGCATACCGGGCAGGAAGAATAATCGATAGAAACTATGCATATCTTGTAGTGTAATGTTCAGCACGGCCTGAACCCCAGTGAAGAATTGTTCGGAGAGAGCAGATGTTACAGTCTAGATACTGCCTGTTAGCATTGATTCGGAAATTTTACCTAATAGTGATCTATTCATCATCTAGTCCTCCATAATGTTGCTAAATCTTACATACCTCATCATTCCTCCCATGATACGAGATTATCTTACCACCTCTGCGATAGAAACTCGACAAGTCTTTCTCAGCAGCATTGACCTGCCCTGGGTTGACGCTTACCGCAAAATCCATGTCCGATTCATTAAAGTCCTCTGGTGTCCAATCGGTATTATTGAAAACTGCGCCACGCCAGAAATCTTCAAGGATCGTATAACTCAACCTGGCTGTCCCGTTCTCCTGATTCTCAGAGAATACATCGGTCTTAGAACCTAGTTCGAAGGCTGGATAAACGATTTGGCCCGAGGCACTAACGATCGGCTCGTACGCTCTACGCACAGATTCCACCTGCTGTGGGCTAAGGCAACGTGATGAGTTAAGCAGGCCGGTACCGCATACTAGGCTCTCAGGATCAAATCGGTGCTTCGTTGGCTCGTCTATAATACCATCGGTTACTCCATCTAGAGAATCAAATTCTCTGATCTGTGCTTCGACGATAGCTGGCCACTGCTCCGGGCGTACATAAGCCGATGAATTTAGATAAGGCCATCCGATACGTCGTGCTAGGATTCCCTTCGAGGCCACAACGCGTAACCAGTCGACACCCGGACTTCCAAGAAGCATCCCATCGAAGTCCTCGGGATACAAATGCGCGGTTTGAAAACCTTGACGGCCCCCCGTGCTACAACCCGCGTAATACGTCTTGGTTGCTCTGGCTCCGTAGTATTGATGTACCAATTCCTTACTAAACCCTGCTTCGATGTGAATGGCTCTATGGCCGAAATCGTTGATAACCTCAGGTTGGTTTAGGAAAAAATCATACCCTATTGATCCGTTGTGCCCAGAGTTAGTCCCGAAAGACGCAAATCCCAGCCCAACCCCATTTTGCATCGTAGCATAGTCGATACATCCCCCAATACCACCATTTCCTGTCGCTAATACTTTTCCATTCCAATTATGTGAATCTGGGAGCCAGGCTTCTAGCTGTATCTCGCTCGAGGGAGAAGTCGTGATGGTAAATACAAGCCGGCAGAGATTGGCGGTGGCGTTAGCTTTGAGATTTGGGCCTCCACAGGACTCTACAGTCCCAGGAAGATCAATGGTCGTTCCATTGAGGAAGTAATTATGCATAAGAATTGTACTATTAGGGACCAGGATTTGGGCGCCGAGTGATGCACATTTGTCTGTAGAGCATGCAGCTAAACGGACAGCAACCCCGAGGAAGACGGTAAGACTCAAAGTAGATAGCGACATAGTTGGGGTTCTTGATTGCACATCAATCAGGCATATCAAGCAAATATTTCGTGTCGGTATGCAGTGAATCGTTGTATCCTCACTTAGGGGTAGACACCGTTAAACTTCCCCTTTTGAAATTACATCTCGCAACTTAGTTGAAATTACACCAGTAATCGGGTAGTTGATGTATTAAGTATAGCTTCGTCGACCTTTAGAGTAAAACTAATTATATATATTCCCCGCTCAGGGGCTAGGAAACAAGGTATTCAACCTAGGAAAACTCCAAAGCCTAAATCATTACCCCAGGTTCTCCGCATCCTATAGCCCATATATCGTATGTATTACCCCACCGAAAAATTAAGAGAGGGGTTTTGCCAGCTACCAGCGCATGAGCGATTCATTGAGCTTCGCGTTGCTAATCATAGAGCAGGTTCTTCGTGAGGGTCTAATTATTTCCAGCTAATATACCCTACTGTATACCATATTCGTTGATGTCCCCCGTAAGTGCTTTTTCGCTTTATGATCGAGCGAATAGGTCGTTAGGATGGACCGTCGGAGGCAATAATTACTTTCAGCCCTGCTGATTATATGATGATAATGAAGAACTCTCCGGCGAGGATCCACCGGATGATGTCTGTCGTTTCTCCTCTCCCTGGTAAATACTGTCCGAATTGGTGTCCCAAGCAAGGCCGGTCCCATCACAGGCATGACAATCATTAACCCTAGGATATGCTTCAGTTAGTTTAATTCCATATTTGGCTTGAGTTGGTTAGAGTCTTAACTTACAATCTCGGAGTTCCAAGACACGAAGGACATGAATAAGGCATACGATGATCGGGCCCGAATCCATAGATTATTCTGTCCTCAAGGGATGAGTTGGAGACGGTACTTGCCAACTGCGAAGACATATTGGGAAATATAGACTCAAATTAGAAAGTAACTTTTATTTCTTGTTGATAGTGCCGAAAGTCTTGCTCGAGTTACTATGAAGTCTTGATTATATGAAGTATCTTCAGTGCTTTAAGCCTGTGTATGGTCTTTATATAATTTACTCGATGCAATGCTGTACGAAGTACTTCCTATGCCGAGTTGGCTTGTATAAACTAATGAATCACGATTTTAAGTCATATTGTCCCATGCAGTATATAAAATTCGATAGAGACAGCCCTAAAAGCTTCCAATTGGTACTGGGTATCACAATACAGGATGCACCCTGCAACTATATGAAGGATAAATTACGCCACCTGTAGCCATTACTTCTATGGCGTGTTGATCCAGGTTTACATGAAGCCACCAAAAGTTGTATTACTTCGCGTTAGATCACGTTTACAACCCTTATCGGGCACTGACGGCGCAATCGGCCGTCTTTAATAAGTTGTACGACTCTTATACTTGAGAACCTTGTCCAGTTCCTCAATCTTGCATATTCTTCCTTCTCGTTTCGTATCATCCCTCTACGCCACTGTTACAAATTGATAGGAGTCGGAAAGACTCGTTACTAATACTTCTCCCACGGTCTGGTTCTTCCTTTCCGAGGGCCAACGCCTTAACATGTATCCAATAAACTTATCCATTGAGGTTTGTTCGAGATCAGGTAATATACCATGCTCCCTAGGACCCCCACGGACTGTTACTTCTTCCAAGTCAGACAACCAGCTGCACGCAACCGCGAGACGGCTGATTGTTTTAGCGTTCTGTGGCAACACGCAATATATGCAATGCTCGTGGGTAGTGTTCATTGGATTATAGTGCCTATTGGTTGAAAAACTGCCCCCCTAAAGAAAAGTAATTAAATCCAAATTGTGGCGTTCTGTACTCTCATCTTGCATCAACTGCGACTTGCATACACGGAAAACAACCACTTGGCGTCGGAAGCGTATTAACAAACATCTTTTCCTTCTGGATCATGATGGCCTCAAGTCGATAACCTGGTACTGATGTGTAATTTCCGTAGCTAACAATCCGATCACACCCCCTGATTACGATACCTATTGGCTATATCAACTATTTTATGAAACTGAGTAATTTCCGCCTCACTATAATCATCATAGGTATAAGCATGCTGCAACGGGAGAAGCCGAATCGCTACATCTACATTTCACGCTCTTACTCTAACGAATATAAGTTTGATCCTGGCTCGGCTAATGTTAGCGATGAGGTTTCACCACCTACATTAAGTAGTTATTAAATTTCTAATGGTGTGACTCCGTAAGTAGCGGAAGCTCGTATTTAAGTAAAAGAGGTAGAGGTTAGGCTGGGTACCTAGGTAAGTAGTATGTCAAAGTGGTGTATCTACCTCGGTAGCAAGTATATAGCAACTTATGAACAAAAGTTCTTCCTTTATATTCAATAGGTCGTACTTTCTTAATCATGGGAAGTATAATATCAAAGAATCAAAGCGTATCCTCATTGAAAATTATTTACCAATCTTGACACATTATTATAACTTATACACTCGCAGTCAATACCCTTAATTCATACCCAAATAGGAGTAATACTGAAGATTTCTCAGTGGCTCTGACTGATTTGTATATCTTTCCAATGGCACTCTCAGACTCTAAGTTTTGGCTTAGTTCTCTTTGTGTCCTTCTTCTCCCGACTTGCACACAGATCCTTGGCTTTGGAGCGAATCGCGGTCCAAAACGCGGGAACATACGGTCAAGGCCCCAGTACTAAACACGCCCCGTCTATCTTTTATACATTAGCATATATCTTCGTATATTCCACTATTAGGGTCTGGCGTTCATTATTCCTAATCTTGCGCCGATCATGGGTAGGAACGCCAGTCAAGATAATAGAGATTAGACTTACATTATAACTAATTCGCTAAATCTATGCAGGAGAGGCATGCTTTATAGACTTTTTATTTTTCTTATGAACTCGGGTTTTCGCATGGACCGTCTTAACGCTACCAGCAGCAATATTTGATATCTTGATAGGCGTAGCAAGCTGAACTGTATTGCTTGACGAAGGACAGGGCAAGGCTAGCATATGCAGCCGCCGTGTCCTGCTCCCAAGCCCCGAATTAGCACCGACATCATTCAATCCGCATCAATGTTTCCTACCTTCATCGTCCTTTTCCACTTGGCGTCGACTCTTGTCCATGACGCGATTGTTCGTGGCTTGACGTGGGCGCGCACCATTACGCGAATCATCAGGCGAGAGAGCGATCATTGACTTTAAGCTTGATATTCTTGGCGGCATTTTACGAAATTGGTCGGAAACTATTATGCTTTGATCCGCCCTAGAAAAATAGGTGTCAACTCTACCCCTTGTATATAGAAAGGGAGAGATTTGCAGCGTGCCAAAGGAACATTAGTATCCCAACAATATTTAAATAAGCACCTCTGGCGAACGAACGTATAACTCTATCTATGTACATTCTGATAACCACCTATGGAGTACTGTCGTCATCAATGGATGATCATTCCGATACGTTGGAGTTGGTCTATGAGGAAAAGGGGCATATGAAGAGGTGCATTTGTACCAAATAATGTCTCTAGGCGTTGCACTGAGTAAACATTCCGCGTAACCCTATTAGTAAAGGCTCACCGCCCGAAAACAGATCTACACCCATCAAATTAAAGAGACCCGCTCGACCACTCGAGCGTATTTATGAACACTAGTCTCAATACGAAGAGCACGCATTTTGCCCTTCTGTTTTTTTTTTTTAAAAAATATGGAGACTGTAATTGATATTAGGATATAATATGATGGATCAAAGATTCAGCCGTAGTATCCTAGATGAACCAACCTATGTTTAATCATCGCACGAAAACCTGTGTAAGGCGTCAAATTATGAGAACGAATTACGTACGCTTTCATCGTCCATCCTAAGTATTCCGTAGGTAAGTTTCAATGATACTCTACATATATAACGTTATACGGCTTCACGAGTCTTGGGTTCGTATTCAGCTTAGGCGTATCGCTCATTCGAGTTGCTGAGCACTACATGTAGTTAGCATAGCCTTTGAAAGTGGCGATGAAGACAGCATCGCAATACTGCTAGTAATAGTTGGATCCTTTAAAGGTGCAGCCTTCATCCCTGTGTGCCAATAGACTGGAATTACACTCTAGGGGCTAGGCGTCAACTTGCTAGGCATATTAGAAAGGAACCCTCAAGATATGGTTAGGATAAGAAGCGTCTGTTTTCGCAAACCTGATATAAAAATACGGAATGCCGAACGGTCGCGGAGTAATTGATCATCCAATCCCCGATTAAAGAGGATCATCGGCCGAGAATATTGAGTGCGCTACGGTATGCAGTAAGCCAGACCCTCGGTGTAATCCTTGCCGCCACCTTGCACATCCGTCAGCTAATAGACAGGCTGACAAGTAAGCACACGATATTCGTAATACAGAGGTATTTAACAAAGCTCTATGGCAAGTGATTTATGCTATGAATACATTACTTCATCTTGAATTATACCTATTCTCCAATAGCACAACCTACCCAATCTACAAGCCATAACAATGAAATTGATTATTTCGGGAGCCACAGGCTTCGTAGCCAATGAAATAATACGACAGAGTTTAAGCAGGACCGAGATTACATCTATTGTGGCCTTGGCTCGCAAGCCGGTATCAGTTCCCGAAAAGCTTCTACCCAACGCAAACCCTTCCAAGCTTAAAAGTGTCGTGATAAGAGATTACGATCATTATCCTGGAGAGGTCAAAACCGAATTTGCTGGGGCCGCAGCCTGCATATGGTAGAGATCCCTTTGACCTTCTTCTCATTGCGGAGATTAGCCATATATCCGAGTAAGATCGCTAACAAAGCCTAGGACGGTCGCCATCACGCCGTCAAAATCAAAGATGTACGATTTTGAGGAAGTCAAGCACATCTGCCAGACATCTACAATCACAGGTTTTAAGGCAATACATGAGTCTGGCGTCTCAAAGCCATTTCGATTCCTTTATATGAGCGGTGCAGCAGCAGAACGCGACCCGGAAAAGGCCGTACGGTTTCAGCCACAGTATTCATACATGCGGGTAAGGAAAGACAACGAAGCGAACATTTCAGAGCTGATAAACGGGATATAGGGAGAGACTGAAAACCAAGTTCTTGCATTGGCAGCTGAGCTCGATGGAGTTGAAGCCAGTGTCGCAAAACCAGGCTATATCACTGCACCGGGCGAGATTATGAAGTCTATTGCCGGCACTATGATACAACTTGTTGCTGGTATCCCTAGCATCAGTGTCGTAGACCTTACGACAGCTATGCTAGATCAGGTCATAAATGGGTTTGAGAAAGATCCGTTGATGCCCGAGGATCTGATCAGGATTGCCAAGGCACATTAGCAAGTTTCCGAATAATAGTGAACTTGGGGATATAAGTTCAATGCGAGGTGTTAGTGAGATTACCACGTACTCTTCTATTACGGGGGGAATATTAGGAATAATAGATAGGAGAGACAGATCTGAGATTCGTTGCCACCCCCTTTCTTTAACAATAAGGGCCTAGACATCTAGGAGTATTACACACCACTACCCACTGTATAAGGTGGTTCTTTAACTTGGAATGCACTATCTCAATTGAATATTCAAAGTATACTTGTATTAAGATGAATGCCATCCTCCAATAGCGTCTTGGGACTATTTTATTATCTAGATAAATACCACCGAAAAGAACGATCTACCCCAGATTAACAGCTACCAATTATACACAGGGGTAAGTATCCAAGTACTTCTGGTTCTACAAGACATACCGTAGCCAAGCCACAGACTTATAGACGTCTCCAAGGAAGAGAGTGCGGGCATGGAGGGTAAGTTTAGAGAAGCGGGCACCTATGCTCTGCTATTACCCCTTTAGGCGAAGGCGTCCTCAAGTCTAGATTCCCGTGTCGCATTTTAATATCCGCAAAGAGCTCGTGGGGAGGGACCCGAACGGCGATGTCATCACACAATTTTCCCGCTAATTCTCCCGGAGCCGGGAATGTCTTGGACCATGGAAGGTATTGGAGTATTGGCAACGGCACTTCCACCTACTCGCCGATTAAAAGGATATACTTATTACCTACTAGCGAGACCTATTATAGATGAGTGAGGATCCAGAGAACACTTCTTGCATCTTGGGCTCGACTCTATAGCACGTCGATAGACTTATCTACATTTGAAAATAGAAACCTAAGGATGCATTCCCGTCTCTTAGGTGTTGGCATTGCAGTCCTTGGGGCTTTACTGCCTCAAGCTGCCGCCGAATATGAGTGCAACCGGACATATATACAGTCTTTCGCAGACAGCTACGTCGAGGCGCACGAGAATGGACAGCTAAACCGCCTAGAGAACATCGCTGACAACTTCACGTACGTGGAGAACAACAAAACGGCAGAGATCACCAGCGGCATCTTCAACAACGCGCTCAAGATCGCGCACCGCCACACTATCGTCGACACCATCGATTGCTCCTCCTTCACCGAACTCATCATAACGCACAACGCCTCGGGCGAACCAGCACCCTACGTCATCGGCGCCCAGATCCGCCACAGCCCGGGCGATCTGAGCTGCTATCTCATGGACTTGATCGTGTCTACGACCGGGTCGTGGCTCTTCAACTCCACGAGGACGCTAGAATACGCGTCTAAGGAGAACTGGACTCTCATTGAAGAGGACCAACGCCCTTCGCGCGAAACCCTCAAAAATGCTGCCGACGCCTACCTGGATATGTGGAGTAACAGCACCGCCGAAGACGCTGTGCCTTGGGGTCAGCCGTGCGATCGACTCGAAGGCAGCGTGTACACGGGTAGCGGACTTCCCACAGATTCATGCAAAGTTGGCATTCCTTCGAACCATAACCAGGCGCCCAACTCGCATCGCCGCTACGTCATCGATCCCACCTACGGCTCCATCAGCGTATTCTGCATTTTCGAGCACCTAAGCAACGCGCCTGACAGCCACGAGTTCCGCCTCGAGAACGGCAAGCTGCGGTTCATCCATACCATCACGCTTGCTAACAGCGGTTTCTTCGAAGCGGAAGAGCCCGTGGCGCAGCCGATCGTACGATACAGGAAACGGGGAGGGACACGCCGAGCCGTGGCGACAGGCTCGTCGGATCGTAACTAGGGCTTATATACAGGTATTGGTTGCTTTAGGCATCGATATTAGGGATGGCGATTGTATTAGGTAGGTCTGGGAGCCTAACTCGAAGAGTCTATGTGGTGATCCTTGTAATCTCTACGAGATAGGTCTAAACAGCTTTTTGCGGGGAGTCTAGGCTGTTGGAATTCTATGATATCAATGTTCTATTATGGATATGGTATTGCGCTCAAATTATAAGATCACTCGATACGTTAGTCCAGTGGTTTTTTATATGACTTTATTAATTTTCCGCACTATACTATTCTAATAACGAGCTAAGCTACACTATTCGCCGCGGTTCAAGGGCGTAAGAAACATTCCAGTATTACCTGAACCGTACCTATTGGCTCGCCAAGGTCTACCTTACTGTTATCTTCCTTTATGTGCTCTGGCTTGTTTGGCTGATGGCTGATGGCAGAAATGCACATCAACTTCTCCAAGACAACAAGACTAAGAACCGCAGGCATCACGATCTTCTCGGCATTAATAGCCACCAGTGTCAGGCTGTGTAACGACTTCGTAACGAAAGGAAATAATAAAAGAAATCGAGAGAGAGAAGCAAGGAGAGGCAATAGTTAAGTCAACAATCCCCTCCTATTTGAATCTCTCATCTTTATTGCAAACTTCATTTGTAGTTTGCCTCGGAACAGGGGGGACTCGGTATTCCTCTCTGGGTCGGGGTCGACGAGTGTCGATTTAGGGCTGGCATCGATAGCCGAACGTCAGAGTACCGGCAACGTACTATATATTACTTATATGTTAGCCAATTGTCCTCTAAACTTCTTCAAATAGGTATTGGCTATGGGGTACTTACGAAGTATTACATCCTCCAGTCTGTCGTATTCACTCTATTGCATCCATGTGGCTTTAAATACATTCCGTGTACGGAATATCTCGGGAGTCTTTGCCTGAAACCTTTTAATGTCACGGTAGAGCCCGGCGTCTAATCCATGCTGGCTTGGCGTATACTGTCGTCGTATTCGTGACTCGCGAACACTGTCGATCTCAAGCATGAAGCAATCATCGCGGTTAATGATTTTGAGTAACATCTCTCTCATCGCTTTGTCCGTATTCAAGTTGGGTAGAAATAGTAATAGGGACTGATCGGGCCTGCTAACTGTCGTTTGCGGATGGCGGGATTGTGACCCTGTATCAAGAATCTTGACTGCTCGACGGCGTAGACGAACTTCATCACCCAGTAGTTGATTGATCATTGGAATCCAAGGTATAGATATCGTTTCTTGTTCGAAATCTATCTCTATTCCCTCTACTATACAAGGAGAGTTAGCAACTGCTTTCTTGTAAAAAACCACATGACTACATACACTTAGGGTCAGTGCAGGCCATTCCTACAATCATTCCGAGGTGATAAATCCTGTCAATATCGGCTTCAGGGGGAGTAACCGCGCCTTTGGCCAAATGACCAAAGTATCCATAGGCCAAGGCCTGTTTTGGGCCCTCCATGGTGAAGAGGGCATTGTTGCGATCCCTTGAAATCGCGACACACTCCAGGATTCTTATCCGGCAGCCGAGATTGGAGAGAGTAATATAAGTTTTGCCGATATACTTCTGCAGAAAAGTTTTCTCAATTTCTGCCTTCCAGGCTTTGCAAACCAAGCGGAATGCAAACCAAGCCTCCGGAAAATATTCCTCTGAGACTGAATTGACTATCAAAAATTGAACTTCCAAAGGCATATAAGGTAATTTCGCTTTGTTGACATCTACCAATGCTACCGGTGTTGTGGTAACATCCTGAGGATAGTTCGAAGACATCGTGGCAAGAGTGTAAAGGACAATGAAAATAAAAGGAGCTTGTAATCAAGCCTTGTAAGTAATAAGTTCCTTGGGAGGGGGGGTGGCAAGGCTAGAGGAATAGGAAGGGTGCGAGTTTTTGTCCAAATAAAAAGTCTGGTTGGGGAACTTTTGGGATTGTGAATTGTGGCACTGATATCATTTAAAAAGGGAAAGAAAAGAGTCAGTGGTTAGGTGCCACTAAGTAAATGAGTGAGCGGAGTAGAACGGTCTAATGTACGGATCTATCTGTATGGATCTATCGTGTTTTCTTGTCGTCCGCACACTTGACGGCCGAGACTCGTCAAATTGGAACCGTCCCCTATTATGCCGGTGGGGTGATTGCATTCGTAACCGTTCTGCATATGAGAGCTTACGCCGGTGTGTAAATCGTTAAGGTCGAAGGTGACACTGGTATCTGTTATTTCATGCACGAGTTGTATTGACCAAGACGACCAGGTGTTCACAACGATTTTATCAGCTCCCCTATTTTAAAAGAATGACTGTCTAAGCTCCTGTGATACTTTCAGATGAGATCTAAGCTTTAGTATTATGCAAAACTCATTAGAGCAGTGATTCTCTAGGTAGACAAGACAGTACGTTGACGTTTATAACCTAACAAGACAAATAAACTATAAGAAAGCCTGGACTAAGTCCATCGAGATTCAACTAACAACCAAACGCCCTAAGAAACTATGAAAGCGTAAATATTTGGCAACTTCCTCCTAGGATAGTGAGATCCCTGCGTATTCACGGTGAAAATTTAGGTCTAGCAAGAAATGGGTTGAAATATAAAGATGAAAATGCTACATTATGATGTTCGTAGGTCGGGCAATGAACACATGGTGAAAGCACGTAACTTGGTATGAGAGTACAATTTAGCAGAGCAACTATACATAGATGTATTGTGTAACGATGTGTTTATTGATCTCATGAATCTACTATGGAAGTGACCCTTTCCTATCTCACATAGATATCTTAGGAGGTGCCCAATCACTCATTTCACAACCAAATACGTTCATTTAAAAATAATTCCGCAGGACAGGTTACTAGCATATGTACTAAAGAGATCGACCTAAACTCTTACGGAAAGAATAAGAAAGGTTGCAAAATCTTGAATTATAATAAAAGAGGATTTTACTAAGGAGTGATTGTTATCATTTTTTCTCAAAAGCACCATTCTCAGGGTATAAGAAGGTTAGAGGTATATCTACTACATATGGGGCGCGCAGCAATGTAGTAAAAAGATAGGAAGGCAGTTATTACTAGTTCAATACTACTATGATGATATTCACTGTCACAAGCTGGAACCAAACAGTATGGAAAACAACTTTGTTATTCCGCAAGGAACTCTAAACCTATCTAACAAGCCTATGGCTCGTATACATACTAACATGTTCTTTGTCCTAGATGTCTCATCTAGGATCCCGACATTCACTCTATGTATAACATCCGTCACAAATATAAACTCTGGCAACCATAAGCTTGATGATTTCTGTCGTGCCTTATTCGTAGGGCTCATGAGATGTACTAGTATTATGTTATGAAGTTTCCGGAACTATGATTAATTTCACTACAGTGGAAACTGTTGGACTAGATGGATTAGATGATCCTTATCGGATTAGAGGATAATCCGTCCCGCACGAGTATATAGATGCGGCTCTCCCGTTGAGCCGCATCTATCTCGATCTTAGAATCATGCATCGTTTATACGAGAGTCACCCTTATTGCTGTATTGCCGTTACCCCTAATCCATACGTACGTATAACATGGACTAGACCTTGTCTACCGACAGAAGCCGGCGGCTCCTTTTGAATCTGCTACAAGGATTAAGCTAGAGGGTAATTACGTGGAATGATTCCAAGAGGAATATTTATGATGTCTTCAATATCATCTAGTCTGTCCTGATTTAAGCATTGTCTTGTGCCAATTACCAAGACTTCCGGATTTATATAGGACCAGTATTTTACTAGAGCTATTGTGACAATCAATTCATAGTTTTCCATTCATCTAAGAAAGACATATAGACAACATGATAAGCATGTCATTATAGATAATAGTTCCAGCATACTATTTATAATCGCTTAAACCCGTGGTATACTTATAAACCTGGGCAAAGGTGCTATTATTAAGGACGTAGACCCAGCAGTCAATTAAAGTAACGTAGCATTGCACTTTGGAGCTTAGCTTAAGGGGGGTAAGGAACGTTGAATACATACATTGTGAAACTTTTCAATGCCCCCCTGCCAATTTAGCTAGCATAGCATTGATTGAGTAATAGGTACCTACGTATTGAACCAATCCTGATGGCCGGTAGCGTGCCCCTTCATGGTAGAGATAAACAAGATCGATCAATCTCATACTGGGGTAATAATGGGGACCGGGACTAGATCCGGGGATATCGAGTTATTAGAGATGACACAAGAAGAATGCTCACATCTCTTACTCCGAGTCTAGTGTTTATTCTACTTGAAGTAGAAAGTACTATAATAGTTCTCGTCATCAAGTCTTAATACCATTACTAATTAAAGAACTTTAGATCTGACAACTGCATCATGGGGTATATTTATATGCTTATGAATGAATTTGTTCAATACTATATTCATCATCATGCGTCAACACCGGTAGGCTAGGTTATGCCAACCACTTCGTAATCTTCAGCCGCTCAATCCATGGCTCTATCAAAACCATAAACACCCCGCTCGTAGTGTTTTTAACTATTAAAAAAAGCATATAAATAAAAGAAATCACTGCTTAAACTTCAGTGCGCTTCTCTTCCGGAACTGCGGTCGGTAGGACATCACCCGCCGTTTCATCACTGAATTTAAGGTCCTCGTCGAGCTCGGTAGTGTCCTTGATTCTCATGAAAATGATCGGGGCGGCAATTAGGAGAGATCCGGCACAAACACCCCACTATTTCAAATATTAGTTACGAATTCATACCTGCGGAGGAAAGGGGGTGGAACTCACGGTAGCAGCGAAGATGGTATTATATTCGGTGTGGATACCGTCCAAGCGCCAGAAAATGGCAGCACCAGCGGATTGCAGACCCTTGTAAAATCCAGCCAAGTTGGCGGTCTTTCGGCCGGAGTTTGAGAGAGCGCCCATGTACCTAAAACTGTGTTAGATTGACATCGAATATTTACATAGGTCATTTTAAATTCTAGGGACATACCAGTAAATGCATGTTTGCCATACGGAGTCATACACGCCGTAGAAAATGTAAAGGAACATAGGTGCAAGGAAGTTGCTGTCTCTCCAGTCAATCTTCTGATCGTCGGGTACTTCTTTAGACGCCGCTCGGTCAAGCTGGTGCTCTTGCCACGCCCAGCCACCACCCCAGATGACAAAGGTGAGGGCGAAAAGCACGACGAATGAGATTTTGGCACGCATTGACCGCCGAATCGATTTGATGTCAAGAGCGTATCCGACAATAACGGCGCCAAAAATCTGGGCGAGCCAGTAAAGAAGGTTGTTCAGTGAGCGGGCACGAGTGTCAAAATAGGCGAGATTGAGAACGTTCTGCTGGTATGTGTAGAAGATGTTGGAAGCGAAGAACATTGGGAATAGAGCAACGACCCAGGGGCTGAGGGAGATACACTCCCAGAGTCCAATGAACTCGCTCTGCCAAGTAGGGTTCTTCATCAAGATGATTTTGGAACCATCATCACGGATAACCTTGTCTCCATTCACCAAGAGCGTGGTAAGACACGCTCCGACAAACATGAGAACAATGAAGCCAATATACGTGCCATCCGTGACTGTACCAGTGTTATTGCTGACGTTCTGTCCGAGAGGAATCAAGCTACCAATAACAGCGCCGAGGTTGAAGATGATCCAAAACCAACTAATGTAGCGGCCTTTAGACTCCTCGGGGGGGTAAGCCATCATGATAGTTCCTTGCGCAGTCCAGAGCAGACCGGCGCAAAGACCCAAAAGAGCACCGGAGAAGACGACGAAACCAACATTGCCGGTATGGCTGTAGCACAACAAACTAGAAGAGTAAATGCAGTAACCGATACCACCGATAGTCAAAGTAATCTTTACACCGAGTTTGTTCGCGATGGAGCCGGAAAAGAAAGCGACGACAGCGAAGACGGAATAAAGAGCGGTGGATGCGTGATCTTGCACAGTGGAATCGACCTGTCCACCACCACCGAGACCTTGGAGCGCATTGTACATTCCAGGGCACATGAAGCAGACGAAAGCCACCATCAGAAGCTGGATCTTTGGTGACGCATACCAGAATTCCTTCCCGCCGATCCGAAAACCTCGATACATCCAACTATCAGGACGCGCTTCGGGGCCGTGCGTACTCGCGGCAAGATCCGAGTGGGATCTTCGAACGGCTTGTGTATCGGCGTCGACCGCCGCCTCTTTCGCGTCTGCCATCTTTTAGGATTGGTCGATTGGTCAGTTTTCTTCTATGTAGCGATTCGAAGAAAAGCTCTCTAGAATAGACCCTGTAAATATCTAGTGTTAGCTTAGGTATTATTATGACGATGGTCCATGCTAAGTACTAGTGCTTGAAGTAAAACACAATGAGGTACCCGTTAGCATATAAGCGCAAAGTACGAACATACCTTGAAAATTAATAATCGCCGTGGCGGCTAAATTATATTGACCGTTAAGCTGGCAGAAGATGGGAAAAAGTGAGAGCTGCGCTGAAGCGGAAAGGGCCCAGACAATATAACAAAATAAATACACTACGGTACCTATCGTCTTAGAATAGAATACTGGGGTACATGCCTGTATAAGGTATCCACCCTGGTAAGATAAGGCGACGTTAGGTAGATTAATACGATATGCGGCACGTGCGGAACACTTCCACTATTATGCATGCATGCGGGAATGTACCAGCGAAAGAAGTGTCAGAAAAATGTACCTGCACCTACCTAACCTAGTGCTGATCGGATGGGTACCATTGAAGTCACGATCTACTTGGGAAGTTTGTGGTTGGCGGTTTTGGGGAATGGGGGGGAACGGAATACGGTTGGATACATACGGTAGGTATGGTAATACCAACCTAACTTTCAACCCCGAATAAATCCTCAGCCCCGAAAAACTCGTTATAAGCTCGGGAATGTTGCTCGGAATGATGGTTACGTGACACGCCCAGCCCGATTACCCCTCGTATATCTTTGGTAGCTAGGTATACATATCTAGGTACCTATGTATGTCGCACAAGACGAAACAAAGAACATTGAAGTGTCAACGGTATCAACGATGTCACTCCACTAATAACCTTAACCTAGTGCTCTTAGAGTTCTGGGGATTTTGGAGCACCGGGGAGACGCTAAGTTATTTGTGGTTTGACTACCTAAGGTAAGTGGTCAGATTGCAGGCAATCCTTCGCGAGCTCCGTTCCCTTGGCTTCAAAAAACGCGCTAGAGAGCTAAGCTTATCTAGGTACCTACTGCTGAATTCGTACCATATTTTGTTTCATACTTCGTGTTGGTAGTAGGTAGGAATGTCGTGTTATCTTTAATTGCCTCTAGAAATAGATAGTAGATGGAATATTGTTGGCTTCGTAAAGTCCAATTAAGTTACGGGATCTTTTCCCCTCTTCTCGATTTGCGGGAAGACCCTTAGAAAAGACCCTTACATGAATTGCGTTTGTCTACACCATCTTTCCCGTCTTCCCCAATACTCTAAAAAAGAAAACATTTGTAAAAAGACAGGGACATGGAAGGTAGACTAATAAGATAGCCGATAAGAAGATAGATAGCAGCGGGCCGAATATGGATATCATAGATCACCTCTAATTGGACACAAAAAGCCCCAAGTCACGAGATAGTCCCGCTACGAATTATCATTGGATCGCCATCATTGGCTAGGTGGCGTAGTGTTCTCCGGGGAAGGAAGTTGTACATTTATGTGTACCCAAGTACCTATCTATGTACATAGGTACGCTACCTATAAGATGTATACTTGGAGAGCAAGATTTCAATTAAACCTGAGCACCTAAGCATACCGCCCAAGATAAACCCCCTATTCGTCAGCAAGTTGAATCCGTACTTCTTGTGATATGTAACGTTGCCCAAATTTATCTTTTTCTCTTGTACTAACGGGAAGACACACTGCCAACCGACTTTCACAAGAGACATACATCTCTTCTGTAAGGCCGAGGACACCACCACTAGAGAATGATATGATACTGACATTATCCGAAATTCATTTGTCTTATCTCGATTGGTGCCCTAAGCGGTTGGCTGGCTGCTGCTACGATGCATAGGTACCTATCATCCTGTTCCAATCCTCTGGGTAATGTTACAGAAGATAACGATATACGATACCGAACAAACTTCATACCAAGATCCTCAGCTACGGTATAATCTTCAACTAAACCCCATCAAGTCTAAACTATACTTTTAGCCACGACTACAATTCATATCAGTGGAGTTGTTGTTCCTGTGTGCGACTCCGAGTTTGCAATTGCGCTTCGCATGTGGCACAGAACAGCCAGCTGGGAACAAGTTACTATGTAACGGCTTTCTTGCACGACATGGCCAACCGAGCGTGCGAGGTTACATTGGATAATTCAGCAGGTCAGCAACATTAGCCGTGGTCATACGTCCGTCGTTCTAGAACGATGCTTTGCGTAGTCGCAACCAACAGCGCTCTCTTTCAAATTATTCCTATCTACCTAGGTAGGTAGTCAGATAGGTACCTATGGCATTAACACGCGAAAGCAATATTCAGATGTAAGTAGGTACGTAATGAAGCTCTGTGGTTGTATCAGAAACGCGGGGAGGAAAAAAAGATTTTAGAAAAAGAAAAACCCAAATCGGAATTCAAATTTAACAATACAGGGATGGCATTCAGAAATACCATGTCCGCATGCCTATTTTAGATAAATGTTGGATCAGAAGGACACTCCGTACCCAGGCGTTCAATGTTGGTGGTTTATTACTATAATTAACATCGTACCATCCGTATCTAGCGGTATACCCAGACCCATCAGATACGATGCCAAGTATTGAAACGTCAGCCCTAGTGAGCCAACTTCTCAAAACCACATGGTTATGCCATTGAGTTCTGACTTTGGTTCCATTTCTATGTATTCTACAGATGGCAACTATGAGCCATCCTAGTAATATATTATAGAATATCCGGTAGGTAGGTTTTGATTGATGCGTGTTGACTATCTACGAAGTCCATCAAGCGCAAGACTCTTATGTTAGAGCTACGTAAAAAAAGTATACCGAGGCATATGACTGTGCCCCCCGACGCCATGCCTAGATACCCATTGTTTATTAATCCTGTGTGAAGGAGTGGTATCAACACAACAAGGATACCTACCTAGATAACCAACCAACGCTCAACTAGGCAGTTCAGCGCCAGGGTGCAAACAAATCAAGTAAAAACTCTCAATTTAGAAAATAAACCAGGGCCAATCTTCACAAGCGCAATCATTGAATAGAACATAGAAGCGGTGCGTTGCTAAAATTAATATATTAGCAAGATCACCCAATGACTTGTGCGAGCTGATCTTGAATATATAAGATTACGATTGATGTAGTTTCAAGTTGAGCAATTCGTGTTTAGCTAGCTTTTATCGCCAGCAAACCAAATTACGACACACAAAAACACAATCTACTCTTCGAATAGAGCTCTACTTAACTTCATGAATGGCCCTATAGTTTGGCCGAATCTTCAATGTTAGTACATAAAGAGGTGCACTTGCTATATCATAATAAGTAAACCTAGAATACATAGAAACAACTTGGGTATTACACACGGAACCCCAAGCCAAGCCATGGGTTGCTCTGGCTAGACTTACCGAAGGTATACTGCCCTCCTGAGTGTCTTATCTTGAGTCCTAACAATAATGTACATTCACTTTGTAAGCCAACCTCGGTTACCAACGGCGAGCAACAGCTTTTGCTGGAAGTTACGTACTTGACACCTACTCATGACTCCAGTTCAACAGAAAGGATCATATATGAATACACGTAGAATGTATAGCTTCGACCTAAAGTATTAAGATTTGAAAGCCTCGCTTTAAGCCCTCACGGGAGCCATGGAAAGAAAGGCAAAGGACTACCTATTGTACTGTTGAAAGTAGCAGGTAGTACAAGTAGGCTCCTTATACTGCTAAGCTTCTGTTCGCGTAGAAGCATATGAAATGACATACGTGATAAATATGATAACGTTCCTAAGGGGATTCTAGCAATCTTCCCTTACCATTGATGATTTATAATTACACCTGGTATAATTAGCTTACCCGTAAAGCCTACTTTAGGGATAGTTACAGGGTAGATCTACTATATAAGGGGCGCACAGCACCCTCGTAGAAGGGTAAAAAACAAACATTGATAGTTCGATTTTATCCATCCTAACGCTCACTTTATGCGTGATACCAATCAGGGGGCTAATGTTTGACTGCGATAGTCTTCATGAGAGACCGTAAGTAAATATGGTAACAACTGCTTAATTTTTTTACCGATGCCCAGGTCATATGTATTTAAAGTCATGCCTGTAAACAAGCCGATTACGACCTAGGCCTAATACTAACTTGGTTATAACCCGAATGAGACTATAAATTACTCGATGCTGTGTAGCTGTTATTGTCAGTTGTGGTTTGTAGGTTTATAAAACAAGTAAGAGTGACCTTGTATCTACCGTGTCTGGTTAGGTCTTGCCTGGTACTCGGTAGTACATCTTTAGAACATCTAAGATAACTCATAAACGGGGCTGATATAAGCTCGATGGATGAATCGTATTGAGTATTGTTAGCGATGAGCTACTGATATGACGAAGCTTGCGTGGCTAAAATGCGCCGTGCTATATTAAGTTGACGATTCGAGACATAGGTAACTAAACCTTACAGCTAGTTTCAGGTTCCATCTCTGAGCAGATTCAAAGCAAATTCATAGCGGATAATAGTCTTATGCATTGGCCAATATGATTATCTCCCGAGCGTAGAAAGCTACGGTAGTACATACTCTCACACCTCATATCAAGTACCTGTATCTCATACAATAAGTTCTCCCCCTTCGCGTAACTGGTGGGCGTTGGAAATATCGTGTCATCCCTTAATATCCTGATCACGCATAACATCCATGCTTACGCCCAAATGCTTTTCCCCGCCTTGTGAATGCTGATCGAATGTATACCAAACTCCATCCACCATTTTTCCAAATGATTGCAGAGGAACAATTGAGTATCAACTCATAGGCCAAATCCCTGAGGACCGGTGGTCAGTTGATGTATATGCGACCAGGCAATATATGTGCCAACAAGAAAAGTTATAGGACTATCCTTTGTTCCCCTGCCTGTGAACGCCAGTACCTGACATGATACATCCCAAATGCTTCATAATTGGGCTCGACGATAAAACAAGAAACAATAGGGTATCAATGGATGAGATAAAAAAGAAAAAGAAAAGTTGACGGAAAAAGTAGTAACGAGTAAGGATAGGCGGCGATAATGATGGCCAATGTTACGTGTAGGCGTCATTACGTAGAAATCGTCGCATTATTGTGCCGATCTCTTGATATCCAGCCAAACAAATCCGCCCTTTGACCTGCTGGTGTAGCGGTCGAGCCATCAGTTGGGCTTCTCAGAAAGGTTTCTCGAGGTTCAAGTAGTAAACTCTTTCG